TGGCTATTAATCTTGATTTCTATACTAATATGTCGGATTAATTATGAATTGTTGATATTTTGATGTCACAGTTTTGACATTTAAAAACTTACCCAACCTTATATTAATGCATTTCTGGAGCAACAAAGTAAGTGTCAGTTAACCTTGTGATTTTTAAACTAAGATGTTTTACCTTTTCTAGGTACTAGTGAAAGTAAGGCAGATGACAAAAAAGAGTCTTCTACTCAGGTTGATTTTCAAATACTTTATTTTGTTATATATTATATTATATGCACATAATTATATTTATTATATTGTATATTATATTATATATATTTATATAATTATATTATATTAATTATTTATATATATATATTAATATATTTAATAATTATATTATATTATATTATATTATATTATATTATATTATATTATATTATATTATATTACATTATATTATATTATATTATATTATTCTGTTCTGTTATATTCTGTTTTATTTTGTTATATAATATGTTATTTTATTGTTTTATCTCATATCATTTTATACTATTTTATGTTATGTAACGTTATGTTATTTGATAAAATATTATATTTTGTCATCATGAGGTAAAGTTTTATCATATAACATTTTTTTACATTGCTTTTGTCATTAAACCTTCTCATTCATTTTCAGAATAATGAATTATCGATCGGAAAGCTGCTAGGTATGATTCATAAATTTATTTTCTGTATCTCATCATCTGCTTTCGATTTTTTCATATTCAAACGGCAGAGTTGTACTTGTTTGCACCGAATTTACATATAATTTGCATAAAGCGTTGGAATTTTTTATTTTAAGCCTTCGAACGAATGGAAATGTTTAGTTAAGAGATTCCAAATGCAGTATTTGACGGAAGCATTCCATGAAGAGATCGGAAATGCAAAGCGAAAGTCTGTTTTGACAGTAAACTATCTCGAAACTAGTATTTTTTTGTAAAAGGGGGTGCCTATGAGTACCGAAGGAAAGTCTTATTAGTCAAATATGACATTCTTGGAATATCGACCCCTTTGGCAAGGATTTTAGCTACGACATGGAAGCTCAAGGTACAAATTCTGAATTTATTTCTGTCCGATTTCTCGTAGATGTCGTACGAAAAGATGAAAAGCGAAAGGAGTCAGTCAACCCGGTAAGGTTTTCCGATGTTATGGTTTAGTAAAAATCCTCTTTGAATACATGCCTGGTTGCTGAAAGCAAAGTCCGGACTTATTAATACTTTCATTTTTTCACTTCATTTTAAAGCTAAATGAGTTTCAGAATAAAATCTGCTTTCCAAACCGACCTGTTTAAAATCTAAGATACAAAAAAGAAGAGTGTCCCATCCAAAACCGAGGCTTAGAGATGTTGTGGATGCAACATACTTGCTGTTCGTTACGATTCTGGCTACTCTGTTTGGTACTGAACACTTTACGTTGCATGATTCATTTTAAACAAAAATTCATGTAAAATTATAAAGTTAGCATTTCATATACAATTCAAGTTTTGTGGAAGTGTACCTTGTTGTATGACAAGTATGACGTCATTGTCGGTTTTTCCATCGTTTGGTCATAGGCCGGGAAAATGTTCACCTTTCCTCTTGACAATTGACTAACGCTTGTGAAACTTTTCATTAGAATTTCACAGGAATATGGTGGGGTTTGGGAGCTGCACTTTCATTTCGTTTGTGTTATTGCCTTTCCATGCGGCCTTGACAGTTTTATTGGCCTTCCTTCTCAAGCAGAAGCATTGTTATTGCCACCGACCGTATCCAAACTCTTCCATGATTAGTATCTTATCTTTTCATAGACTGAAACCGTTAAATCCTTCAGTACCGATTCCTTGCTCATGAAACCAGATGCAGACGTAAGTATAAATTTTTCTAGCTTTTACTAAATTCAATGGTGCTTTATATGAATTTTTTAATCACTTTTTTAAAACCCTTTTACACTTCAAAATGGCCCAGTTTTGCAGTGCAGCTGTATAATGTTAAACATTATTTAGCATCTATTTCTCCTCATCTTTTCAAAGCAGACTTCGTTTTGCTGTTGCGAGAATTCTTTTCTACTTTTCTCCAGATCTGTGTAGAATAAACTTATGCCCAAGTAAGGCTCGTTAAAATGTTCTCGAACTTTTAAAACCCATGCAAAAAGTCTGCATTTGCTCGAACTTTTCTTCTCCCATGGTTGAAGTCGTGGTAGGGGTGTTGTCCCGAACAACTTACCTGCTGACCTTACCTGGTAACATGATGACTCTGGGGTTTCTTACAACAAAATATAAACTTATGTTAATGCCTATTTTGATTGTTTGTTTATTTTGATTTTTTTTTCTTTTTTTCAGCCTGTCGCTGTATTTGAATCTTTGATGCAAGAAAACAGTGTCGATTACATCAACAAATTTACAGCATTAACGGCTAGGCTGAAGGGCGATGAGCAATCAACCAATGGTCCTTCTGACGTAAAGGGTGCAGGCCTGCCACAAGGCGATACCCCGGTATCGACCGCCACTTCCGGGAACCCCAAAGACCCTAAGCTCCCCTTGTACCAATCTGAAGATTCAGTGGGACTTTTGGACGGCTTCTCTTTCGTTTTGCCGACCAGCGATAGCAACTCTAATGACTTCTCTTGAGGCTGTGTGTTGTTAATATCAAAAGCATGTAAATATTTTATGACATATATTAGCTATATAGAAAGAAGTAATTGAGATCAAGAAAAATTTGAAAACTTAAATGCTCTTGCTTTCACCTAGCACATTTTTAAGACGAGGCCCTTGAAAGATTCTAAACTGCACTAAACATTTCTGCATGTTTACGTCTAAAGGTTATGTGTTTAAGAAAAACTGGTATTCTTTTATATGAAGACCAAGCGATTCAATAAAATTGAAAACAGAAGGGATAGTAAAATTGGTTCTCTTGAAGTAAAGTAGAGTTGCCAGCCTCTTATTCGATGCTCTAGTGTTTTATGTTGCTGTAAGTTGTGTTTTGTTGTTCCAAGCTGAATACAAGGTCCACAAAGTTGCTTTTCAGTTTTTATGATTTCTTCCAAAATGACTCTATTGGGGGAGAAAATAAACATTTTTTTGAGCTTGTAACACAACAGCTTTGTTTATTTGCCGCTTTTTTGCAAAAAGGCCTTCTAGTTGAATGTTTTAATTTTTTTTATTTTTAACTAAGCAGCAATGTTCTTGTAATCTGCTTTCATGTATTTATTCACCAAAGCGTTATTTGAAAATAAGAATGCATAGATTTATACCTGCGAACACATTGCCGTTGCGAGAACGTGTTAGAGTAGCACCATTATTTTCCACATGCAAAATTCAACCATTCAATGGCAAGAATATTTTTTTCCAAAGCATGGTATGTTATTAAAATGCGGTTGAGTCAGGATTCAAAATTATTCAACGTTTTTCTTTGTAACATTGTCGCTACCTTTGCTAGCCTTAAATTTCTTCGAAGCAAAATTTCAGGTTTTTCATTAAATTTTTTGCCATTTTAAGGCATCGATAAAAATTTCATAAATATGTGTTAGAAGATTCATTGTTTTGCATTCCAGGATTTCCCTGCAAATCAACAAACAGTTGAAATGCTTGCATCGTCATCTAACAAAATTGATTGTTCCCTTTCTGAAACCAAGAAGAATAATTTTTTTGTTAAACATACAGTACCTCTTGTCTTACGTTTTCTTCTTCTACCTTTCGTAAACCAGCCTTATGATAGGCTCAAGAAAATTACCATTAAAGGTGGAGTTTTTTGGTTTTAATCATAGGAGCTACCCTTTCTCACCTACTTTCTCCGTATACCACCCCCTCTATATCCGCTACCGCTGTTCATTATAGTTAGATTCGTTTGATAACATCTTGCTTCGTTTTCAGTGGCATATGTATTTTCTTCAATTTATTATGTATGAATATTAAGTGTTCGGTTGGCACTGGTTCTTATGAGAAATTTGCTGAATAACTATATTTCAGTGTGTATATTTTCAATGATGTAAAAGCGATAATGAGAATCGGTGAATGCGTTTTTGTCAGTCTTACAGTTCTTGTAACAAATTGCCTTGTATAATAGAATTAATTATACGATTACAAAAAAATTTTTATCTTCTCTCTATTCAACTTCTCTGAAACTTTCAAGACATGGCCTGACTACCTTAAACCTACTAAGGCCCCTTGTGTGACAACTACCATAGATTTCAGAATACGAGAATTATTATTGATTTCATAGTTACGGTTCCCGGGGAACTTGGCATTTCTAACCCCTTGTCGGCGGTCCTGAACCTCGACATAAGCCTGTTTGCTGGAAATCACGAACGAATATTGGCGGAAACGAAAGAAATGCTAGCAAAAAGGTATCCGTTAGGAGGCAACGCTCCTGCTTTGTTGTTCAATCTTGAATATACTTTTCAACTGATAGGCTGCTTTACTAATGGGTATCAAATTTTTTTGTAGGAACTTGCGTATTTGAACGAGGGTGAGGGTGATTCTTATTATTAACTTATTCTTATCAACTGAAAGATGAAATCTTTTGCCGGGCGATAAAATCACGTGGCGATAGGTAAAATAGGATCGAAATTGTGTTTATCTATTCCTTTGTCTGTAGAATTCACGGAATTATACTTACAAAAGTACTGGCTCACCACTAACCAGTGCATAATGTTTTGCACCATTGAGAATGATATATATAATTTGTGTTAAAATCACATCTAACATTACCAATTTATTCTAAAAAGAAGCCAGAGTTGACCACCAAATGATTAGAAGGCACTTTTAACATGCTGTTTGCAATTCAAAGCTTTGCCTCTTCAATCATATTTTGCATCTAAAGTCTTTCAACATAAACATTTTATGTTACAGAAAACACATTGTTTTTTTACATAACTGGTGTATACAAGAATACCTGACGTAACTTGGAAGTCACATGCAAAAAGCTCATGAACTGAAATTCTCATCTCCCAGCATATTTTGATAAAATGACAATGAAGCCACAGAATGCAATGGCACCAGCGATCATAATCAGCAAGCTCAACCGTAAATTGCGCAGACACCATGGATTTTGCTTGACAACGCCTACTCGTTGGTTCATGCCTGATATTACAGTTTGCATTGGCCTGGTCACGACTGAAACATTTGATTGGTTCCCGTGATTTGGAACAAGTACTTGAGGTACTGAAGTAACGTTTTGTTGGTTTGTTGGTTGGACTGGTGGGGCTGATGGAAAGACTGACCTTCCGGGTAGAGCATCTGGGCTCAAACATTGCGAGTATGGGTGTAAATCTGTCCCGTGTGGTGCTTGTAGCTCCTGTGGTAGCTGCAATGGTTGCTGATTGTGTGTTGTAGTTGAATAAACCTGCACTGTTAAGGGCGCAGCAGTGTTCGTTGGCTGATATTGTTGATTCCCAAGCACCCTTGGCTGTGCTATTGATGGAAGTGCGCCACCAAGACCAGGCCGTCTCCAAAGTTGTTGCAGTCCTTGAATTCCTCCCCGTAAGTTAGGGATGCTGCTTCCAAAACCAGCAGTGTTGCCAAATTGCTCTGCACGATCGTAAACGTTCTCAGCCGGCCCAAACGATAGTGGCGCGATTCCTTGACCAGCTTCACAGAAATTAAAGGCTTCATTGCAGACATTTCCTATGTCAAGAACACCTACTAAATCATTGAAAATATCCATATTTCTGCTAGTTTCAAGAGCCTTGCCTTGCACCAAGAAAAATTTCTTCAGGAATAACTGCTTTTCTCCCTGCTTTCAAGCACTAATGTTATGTTGCGTGGGGGCTAAATTGATTGAATTAAGGAAGTAGCAATATGCGCGTATTTTATTCATTAAGGAATTCAATTTGAAGCTTTTTGTAAGCAGAAATTATCGAAAAAGTGTCAGAGGGACTCACCGACTCAAAACAACGTTGCTACAAGTTGTAACAAGCAAACCATGTCAAGCTAGAAAAATAGTCATACTTTAGAACCAGTTGAGAAATTGTATACAAGCAGCGTTGTTGTCTCGCAGCAAGGACCGCGAAGCATATTACAGATTGAGGGGGCTAACACGTTTTTTGGGGGGGTTGAACATGCTAAAAACCAAGAACAAGGCGACTTTTTGTATGGGTTTAGTAAAGTTTGGGGATTTTAGGGGGTTTAGCCCTCTCAGCCCCCCCCCCGCTTCCGCGGTCCCTGTTGCAAAGTACGAATAAGTGTATATAATGGTTCTCTTGCTTTGACATCATATAGAATTGAATTTACAGAACAAATGCATTGTAGCATTATAAATTAGAGGCTAGATGCAAGAATTCTCTAACTAGCGTTTGCTTTTTTTTTGTTGCATCAGATGACTTAAATTATTATCCTGTGTAACCCAGTCTAGTCTACTCAGTCTTCATAAATAACAAATTGACATGAATTACCTAGTTAAATACTCTCATTATCATAACAACATATTAAAAAAGGGAAACATTACCTTCTTGGAAAATTTAAGTTTTAATTACCTGTAGTTATATTTGAGCTAGCCTAATAACAGTTGCGAAAAATTGACCCTCAAGAGGACTAACAGGCTTCTTGGAAATAATGAATGAATGAATGATGATGATGATGATGATGAAAGTTAGGGGTCTGGGACGCAGGCTACGATTATGATGATGATGATGAGGGTAGGAAGAAGCAATATGGAACACAAGGGAATGTTCCTGGTGACCTGTTTGAAATTTGAGCGTCCCTTTCTTTTTGTTTTTCAGGCAGGTAAAAGCCAATCGTTGTGATAGATCTATCGAGCCATATCTAACTTTTTTGCGAGGGGGGCGGCCAACTGCTTTGTTAGATTTGGAGCGGACAAGCCACTATACAACGCAAAGCGAGATGATAAAAACAGTATCTGAGAAGGTAGCGCATGTGATACAATCATTACTCATAAAAAACGGGCAAGAATGAAAGCGGGTTAGCATTTGTTGGATTTGCATATTAAGAAAAACCCGCCAAAAACAATTTTAATTGACAAAATTACTGTAATTTCCTCAACTTGTTGAAATAATAGCCCCTGATGGAATACACACATTCCAATTAAAAAATGGTAACAGTTGAATATGTCTTTAGTAGATTTATCAATGTTTGTCGGTTTCCTCTGCCCTGTATTCAACTTCTTCATGTGATGTCGACAAGGTATGCAAGGAGTTATATTCCCCACGATTATAGTCATGTATGATGTAAATATGTGCGTGTCATCTTCTATTGATTCGGATAATTCAATACAAAATGCCTCTGAATAATTGAAATAAGAGATGCTCGTTGATCTCGAACAATTTTTCACCAGTATATATACGCATTTAAAAGAGATATTCATGAATAACTGCACAATATAATAGTTTATATAACTACTTAAATAGGAATAATTAATAGGTTTTGATGCTTAAATAGAAATAATTAATAGGGTTGGATCAATGTTGTGTTTCTTAAATTGACATAAATTGCATTTGTTTTTCACTCCTTCTGATTGTCGTCTGATGGCTTTAAAATATGCATGTTTTGAACAGACTTGATCTTATTTGGATGACCATTCCATATCTGCGGCCCCAAGGTTGTCGGTGCTCCAAAATTCGTATAACTTTGCCTATGATGTAACAAATCATGTTGATTTCTCTAAAAGCGACTCAGGTTGACAGCTGAGTTAAAGATAACAGGGACGCCGGAGCACATTTGGTGAGGGGGTTCTAAACAAATTGGCATAGTTTTATGGTAGTTTTCCATGATTATCTTCGATGCCACAACATAAATAGAGTTCTCAAATGTGACGTCACAACACAATATTTTTAGAATTTTCGAATTTTGACCACATAACATGAAAGAACGCCAAAAATAGTCCCATGCATGCAAAATCAGTTAAATGCGTCAAAAATCGGGTGAGCTATAGCCAATAGAAGATTTTAAGTTTGCTAACGGATTACTGTTATTTTGGCTCAGTTCGTAAAGTCATGAACTGAGACCAAATTACAGAGGTTTGATGGGGCCAGAGCTTATGCTCATCTGGTCATATCTCAGCCAATTCGTAATACCTTTAACTGATTGTGCAGATTTAGAGGTATTTCTTGATGCTCTTTCAGGTTATAGAAAAAAATTTCAAAAATTCTAAAAATAGATCTTTGTGACGTCATCACTTGACAACTCTATATCACTCTCCAGCAAAGAAGTGAGGGCTACAGCTCCGCCAGCCCTTCTTCTAAAGCGTACCTGTATAATATGCTTAGCATAAAGACAGAATTTAGTAACCTGTGCTCCAGACCCCAAACTTGAAACTTGAAAGTAGAGGTCTTCAAAGTACTTTCAAAATAGGGGTCTGCAACACAGGATTGAACTTAGCTGTTTCTTTGTTTTGTAGCTTTCAACCTAGAGAGCTCTTGACCAAAAACATACAAATAGTTTTTGCCTGATTTTGTAAGTGAATCTCCAAAATGGACTGTTGTTAGCACTGAACAGAAATTTTAATGGTCTCTCTAGTATGCGTTCGATTGTTTACAATGATTTCACAGATGAAAAAATCCACAATAAAGAGCATTAATTAAAGTTAGATTTGATAAAACTTTGAAAAAGTATTTTCCTTGCTTTATAACTTTTCTTCATTTCCCTATGTTGGACACCGCAATAGCTACTGCGAAGGAGCGTGTACTAGAAAAACTTAATGTATGATGTTATCAAACATCTTGGATGTTCCTGGAACCAGAAAATGGATCGGTTTGTATGGGCTTCTTCAAATAAATTAGAAGATGTGGAAAGAGTTTTAGCCCATATTACTGGTGTACGAATTTATGACGGTGAAAACAAGGCACGTCTCTGTTTTACCACTTAGCATTATTTTTATTCATACTTCGTTCTTCCTTATTGAAAAGTTACACCCACTCCCCCAGCGGACCCCCACTAGAAAGTTTAGGCCCAATACACCCGAAGCTTATTCGATACAATGCTGATTTGGTACATTCATATGTTTTCATACTTTTAAATATTTAGGGCAGCATCAAGCTTTTATGGTTGTGAAAGTCTGGGGTTCTATGAGTAAAGTTATTTAACAGGTAAATTTTGTACCTGTGTATGGTGTCTGAAGCCATACAGAGCCCAGATGTTTTTGATTACTTTCTATTGTTTTCCCGTCTTTTCTGCTTTCTTGGTATTGAAATACACGATTTATTAAGCCACTACAAATCATTTTTAGATAGAGCTAATACCTTTTCTGTTCAGACTTCTTGAAGAAGTCCTAAGATTTTTTGTCAATTGAATTTATGTTTCATGTAAAAAAACACAAATCCAGAACAAGAATTAAACAAAATTTGTATTGCTACAATACAAGACAGTCTTCATGTGTCGAATTTTCTCCTTCCAACATTATCACCAATCTTTAAAGAAACTTCCTTACATTTGACCTATCTAACATAAATCCAACCTTGATTGGAAAGCTTTAGTTCTTCTTTCACTCACAATTCTAATCCTATTCACTAGATAAAAATACCTGTATATATTTTAAGCCCTTTCTTGCTTATTACCATTCTTCTATTTTATTTCTATTTTTTTTGAAAATATATTTCTCTTACTCTTACATTTAGGAAATCATATTCTAGCTCGTGCTGATTCTTGTTGTTTATGTTTAAACCAAACATTAATATTGCCAACTAGATGTACATACATTTTTTATAACAACACTTGGCTCCAGTCTCAGCCTTATTTCTTATTTTTTGCACCTTGTCAGCATCATATGTTTCTTATTTTGTTTCTTATTTTAAACTGATATTGATGATGTTGAACTGATTTTATTTAAATAAGTTCGTTTAACTGATGTTTCAATGCTATTTTGCTTATCACTTTGTATTGTTCTGTTGCTATTATTCTATTTTTCAATTTTGTGCTGGTGTTTTATTACTTTAGTTTTGTTGAGTCTTTTTGGGCAAATCTCAGCCTGATGCTACTCGTAAGAGTTAAATTCTATAACAAAAATCAAATTGTGCTGAAACTTGTGGCATGGTTTTGATAGTCCTGTCAGATGTATTTTCATATGTCCATAAGCTGATGCTTCCATATATGTTTATCATTGACTTTTTCTCAAACTTTCTTGCAACTTTTGTAATAAAAAAAGTGTGTCTGACAATTAACTTGATGCTGAAATTTTTGTATGGTTGAGTACTGTATTTTATATTAAACTTTTTTATATTTTAGACTCATTTTGATAATGGCAGTTTAATGCTGACAAACTTTAGACTAATTTGGGATGACACCAATCAACAGGTAATTCAATTGTGTTTCTTGGCTAATATTAAAAAATGGTGATTCCTTTAAGTATCTTGGCCGTTTCTTTGATTTTGAAATGAGTAGCCAAGATCATAAATCTAAACTTGTTTCTCTTTTCTCTACTCTTTTGAAGGATATTGACAACTTAGCTCTCCATCCTGAAAAAAAATTGCTATTATACCATCGTTATTTTTCATGGCATTTTACTGTTGCAGATCTACCAAAGACCTGGGTTGTCCAAAACCTAGACAATCTTGTTTCCAATTACATTCGCCAGTGGCTTGATCTTCTTGTTTCTGCTACCTTGAGTGGAATTATCCTCTCAAAAAATCAATTTGGCCAAAATCTACAGCTGCCTTCTGTCATATTTACGCAATTCCAAACTGTCTGTTGCAATGCCCTAAAATCTTCTTCTAGCATTGACATTCAAACCCTATGGAAGAACACCAGTCATGGCACAAACCTACAGTAAGACATCTATCGTAATACTAAGGTATTAAAGGCTGTCAAATCAGACAACAAAGAACGTCTCTCAAAACTTACCATCTCAGGGAGCTACAATTACCTTCCTACTGAAACATTCACTAGAAAAGCTGAACGGTATTTGGTCAAGTACACAGAGCAATTTGCCTAGTAACATCTTTAACTTTACCATCAAGTATCTTAACAACACTCTTCCAATTGTAACAATCTGGTGAAATAGAACCTTAGTCAAACATCTGACTGTGAATTCTGTCTTCTTCCAGAAACACTTCTACATGTTGTGGCTGGATGCAAAGTGTACCTTGACCAAGGCCGCTATACTTGGCGTCATAATTCTGCATTAAACTTTCTAGCCACTTCCTTCCAAGCAATAAATGGGTCTTCTCTCTACACAGATTTACCAGGCTTTCTTTCCCCTTCTATCATAACTGGAGATCAACTTTGCCCTGACTTACTTCTCAAAACTAAGGAAAACTGTCTGTACGTTTTAGAGCTAACCATAGGCTTTGAAACAAATCTCAACTGCAATGCTGTCAGAAAGTCAGAGAATTATGCCAACCTCATATTTGACTTAAAACATCGGTTTAAGTCTGTTTCATTTGTCAATCTTTCCATCAGTTCCCTTGGTATTTTTGGCAACTCCTGCAGCTCATTCATCGACATGTGTGACTCTTTGTCCATCGATCATCAACAGAAACGCTATCTCATCTCCAAACTTTCAAGCATCTCCATTCGCACCACATACTATATATTCTGCTGTAGAAACAAAACTTGGACTAATCCAGAGCTACTCCCCTTTTAACATTTTTTGTTTGTTTTCTCATTACTACGATTGTAATAGTTTTATTTTGTAAAAACAGGCTAGCCAATTGCAAATTACCTTGTAATAGTGAGATTTTTTAATTGTAGTTTAAGTTTAATTGAAAATGAAATGTTTCCATTATTATTATTATCATCATCATCAGCATATTTTGCCAAAGACAGTAATGATTTCTTCCAAGATAAAGTGATAAGGGAACACGAAATAAAATATATAGAAAGAACAGATGAACAATTTATGAAAAGTTTGCTATATCAAGGGTTTTACTGATAAGGGAACCTGAAATTTTGTTTGCAATATCGAGAGTTGGTTATATCCAGGGGGGTTTGTTATACTGAGAGAATTTGTAGCTGAGAGAACTGTGAGAGAGTTCACTAGGCAGAATCTACAGGACAAGACCTTTAGTTTGTTATACTGGGAAGTTTGTTACATCCAAGGTTCATTATATAGAGATTCCACTGTACTAATTATTTTATAGAAAAATAGGGGGTTTAATTTTATTGTATATACTCCTTGAATGGTGTATTACAGAAAGTTGCACCTTGTCACATAAAAGCTTAGTAAGAAGAAACATGTTGGAGTTGATTAAGAATAAGATTTGATAAATCTTTTACTTGAGATATTTTCATTCACAAAGTGATTTATTTTTGGAATAGTGTAGCTTATAGTGTGGTAACCTCTCAATGGCAAGTGTATTCAGAAGCAGAGAAGATTATTTGCTGTCAACTTTCCAATACTTTCCAAAATAATTTAAATATATTTTTATTTTAAACCTGGGACGTTAATAAGAAGGTTTATTTTTGTTATGTCTGTATTCCTGGGAAACATTCAAGCCTCTTTCTAAGCTTCTATTTTAAACCACCCCCACTTTTTTAGACCCTTCATTTTTCTCAACGCTCCGGGGTGCCTGATTATAACGTTATTGTGATATGATTTTGCACTTTTGATAGTAATGAGCATTTTCTTTCACTTATATATGATCCATTTATCAAATATACATTTAAGTATGACTGAACAAATCAATTTGATAACTGAGTCAATCTGTTTTCGTAGGACAGAACCATTGCATTACCATTGGCTCTTGTTGTCAAATTAGAGGAAGAGAGTGCTGGATTATTTAGAAGGTGTGCATCTTTCATTGCTTTATTTCAGATAAATCATATAGACCAAAGTATAAACATTTTATCAGCAAGGTGGTTTACATGTTGATTTATTTGTGTTGTAGTTATCATTTAGAACCGCAGCAAGGTTCAAGTTTATCAATGCTGAGACTTTTGAGTAAAGACTAAACACTTTAATAAAAAATTGAATATTATTCAAATGTTTACAGGCCAAATCCCAAGTGATTTTTGGTGTATAATATAAGAAGTTTGAAACAATTAATAAACCTTATCCAATTTCTTTTATGTTCCAACAATATATAATTAAAAATTAATACAGTGGTTGGGGAGTAAGGAATTATTTCCAGTTTCCCATTGAGAGGTTTGTGTGGTTTTCTTATAGAAATGGCTAGTTGAAGATAAAAATGTCTAACATTTGAACAACAAGGCAAAGCTGTTTAACATCCACATTACTGATTGGATTATAACTAGTTTTTTATTCAATCAAACAATTTGTTAGATTAAGATATTCTGTTGCATGAGGTTGTGTTGCGTAAATGACAAATTTTTCTCTGAGTCTCTTTACATAATGCCATTGATCTCTTTTGCTATCATTAATATTCTCACAAAAACTCAATCTCTTCTGCAATATATCTGTTTATATCTGCCAACTCTTGTTATAATGTTAGCTCGTATTACATGCCCAAATATTCTTTGTACAAAAACCAACTGACCCTTTGACATGATCCCTTTTTATATTCTTTTTTCAAAAAAAGTTATGAAACAAGTAGCAATTTCTTGTCACTGACAATGGTTCAAGTAATGCTCTGTTTGTGCTTAGCATTCTTCCTGTAACATTTTGGATTCGTGGTATTTTTGTTAGTTGTGAAGGTGATAAATATCAGTTAGTTAAATAATGTAAGTTAAATATCAGTTAAACTTTTATTTAAGGATGTCTTTATTCATAGCATTGCACTTTGAAAATATCACCTTCTTTTTAGTGCAAAAACATTGGTCTTCTTGCATAGAGCACCTGATGGAAGAGAACCTGGTCCTGCATTCTCAAGTCCAAACAATCATGTGAAATTATCCTTTAGGTCTGGGGGACAATCAGAGGTAAATCATTTCGATTTCTTTTTTATTGCCTTATCAACTGAATTGTCTAGGTATGATTTGGCAGAGCTTTTTGATATTCCTGTGTTTAATTTTTGAGATTAGGCCTGTACTTTGAAGTATACTTACCTTCAAAAAATATTATTGGGACAAACTTCGAAATTTCGAAGACATTTTATGCAACAAATTTGGAAAGACTTTTAAAATGTTTTTCATTTAAAACGTATGGCAGCTGTTTCCATTAAAATTTTTGCAAGACAAAGTTGATGTTTTAAACCTTTCTATGTTTGCCAAGCAATTCAAAAAACATCAACCATGAAATTTCTATTAGGCCTCAAGACGTAAATAACGTAAGCAAAAGCATAGCTTTAAAATTCATAAGAAATACAAATTTTCCAGGCTTTTAAGAAGAAATTGACCTCTCAGATAAAAATTTAATCGTCAACAACGAGTACTGTGACTTTCCCTTAAATGTTATGAAGTTTTAAAAGGTGCTTGAGTAAATTCAATAAACTTTATTTGAAATGTAATAGTTTGTAAATTTCTTTATTATGCAAAAATTAATCTAAAAAATTGAATTCATTTGGATATCTCTAAAAAATTGCCAAGGCTGTGTGAGTTTTGAAATAAGACTTTAAATACTTTTTGAATGTAAGTGTAGATGCTGTCTTCAACAATAAAACTTAAAAACATAATGTTATTCAATGCTTAAGAGACAATTTGCTCGAGAAGTCCCCTGCATCTTGTTACCATCTCTAAAATTTCCTGGGAAGGCTGTTCCCATGTTTCTGTTCATTTTTGGCATGTGACTGGAATCATGCTCACTGATTGGCCAATTGTTGATTGAAATTTGGCCAAAGCCACACTAGCATTATTTGCTGCCTATAAGTTCGGCATCAGCAGTAATTTCATTTTGAGACCTGCAGTGTAAGCAGTTGGAGGAGTTGAAAAAACGTTTAGGGCTTTGATAGTTTAGGAATTTCTGGTGACAATGTCAATTTGGTTTTTTTTGTGGAAAATTCGCGTTTCAGAAAAACGCACAATTTATTTGAAACCAATTCAGGAATATTTGAAATGCATGTCTTTGTGGACCTTCCTGAAAAGAAGGACATATATAATAAATTTTTCTTTGCTTTGCAGTTTCATCAAGCCTTTCTAAGTGCAATCAGTAAGAAGGAGTGGAACAGCTTGCCAAAAAGCCAGCAGAAAAGTGGACCACAAACATCTGCAGTATGTTCTTCATTGACTGATAACATTAAATTCTTTCTTCAAATATTATTTTCGAAATGATCGAAATACTTTCTTGCCTTTTCTAGATTACACAAAATACTGTTTTCTATATTATGAGTTTTGTTTCTTTTTTTGCAAAATAATAATTTTAGTATGAAAGTTAATTTTGATTAAATCGAGTTTTCTTTGTTTTTCTTTGGGTGTAAATTTAAATTCCTTCAATAACCCAGCACATACCATAAACAAACGTTTCAGTTAATTTGAGTAGAATCGGCGTTCATTTAGAGGAGTCATTTGATTCTTATTTTCCAAACATTTCGAGGGCTATATGAACTTTTGAAAATGAAAAGAAAAAGAAATTGCAAAAGAAAAAGAGTTTATCTATTCTGGTACGTTTAAGTTGAATGCAAGGTAGATGCAGCATATATTCTTACAGTTTTATCCGTAACAGGTGCAATTGAGTTTCCTACTCTCTGCAATTCCAGGCATAGGAATCACGAGGTGTGGTCACATCAAGAGGAAAAAACCACGACCCAGCTTGATAAGCATAGCTTCACAGTGTCCTAAACAACTACCTTCGGATGCTAGGTAGAAACAAATACAAAAAAATAATTTCTGGCATTTAACATCAAACCTTAAATGCCAGAAGTGTCAAGAATGTTTGTTTGTATTGTTTCGCAGGTGCAACATAAGCATGCTGGCATTGGTGGTATTCAAAGAAAGATGGAGGAGAAGTATCGGGACACAGACCAGTCGATAAATAAGGTTGTTTTTTCTTATGGTATTATTGTATACATCCCTTATTGAATCTAATGTAGGATAGATTAATGTTTTGGTGCAATGAATTAGCCTTTTTTACTTAGTGAATATTGGCAACCAGGAAAATGATAACGATCTTTCTGCGTGAAGAAACAAGGAATTGAACTTAAAGCATCCAAACGTCGTTCCTAGGTACGAAAAATGTCATCGACGTTCGTTTCTTTTACGGCTTTTTCAGCTTTCAAAACAGGGGCTGGAGTAGCAAAACTCAAATCCTTTGCAAAAGACTCCATGCTTTGTTCCCGTAGTTAATGTAACGCATCAATACAAGATTTGAGGTTGAATGACCTTAAACTGTAATTTTGATCACTGTTATTAAACTGTTACCTTAATATGATTACTTTGATCGACATGCAAGAATTAATAATAATGATAATAATAATAACAATAATAATACAGATTAAAGAGGAAGCCTCAATCACTCGAGAGTGCTTTTCATGAGGGTCCTTTTGACTTTATGCTTGCCCCACAAAACAACATGACAAGTCATGTATAATTCATAATCGTGTTTTGTATGTGAAAACGACAATAAAAGGATAGTATTCATAACTATGCTCCTTTCTGCAGACACAGAAGTTTGATAAACGTTGGGAAAACTTTTGATTGGCTTTGAGAGAATTAAGCACTATTGGAAATACAATATGAATCTTTTGAAATACAATGCTTATGTCTAAGTTAAGAAAGTTTATGAACTATCAATGAATCCCTTTGCGATTGAATATGCACCTGCAAAACGTCAAAGGGACAAACGTGTCTTGACATATTGCTCAAAGTGTTATCATGTCCTATGTCTTACATGTCATATGTAATCCCCTTCTTACAGAGAGTCTATTTTTATGTCAGTGGTTTTAATTCTTGTCATATCTAATTTCAGTGGTTTTAATTCCCGTCATATCTATTAATAGGCTTTTAAAGATCTGGATGCGTTGATGGAAAAGGTTTGTGATCCATAATTTCCTGGACTATAGTCGTTAGACGTAACCAAAATTGAACAGCAACAGAAAATGCTGGTTGACTTATGTCTAAATCACCATTTGAGAGGCCTTTTTTTGACAGTTTTAGAAGCTCTGGATTCATTAATATAGCTAAGGGTTTGGGCTATTTCTTAAGTGCCCTTTGCACAAAGAATGAATAAGCTACTACATACATTTTATCTTAAAGGAAACATAAATAATTCTCAGTACTGAAAGGTTCACATTTTTAATAGAGTTCATGGCTCAAAGTTTCTTAAATGCTGTCACGTTTTTGAATAGATGGAAGTCGCATTATTGCAGCGAATTCACTCCAATCCTATCGTATTTTGTAATGTGCTGTTTCAATGTGGCACAGGCCTAATTTCATAGCTAGTTTCACAGGCTTAGTTTGCATGACAAAAATTTTCCTGTCGCTTACAATCTATTCAGGGCCTAATCATTTTCGCAACATCCAAGTTGCCTGGAACTGCTGAAATCCTTTCTCATCTTTTGGTTGAATTTCACATTAAATGATTTTAGCTGTGTGGCTGCATAAATACCAGTTGCTAATAATCCTCATAAGCACTTTGCTTTACTTGCTATTATCTTGTTTTATATTGACAATATTTTCTACGTTAGGCAAAGGAAATGGTTGATATAGCTGAGAAATTTTGTTCAAAACTGCAAGATAAGCAGGTTTCAATTACTGATGATGAGGTATGGGTTAGAAATTTATGATTGAAGTGAGAATCTAAAATACCCATTTACATTAGAAATTATGAAAAAGCATTTACTTCTAGAGACGATTTCTTGGTGTGGTGAAATGTTCATGAAGGGTTCCTAACTTTTAATCTCTAACGAAGTTTGCACAAATTGCACTCATCTTTAGAGCATTAGTTCTTCGATGGCAACTTTTATAAAAGGTTAAAAAATGTAATTTTTTTGGGGGGTGTTTCGACAATACTTGCGTTTGATAATTTATTTTTAGTTTATAACAAGCTAAAAAGCTCCGAATTTGAATTGAACTGTTAGAAGTACCAAACAATAGATTTTGTAATTTTCCTAAAAATTCCTCGACCTATAAATTCCGATTATCCAAGAGCAGTATCAACTAATGACAATCAATCCTCTCGCTACGATTTTTCATTACTGAGGCTCTGTTTTTCAAGTGCAAATCACAGCAATGACCAGTGCTTGAAATGTTGTTGGTTGGATGAAAGCAAGCTTACATGACTTTTCTAATATCATAGATTTTCGAAAGCCATACCCGAAGCAAAGCAAATCACAATTTTTCAAACTTGATTTTTTGCATTGCTAATATTTATCTTATTCTTTATAGACTGTAGAATTCAAGTCATACCTCTTAAGCATGGGCATTGCCAACCCAGTCACACGGTAGATAAATATTATGCTATGTTATGCTATGTTATGCCATGCTACGCTACGCTATGCTATGCTATGCTATGCTATGCTATGCTATGCTATGCTATGCTATGCTTTGTTATGCTATGTTATGCTATGCTATGCTGTGCTATGCTACGCTACGCTATGCTATGCTATGCTATGGTATGCTATGCTATGCTATGCTATGCTATGCTATGCTATGCTATGCTATGCTATGCTATGCTATGCTATGCTATGCTATGCTATGCTATGCTATGTTATGCTAATGTTATGTTATGTTATGTTATGTTATGTTATGTTATGTTATGTTATGTTATGTTATGTTATGTTATGTTATGTTATGTTATGTTATGTTATGTTATGTTATGTTATGTTATTTTATGTTATGTTATTTCATGTTATGTTACGTTATGTCATGTTATGTTATGTTATGTTATGTTATGTTATGTTATGTTATGTTATGTTATGTTATGTTATGTTATGTTATGTTATGTTATGTTATGTTATGTTATGTTATGTTATGTTATATTATTATGATTCATGGAAATATCATATTTCTTCCTAAGAGAAACACATGGAACAGGTGTCACTTATCACGAAGAGCTGGCCAAACAACTAGCATCATTTTTAAAAGATGTCATAGAGGTAAACACTAGAGTCTCTGAAACTTCCTCATAAATTTTGCAAATAAGCTCATCTCAATTAACAGCGCTAACGGTGCCATTTATCTAGCCGATGACCTGATATAGACCATTTCCAACAATGCACACGGATTCTGTGACCCATGATGTCACAAGCCACCCCCCGTCTTGCAGTCTGTTCATATTCATCTTTTTTGTTGTGATATCGACAGTTTTAATCTGTTCAATAAAGAAGAAACAGTTTGTCTGTGGATTTTAACCTCTTGCGTAATTTTCTTTGGCCTAATTTAAAAAAAGACGCATTTGACATAATCAAGAAATAGGAACATTGTTCCTTGCGATTTCTTTCGCCAAAATTTAAGCTTGCAAGAAAACTCTTTCAATAGAAGCTTTATCCAACTTTTTTAAGGTTCCTACTAAAGCCCTTTTTAGTCCCTTTGTCTGTATTTAGATTGAATCAAAGTCAGTACACAGTTAGCAAGGACTGGGGTTACTTTGTCGTTTCCTTTTATGCTTCACCCTCTCTTTATTACTGTTGGTAAAGATTATTATACTTTTGTTATTGACTTCCAGAAAGAAGGTGGAGTGATGACTCTAACAGAAGTTTACTGCAGGTTCAACAGAGCAAGGGGGATGGAGGTAACATCACGTGAATACTAATTTTGGGCAGTTGCAATGTGAGAACTGAGGAGCTGGTTTTTTCAAAAATTGCAACCCTCGGGTCTTTCCTTTTTTTATAGCGAGGTTATTTTGTTCTCTTTGAATATTTGTAAGCCACCTAAAGATGTGTTAGAATGTAAAAAGGACTCCGAATCGAAATGAAAATATAAATAAACTCTTAAATTTTCTCTCCTACTAACCATTTCTCAAAGTAAGTGTATCTTTTATTTGTGAAGATTACTGTAAACTGGTATGTTGTAAGGTGCAATGCTCAACGGCATTAGGATACAAGGCAGTTCTTTACACGCTTTGACGTATGGAGAAGTAACATGCCATAGAGATACAATTTGTATGATAATATTAAGTTTGGAAAACATTTATAAATTTACTTTTCCTTTTCCCAGCTTGTATCACCAGAAGATCTAGTTAACGCAGCGAAGCAATTTGAAAGGCTCAAAATACCTTTAAGGTGAGAACCGTTACAAAGAGTTCCCTATATGCCTACCCAACTCGAATAATAGCCTTGACGCGGGGCAGGATCTCTGGAGTACTTCTGAAGTAGATTCAAGAAAACTGTCCATTTTTCCTCAGGAAAATCCCCTTAGCACTGGAAACCTTCCTCTAAAACCAAAGAAAACTAGCTATGGTTTGGATGAAGCTTCTTCTTTTCTTTGGCCTCCTTCCAGGTCGTTGACCTGGTCTCTCGATTCTACAGCTATCTAACATGCACATGGAAATTGTTCAGTTAATGGCAGAGTTGTCAAGTAGTAGTCTGGGAGGCAGGGGCGTAACTTGGCCAATAGGTTTAGGGAGGGGGGGGTTGTGAAAAGGGTTTCTGCCCTGCAAAACTGAGTTGGTGCCCTGCAGATCTCGAAGCAAAGGTTTGTCTAAAGATTACTAGTGACAGCTTTGCCAATGCACATTTGTCTTTGCCAAGAATAAATTTCTAAGCAATAAAAAAAATTTGAAACTTAATTGCCTATGAAACATCTATATCTTCCACGCGAGCGTAAATTATGATTATGTGATATGATTTTTGCTACATGATGTGGACGGCGCCACTAAATTGAATCGGGGGCCTAAGAATCAAGTTTAGTGCGGTAATGGACCCACCATGGCTGGGTCCGACATTAAAGAACATTTTTAAAATTATACCTTGTAAAAGGGCTAAGAAGCATCTCCCAGACTAAAATGTAGCAAAATACTTTACTGCTTAGGAAAGGTAATTCGATGGTTCTCAAAAAAACTGATTATTGTTTATTGGGAAAAATTGGGAGGGGAGGTGTCATGCTTAAACTCTAGTGATAGAAGTTGGGGGAAGAAAGAAACGGTAACCTTTTGTTTCAGATTGCACATAGATGTGAATGACCGAGGAAGATGTGGTTTTTATCGGGAGTGTGTCACAATCCCCCCACACCCCTCCCGGGATTTTGGCCCCTGCCGGGAGGTTGCAGAGATATACGAGCTATATAACAGTAGAGATAGCAATGGTAGTTAATGGCTATGCTCGTCACGAATTCTGTCACTGATAGTGAAGTTTACACAGATTTGGAAAGATGTGGAAGCATCAAAGAACCTATCTTGTTATGTTGACGTGACTTGTTTTATCTTCCAAAGATACATTTCAGACTCCTTTGTTGGAGTTGCTAGAACTTCTTCAAAGGCTCCTCAAGATTCTGTTCCAAGAACCCTGTCCCGTATTGGTACGCACACAAAGTTTCAAATGAGGAACATTTTAAATTGGCAGAAAGTGTAAACAAATTGAAAAGTCTGTTCCTAACTCCTATGTTGAAATTTCAGAGAATAACAATAATCTTTTGGCATTTTGCCAGGGTAAGGATCCAGTTGATTTTTGTGCGCAAGTTCCTTCGTTAAACACAGAAATAAGTTGTTTCTATAACCAACGATGCTTTCCTCACAAAATAATTAGGTGTGTCGTTCAAATGCAGCATTTAACTTCTTCAAACTATCAAAATATTTCTAAATCGTGTTGAGATCTTTTAGAGACATTGGCAGTTAAGTAATACGAGTTACATGATGTTTTCTTTGACTTTCTTCCAAGGTTTCATCAGTTTGAAAGCGGTGTTCTCGTGATTCAGTCATCCCTCTTGTCAGAAGCTGATATTTTGAAGTCGACGACAGAAATGGTTTGTACCCATAACATCTTTCAGGCCTTGCCGAAACATACATGGTTTTCCTAGTTTCCTCGTTTGTATCATCAACTGAAACGAGCATTTCCCTCTTGCATTTAAGTTCCTCCAAGACTGTTTATGCAAGACAAATTCCAGGACCAGAGATTTACAGGTCCATTTACCTCAATGTTCTAGTCATATCTGACGACCATACCCTACTTTATTTACAGTTAAACAAAATTAATCTCTGCTTTTTTCCCTGTGATCTGCGATTGGTATATCACCAGGGCTTGGTATAACACTACAACTGTTTTGACGAAATCCTGTCGATCTGAATTTTCGTAAAGAGAAACAAATTTTGTAATACTAACGTAGCAGTCTCACGTGAAACTTGGTGCCGCCGTCACAGTATCTATGAGGAGAGTTTTTTAAAACAGTAACAAAGCTAGACCTGGACAAGATTAAATTTCTTTTTCATTCAATGGTTTTTATTTCCATAAGACTTTGTGAGACCTTTGAACTGGGCCTGAAGATTTATTCCATCCACATTGACGGAAAAGCGCAAACTTTCAGGGTCCTATGTTAAGGGGTGCCGCCAAGGGGGTGCAGTACCCCTCAAAATTTTGTTCGTCGGCACATCAAGGATTTTTGCCGGGCAAAAGATGGATTTTTTGCACTCACTCTGTCAATTTTTTGCAACAATTTATAGAGTATAAAGTTTGAAACGGAAACGCATAAAAGGAGCTTGTAAGAGCATTTATGTTTTGACCATGCAAACCTTACGTTGCGCAGATTAGATTGGTTTTGCAGACTATGCAAACCTTACGTTGCGCAGATTGGATTCTTGAAATAGTCATCGAATAATTGTATATTTTTATCTAATGAGTCATCCTTTTAATTTTGTACATTTCCTATATTATTTTATCCATTCATTGTAATTAATTCAAGATTTGTAAATTAGTATAAATAGTAGGCTTAAATTAGCTGTTATATTAGCTAAAAAAATTGCGTCGCCTACTCTAAATGATTTTATAATAATAATAATAGATAATAACACCCTTTAAGAGTGAGACACGCCCTTTTTGTTGGCAAAAATCATCTCTTCACCCCTCCAAACAATTTTCTTGGCTTCGCCCCTGTCTGTATTTAATCAAAACTTGGTTCTAGGAATATTTGTTTGCTTCGAGAATAAACGCATCTTAATTTTTTTCTAAATTGCTAGTGTATTTTCTTGTTCAAAGCTTGAAAAAAGTTAATGTTCGTGTTTTTTTTGGTGAATTATTTTTTTTAAGTACCTACAGACCTAGATTGATAAGTACCTGTTTTTAATAAGTACCTCTTACAATAGTAGCCTGTGCGTAGTCATTTTGCTGTTGCTGTTGCCGTTGCTTACATTTCCCGTTCGCTGAAACGACTGCGTGCCGTGCAGGCTACTAACCTTTGCCCTTCACTACCACTGTTTTTCAATGCACTGGTCCCATGACTCTCACCAGCTTTTATCCCTAATCCTCTGTTGATGCTGCACATTATGCTTGTCAACAAAGTATGCATAGACAATCAACGGCCGGGGTGCAGAAACTTTCCTTGGAAAATATGATGCATGTATTGACTTTGTGCTTTTGTTGATGACAAACCTGTTACGCTTGTTTTAACTTTGTTACGTTTATGAGTTAACTCACACACTCTCTCACAAATCAATCAAATCAAATCAAATCAAATCAAATCAAATCAAATCAAATTCTTTTCATTCCCTTTTTATTGAATAGTTAATACAATGAATACAGGAACACTAAAGTTTAAATAAAATGTGATATACAGTATACTTCGGTATACTTGTTAATGAAAAATGCCAAGGCTACAAGCTAAATTTTACAAAGTTTGATTTCGAGTTTTTTTAAAACGGTAACAGAACAAAGAAAGGAAAATAAAAAGAAAAAAAATAAGAAAAAGGAAAATGACTTGCTACACTTACCTGTTTCTTCACCGTTGCTTTGCATTCACAACATTCTACATCTACCAATCCGACACCACCATTGTTTATTTCAAATTTGTAAATAAATTAATTTCCCATGTTTATTGTTGTTTGTTTTCGGCTCTTTGCAGTGTTTCTTAGTTTGTACAGAAAAAAGTTTGCCTTGTAGACGGTGGTCAGCAAAACCCTTTAGAAGTCTTGAAATCAGTCTATGTTCATGTGTGCGCTAGTTCTCTATTTCCTATAAAAGAAATTTTACGAAATGATCCTGGGTTTTCCATAGTGCAAGGAAATTCCCCTATAGGCCGGACATTTTTTTCAGCCTAACTGCACTCTCTTAAGGGAACAAGCCATGGGTTCACATCCGCTACAATCTCCCTAACCTACTTTCAAAACTAAATCTTTTTTGCTTTCTTGGTTTGCCAGACACCATATTAGTTTCACTCACGCTATCCATAGAATTCGGCGTCAGAAAAGTAATATGAATCAGTTTCTAAGCTGATTTTCCTTAAGACGGAAAGTTGAAGCTAATCAAGTTTTCCGGGGAGTTATTCACTCTTGCAAATAACGTACGAGATTTTCCCTAAAACAAAAGGATTTCCAGGGATTTTCAGATAAAACAATAGGATTTTCCCAAAAAGTGTACGAGATTTTTTTAAGAGTGATTTGCCCCTCGAAGTTTTCGGTCTAACTTTTCTCCTTTTTTGTAATTTTTTACCTTCTGTTTGACACAGGATTATCTTCCATTATAGGTTGAGATGTCTGCTTCGCTCACGTCCGAGGAATTTGCCCAAAAAACGAAAGTTGCTGTTGCATTGGCCAAAGAGAGGTTCCTTCAAAAGTTTTTCATGCCTTTAATTGTGTTTTTCCTATCGACTATGCTTTATCAAAAGGCTGATTGTTTTTTTCGATACAAATGTCTTATGCAATATTCTTTATACAGCAAGAAATGAGATTGTGTTTATAAATGAAATAAAATAGAAAAAAAGTTTTCTGCTATGTATGTATGTATATTGGAACGATGTTAGAAATTTAATGGGATTTAACTGGGAAACCAGTCGAGTCTGTGCGCAGACTATATTTGGGTGCAACAAACAACCCTCTCCTTGGTATAAGGTAGCAACCCGAAATCGTTCTACTGTACACACCAAATTATCTACAGCTCAGTCATGGCGAAAAAAGGGGGTGTCATCCCCAAAAGGCGAAATTTTTTGACATAGGAGGGGAGAAATTTAAATGTATGACTTAGAGATACTCTTTCTCCGCCTGGTCTTCTGTGTGAAAAGTGGCTTCTGAGGAAATTTAAAAATGGGGGTGAAACAAATAATTTTACCAAAAATCTTTTTCTGCAAAAAGTGGGAGGTGATGGTAAGTATAATTCTGTTTTCAAAAACTGATTGGATTTTTCTTTACAGGCTTCTGAGTGCTGAAAAAGCTGGGAAACTGTGCAGGGATGATTCACTAGAAGGCCTCAGGTTCTACCCAAACAAGTTCCTTATTGCTTGATGATACTGCTACAAGATCGCCAAATGGAATCGAACATTACCAAAACTGCAATGTCACGTTGTCAATCAATTTAAATTTCTATTTAATTACTTGTAAACTTTCTCAATTAAAAATATATGGGTTTTATATAAGGCTTTTTTCTACACTGTTGGACCTAAATATTGTATGTTGAGCCATTCTGTGATATGGAAAGCATCTGTATCACAAATCCCGTTTTTTGCAGACCAAAATTGAGATTCATACGGTATTTCCAAGAAGGGTTATGGCGTCATAAAGATAAAATTATAGTGTCTTAAATTTACTGTTTGGTGATTTATTAACGGGATACATTTGTTTGATTCTTCCCCCACCTTTTCCGAAAATTCAGGGAACATTTTGACTCCACCTCACTGTTTTCGCACTTTAACAAGGCAAAAGAGAATATTTTATTTCATTTTATTTTGTGTGTGGCTCTAGGTCAAGTGTGATTATTCATATCGAAAAGGTCTACTCCAGGGGTACCCAAACGTTGCATACCACTGACCCCTGAAATGGTCCTTGATTACCCTCCCCCCATTACCCCCTTCCCCCGCCACAGGGCTTGTGCAAAAACATCGGTGATATTTAGCAACATGTGCAGCTTCAATTTAGATCTCTTTTTATTATGAGCCTGTTTATTACGAGTTGCTGTTTGGCAAGATTGTGCGCAGAAAAAACAACACTTATTTGGTGGTATAAAATATTGAACCGTTAAAAGCCTTGAGAAAGACTACTGAATCTTTGTAAAAGTAATTCCTCTGATACAATCATAAGCTAACAACAGTTTATCAAAGATTTGTTGACTTGCTTTTCCGTTGATCATCGCAAATTTTCAGAAAACAAATGTTAATCATAACAGTATGAAAATGGTCCAGTTAGGGAATTTTTACTGCTTGATTCTCTTGCAAGTGCTAAGAATGCACCCGGCAAATTTCTTTGCACAAGCTTTCATCTCTTTCTTGTCGCCCCAAGCTCTCCATCTGCACATCTTGGCCCCAAAAATGCACTAAAAGGAACAAAAAAATTTCAAAGAGTGTTGGAAAGATTGAAATAGAGATATCTGGGCGTTAACAGGCATTTCAACATGAATTAATGGTCCGACTGTGTTTTTGAAACTGTGGATCCCCCTGGACAGTGAGTTCTTTTATGATGCGGAACCATTGGTAGGAGACGAACAAGGCAGACTCTCCTAAGAAGCGAGCCCTCTCAATTCTTAGCGTCAGCGCATGCGCAGTAATGATTCAGTTTGATGGCATTTAAATACCGTAAATCCTCGAATTAGCCCCCTGGGGGCTTATTTATTTTTGATATTTTTGGACGGGGGCTTATTCGAGAGGGGAGCTTAGACGAGGGGGAGGGGGCTTATAGAATTATTGTAGACAACAAGAAGACATTATTAAAGGCCTTGTTTATTTTAGTAGAAATTTCTTTACGAGCATTTAATTAATTACTACCAGAAGTACGAATTTGTCGTGGTAATTCAATATAGCGCCATAAGAAACCTCAGATGGCAAAAACCGTCAAATTGAGGGGTCCAATTCGAGAATATATGGTAGCGGTGGGGGCTTATTCGAGGGGGGGGGCTTATTAACAGTTTGTAGTTTTAGAGTGGGGGCTTTTTCGAGGGGAGGGCTTTTTCGAGGGGGGGGGGGCCAATTCACGGTATAACATTTATGTGAATAAAATGCTCACCCTTGTAAATGGTCCGCGGTGACGGCGACGTTGAGGTCCTTTGTGACGTCGATTGGCGGCAATCTTATACCCAATGGTTGTTTTCACTTTCGTTACCAATTTTCTGCCAAAATTACGCAGTTTGCCCCAGGTTGCTGTAAGGGACCATGATGGTTTTCTTCTTTGGAACTTATTTGCATACATTTTGCCCATCCTCTTAAATTTCCCTGCAAACTTCTTCCAGGGCCTTTTCCCCTCACTTTCGTAGTCGTCATCATTATCGTCATACATGTCATCATTATCATTTTCACCCTCCATTTCGCCCATTTTGTCCATTTCTTCCATTTCATCGTCTTCGTCGTCGAATTTCTTCTTTTCATCGTGTCGTGGGCGCTTCATGAGGCAAGCCTTGAACTTCATGAAACATTCCTGACGGTGCAAGAGGTAATGACAATCGGTGTTCATCAGGGCATTTTTTAACATACTAACTAGGAGGCAATTGTCACTGCAGCCCCAATGACTTTCTATTGCTTTAAACTATTGTCCTTCTCCTTATATAAAAATTTTTTGTCCCTGCAACCATTTTCCTTTGAATTAGGCTATGGTGTTTATTGTTTCGAAGTTTTATTGCATCCGAATTTTGTGCATTCAGATAGGCTGCTCAGTACGAGAGTAGATCTGGGCTAGCCCATTGCAATGTTGGAAGGATAGCGACTACAAAATGGCACGGAGAAAACGTAGACAATGTAAATTAAGGATAGCAATTTTCAACATCTAAGACAGTTATCAACGTCCCAGTTTAGAAAAGCCTGGTACACAAGGTTATTGTAATGTTCATCCTTCTTTCGTCGTTTTTAAATTTTCATATACTTTTTGCTCGAGGTTGTCTGTAAACAAGTGACTCATTTTCTGACTCATATACATTTCAGCAAAGCTCACAAAAAGTTCCAAACAGGTTGAAGTTCAAGATCAGGCAAAAAGGGAATATATTTTAAAATTAGTTTCCCTACCTTGGTTCCATTTCCTTTTGAACCATTGTTGAGTGGGTCAAGAAGGAATTCGACCATTGGTGGCATTTTGCTTTCCTTTGTATTGCCATCTTGATATTCATACGCTGGTGGCATCATCATTGATGATTCATCGTCGCTCATCGTTTTGTTGTGCTGCTTCTTGATACAGCAATTAGTTCTTTGAAACATTTGCAAAATTTTTTGGGGCACATATGATGTCTCTGTTGAAGAATGAAAAGTGTCCTAAATCATGACAACAACACGTTTGATTGAAATGGGAGATGACTCCTATTGTTTAGAGCAATTATTCTATTAATTTTTCTGGACAATGAGAAAGTGTATCATGTCTTTATTCGCAGAATGCTTCTGGACAAAATTCACATCCCATGGTGCTTCACAGCATTAAATCAAAAAGCTATTAAATATCAAAGTTGCCGCATATAAACCAGAGCTTCATTCTCACTCTTCTCATGACACCCTTTTCGCTAAATATTCCTGTCTTTTGACTCTATATTGGCTTATTCCTTTAAGAGCCATGAATGTTCCTGCCACAGAATAAATGATGCAAAATTTTCAAAGCCAATGCTGGTTCATTTCCCCAATAAAAATCTCTTGAAATGACGGTGATTTGTCAATTCATCTTGAGACACTGACTTGAAAATACCATGTCAGGCCATAAAGATGGGTCAGGCATGCAGATCATTTTACAAACAAACGTATCGAGATTAACTCACCCTGTGTTGATGGTGGTGGCGATGACCATGATGGTGTCCATGGTGATGACCATGGTGGTGTCCATGATGGTGTCCGTGGTGTCTGTCCTCTGGGGTAGTGGTAGGGGTAGTGGTAGGTTGTGCGGTTGTTGTCATTTCTTCAGTGAACTTCTTGGACTCCACTTTCATTTCACATTCTTCAAGCATTCGGTAGCACTCCCATTTGCCAGCTTTGTCAGATGTCTGGTTCACACAGACATTGTATTCGATGTAACACTAGGAGAGAAAATATTGCGTTTTCACTAACGGTAATTCACTTAAACATTTAGTAGAAAGGACAAGTATGAAAAAACACATTTTAATTTCCGGTGTTTCATAAACCTGGGATGGAAAGTTTGCAATCTTGCTAATTCCAGGGTTTTGATTGGCTTATAGGTGAATATGATAAACCAGTGAAAGTTGTCTTGAAGTCGAGCGGCCGAGATTCCACTGATATCGCTACTCACCTAAATTACATTGACGCTAAGAGGAAAGGATTAGGACATCTTCGGCGCATGTTTATTTCTTTTTGCTTTTTTTATGCAAAGGCTAGGTAACATTGCTACAAGACTAATAACTATTCTCTGAAAAGAAGTTATAATGAAAATAGATACGACAGAAATTTTTATTGTAATTTTTTCGCAGAATCTACTTCTTACCTGGTTCTTGGCCTTCTCAAATTCATCTTCTTCAAATCCGCCATCTATAAGAGAGAACTTTCATTTCAGCTTTTCAGAGCAATAATCCAGTGTAACAATTAGAAAAAGCTATTTTGAAAAAAGCTACTTCTTTTTTCAAAATCTTAGCTAAAAGAGAAAGTTTTTTAGCGAGTGAGGCAGCCCTCCGTCATGGAGTCAAAGACCATGCGCACGAAACGAAATTATTATTACGCATGCTCTCGGACTCCGGACGGAGGGTTGTCTCACTCATTTGAAGATTTTCGCTCGCTCGTCTCCCCAACAAGAACGGTGCTTATTTAGAGTTTGATGCTATAGAAAGGGGGCTTATTGATGGGTGGGTATATTCGAGAAGGGGGCTTGACTTGTAAGAGGGTTGCTTTGAGGCATTGAATCAACAATTTTATTGTTTTTTCACAAATTTCTCCCCAAAAGTTGAAAAACTAGTGTTCCAAGATATTTCAAAGTTTCTTATAAAAAATCCGTGTGCATCATTTTCTAAACCTGGCATTAACAGCAGTGTTCTCGTCAGAGTCCAGAAAAGTTAATAACCTTCCTCCGGCCTAGATTATCTTTCTATAAAACCTTCCTCATTTTTACTTTGGTTTTCGTTTGGCATAAAAATAACCATTATCAGAAACCAATAACAATATACCTCTTATGTTATGTTGCAGAAACTGAATATTCTGCAAATTTGTTTTTGGAAATTATAAGAAACTCACAATCGTTGAAATGTAGGAACCTTTAACTAAGTAAATTACCGGGCCCCGTGGCCCCGATGATGATTCGCCCCTGGTTTGTACATATATGGAACACCACATAGGAGTCTTAGGCAGAAAGCAAAGAAGAGAAATTATTATCGATTTTTACTATTTGGAAAAATATTGAATATATTGAACAAGTAGTAGCTCTTAAAATTCTTTAGTCATATGCAGAACCCGATGACTTATCATGCGGCAGGCATGGAGCGCAATGCGTCATCATTGTCTCATTTTGTGTCAACATTTAGCTATAACAGCTGGAGTTCACAACAAGAAGGTTGACGGGTTTCAGGGGGCCATGCCAGACTCGGAGACGAAAGAATGGTACGCTCATTTTTTTTATAAGAAACTGGCTATAAGAAATGAGTACTGGACAGTCAGAAAAAATTAAGAAACTTCAGTACTCGAAGCAAAAAAATTAAGAAACTATTAAATCGTGATAAAACCGAGAACGACGAAGTTTTGTAAAATCCAAGAAAAAGATTGCCCTGTTGGCCTAGAACTTAAGACACAAGGGATAAAAATATTCTTCCCACATCTAAATACAGCATCGGAACGGAAGCGAATCTCTTGACGGAAACAAAGAGTATTGAAATTTCCAGCGTACTCAACATCGACCTTTGTTTCTTATAAAAAAAATGAGTATAGTCTGAAACGCAAAGTTATTTTCGCTTCTTATAAATGGGTTTCTTATAAAAATACTTGTAAGGTGGGCATGGTTGTATGTTTCCTCTTGCTGATATTCTCAAACAGGTCAATTGGTTGTCTCAAACTTCTGTCGTTTATTTTGATACATTCGTTTAATTCATCGCATCAGTTTACAGCAGCTTATTATTTCAGCCGTGCTTGTTGTGGCGAAGGTGAAGAATGCCGGTTTCCCGTAAGCAGTAACATATAAGCAATAGAAAAGCTTTATGCTGAAAGCAAGAGATGCGAGCGGGATGATCAGTCGATTCTCAATTCAGAATACAGAAATTTCGTTAAGTAAAAAATATAGAAACGACGTTAATACTGTGACTGACGCAACGATCATCAGCACTGTTCGAGAAACTCTAACAAAAAAAAAGATACAGATTTATCATGGCTTCCCTTTTAATCGCTTCAATTGCTAACGGTTTCGTATTTTAACCTGCTCTGTCCTCATAACCTTGTCTAGAAAGTTTTGCCTTTCCAGTGAAGTTTCACGCATCATGGAGGCCAGGTTTTTGGACGAGATCTTTGCTGTGCAACAGCAGATATTGAGCGCATTCCAAATTTGAAATTGTGCATTCAAAATCCCCGAGGCAACCAATCTCAAATAAGAAATGGAGACTTCTTTGTTGCGAATAACCCCTTGAACTCCTTACGAATTCTCTTTCCCCTTGAACTTACACAACTGCTTATCCAGAATTCACGTACCCAATAGTTGGTTTCAAATTGCTTACGTTTTCAAATTGCTTACGTTTTCAAATTGCCTACGTTTTCAAATTGCTTACGTTTACAAATTGTCTGCGTTTACAAATTGTCATGTCTACTCAAAATTAACCTGTTTTCACCTTTTCTGTGTTATTCGCCTGTTTTTGCTGATAACTATAACTTTAACTGTGCTAAAGGCTAAGAGCCTGTCACAGATCTTTGGAGTGACTTCACCCTAGACAGACCACTGTACTGACAGACCACTCATGTCAAGCCAAACTCTAAATAATAACAAGTGATAGATAATGGACGTCAGAAAAATAGTATGTCCTGGTAAAGCCACTCCATACTCATCGTATTTTCTCAACAAGATAATGTTGTTGTCTTAATCTAAACTATTGAAAGAATGTCTTTTTTACGAGCAGAGTATTTCTTCTCTCCAAATAAATTGTTCAAATGAATCTTGGATGAATTTAGCGTGTCTGCATTTACATTGATGAACATTTATTTTGCAATAAAACGTTCTTTAGACATGAGAACCCAAAAGCTCGACGGCAATATGTTATTTACCAACCTAGTTAGGCACTGATGCACTTCTTCCACCGCTTAGAAACCGTCTTGGAATTTTTCCAGTCTTGCGATGTACACAAAACTTTCAATATGACGAGGGCTTTTGTAAGATCGCAAAACTATTGCGTTCTCGCATGTTTCATTATTCAACGGTCTAAATATGGCTTATAAGAAACGGAGCGAGCTTGCATCAAACTAAAAAATAAATTCGCTTACCAAATTCCTGAGCATAGATGCCCAAAAAGAGCAGTGCAAACGCAACCAGTTGGAACTTCATTTTCTCTTGCACGTGGACTGTCTTTCGCCACTTTGCAGTATGAGTGTTGAAGCACAGCAACGCAACGCAACACCATTAAATACAAAAACGTTATCTGCAGGGGGCCTTGCACTGGGGCTTCTAAACCGGATTGACAACTTTTAGACGTTTACGTAGTTAACACGCCATGCCGCGCAACGAGAGATTTCACACTTCTCAAACAATGATAATATCACATGAAATATGCGGTAACACCCCTTTTCTGGTGCCTTGTCATATCCTGCCCCGGCAAATTCCCAGGTGAAATACACTGGAGCAAGATCCTGCCCCGGGCAAGGCAAGACTCTCCCCGGTACAAAATAACTGTCATCCGGGTTGCAAAAAGAAAAGTGTATGAAATCTTGAAAGAATTGTTTAGCAATTCAAAATTAGAATTTGTGATCGAGGGGCAAATCACAGAAAAAGTGTCGTACACTTTGCTGAAAAGCCCGTAAAAAGTTTTAGTTGCATTGCCATAACTTTTACTTACACTGTCATGAACATTAGAGTCCTAAATGTTGGATGAGTTGTACGTTTGGTGCAAAAGACAAAACAAAACATCTCATTTTTCAATGATTTGCACGTTTTTATATCTTTGTTGTTATCTATCGTTTCTATATATTGTTTTTATAGTCAGTTTTATTCGATCTTCTACACATAGGAAGCCCAGAAAAGCAAAGTTATTTGAGAGATTTTGAGATTTTTCAAGATTTTTGAGATTATTTAGATTTTTTAGAATATTTTTTAGATTTTTCAGATTTTTTCCAGATTTTCTTGCATTTTTAGGGTTTCTTGAGATTTTTCAGATTTCGCAAAGATAATAACCCTATTTTTAACAAACGATTTTAGTAAACAAGACTTTTTCAGTGACTTGCTCCTCGAACAAGACCACTTCTTGAAAAATAGTCAATAGTCTCTATCGTAAGAAAAAGATTTCATGTATTAAATATTCGATAAAAAACTGTAATTGATAAGAATTTTTTTAATTAGAACACTATTACTGGCCTTTAATATTTTGTTTTGTTCTATCATTGAATTGTATGTAAATGTTCGATCGATAAGGGCCATTTCAACCTAAATATCTCGGTGGAAGTTACAGCAGACAAGATAGGAACCAAGGCAATTCTTGCCACATAATAGCGTTTCTATAAGAAAGCTTGTAATATCTTACTCGTTTTTATAAGAACATTTGGCTCCAGTTTCAGCCCTGGCGTTTCTAATTTTTTTCGCATACTATCATATCGGCCTTATTTTGTTTTTATACTCTTTTTTATAAGAATCAGTAAATTTAAGTTCAGGCTGACTGTTCTTAACTTCTTTTTGCGAAAATTTGAGGCTGAATTGTTCTTAATTTGTTCTTAATCTAATAGGGTGTAAGCAGTCCGAGTGCTAGCTTTATCGCTCTAGTTAGGGAGGTAGTCAGGCCTTATTTGCCAACAAAGTGAGTGAGACAACCTTCATTTGCTGACAGGTTTAAATATTCACCGAAAAAGCACCCACACATCGCTAAAAATCCTCGATTTTGAGAAAAAACGTTCAAAATTATATTTTGCAGAAGCTTAGCCTCAGCTTGTTCTTGATTTGTTCTCAACTTTAGACCATTTTGAGGCTCGTGTTCTTATAAAATTGTTCCTATAACAAAGAGTGTATTTTAAAACTGACAATGATGATGTTGAACTGATTTTATTAAAATAAGTTTGTTTAACTGTTGTTTCAATGCTATTTTTCTTATCACTTTGTACTGTTCTGCTGCTGTTCGTTTACTTTCAATTTTTGCTGGTATTTGATTTTTGAGTTTTGTTGAATTACAGGCAGCTTGTTTTTCATGTTGTTCTTATTTCAGCCCCTGGTGTTTCATATAAGGGTTGTTCTTATAAAAAACGTGTAATAGGTATTATTAGACTCAGACAAAATAAACTCAATACAATTTGCATACTGTGATTAATGTTTTCCCAATGCTTTCAAGCTAATCTCTGGACTCTGATAAAAATAGTATGCACGATGCAGATGGATCATTTCTAACGTCATTTCCTGTTTTTGAATCGACTCGTGACGCTTTTGTGAAAATGGCACACACCACTTGACGCGGAGGTTTATACCCTTTCTGTCCACAATGTCAAATCCTTTTGTTTTCTCTTGAAGTCTTTGGCTAACCCAACGCGGTCATAACAGGTTTTCAACAGGGTCCAATCTGGATGCCCTGTCACTTCCATCTCCATGGTCACTTCCGACCATTGTGAATTAACACACAATAGTTCGGTTTCTTCTGCTGTGCAAATTAGCTCCGGCGCGTGATAATTGACAACGATTTGTGGATTGCAGGAGAAAGGCAGCGTGTTTTTGACTGTTGTGTCTGGTTCTGTTTTGAACCTTCATGTAGAAGATGAAAACACAGATAATCTTGACGATTTGCCTCTGCCTCGCTGCCTTAGCGGTGGCAGCAAAAGGCCAAAGAGGTTTGTTGAGGTTTTCGTTGTAGAAACGGTATCCTTGTCGTCTTTTATCCGACTTTAGGCTTACTGACGGCACGCAGCGAGCGAAATTTTCAAAGTTAACTCATATCCAGATTCGTTATCAGTTATTTTATCTCTTAAGCGTTGTCTTTGCACTGTTGCGGTTTTGAGTCAAATTTGAGTTCAATTTTGTTATCAAAAGCATCCGATCGTGTCATTAATTAGTCAGCAAATATAAATGCACATTCTGACAAAGCATTTGAGTAAATCAAAGATGTTTTGACTGCTGTGTGTCAAACGACCGTTACGTTACAGGATCTTATGTACAGTTTGAATTGCAGTAAATTTTTCTGTCTTGTTTCACAAATTATTCAATTCTTGAACGGTGCATAATAATAGCAAAATTATTTATTGTGAGATTGAAGGATTGTAGGAAGTTGGCAAATAATGCTTATCAAGCAGTGTCCTTGTATGTGGTCCCCCAGACTTGAAGGCGCGGCAGTTTTTTTAAGAGATCTCAGATGCGCCAGAGGCTCTTAATCGAAAGTGCGCTGCGGAAAGTTTATTGGTCTAATTTCTTAAAGGTGGGGTCCACATGTGTCCGGCTAAAGAAAGTTCTGCGGAGTTTTTCTAGCCTGCGTGCAGACTCTGTCGACAAAATTGAAAATAGGAGGAAAAGCAGAGCTACTTTCTCTCCTCTTTTAAATTTCCGAGTCTGCACGCAGGCTAGGGTTTTCAGAAACGTGATTTTTCATGTCATCGCCCCAGCCCTGCTAGGTTAGCTTTTCATGTGAGCAGGTTGGAATTACAAGAATACTGACCAATCGCCAGCCATTATTTTGATTTTACTTGAAAGGTTGGGTATACGCAATCCTTTTGCGGGTCTTAGACGAAGGGGGGCCGCCTGGGGGCCTTGGCGAGGGGGGCCCCCAACTTTTTTGCAAAACAATATAGTTTTTTTCAAAATCTTTGTTATGGGTGTTAAATTTTTCTCTTGGCCCCCCACTTTTCAACCTTTGTCGGAGCCTATGCTGTTATATGGATACATTACCTTTAAACATTAAGACTTCAACAAATATTGGGGTAGCCCCCCCCAACTCTAGCAAATGCGAGTTGGCCCAGGACTACAGTAATTGAACATTTGAACATTGTTGTGCAAACACCATGCGCAACGCACTTGTGCAGCAGGAAAGTCTGGATTGCTAAACTCTGATTTTCAATTAGCAAACCAAATTGATAGACTCCTTTTACGAGAAGATTAATTGACATATAAGTTTTGAAAAGGCATCTGTATTTGACCCAAAAGTGTTGATCATGATTTTAGTTTTTTTGCTGCTAAAAATCTTTGAAGATACTTTAGTAATGACAAAGCAAAAACTGAGACCAACAGCTGTTTATGTCCTTTGTTCATATATATTTAAAAAAGAAATGATTAATTTTTCGAAAGAAATAACTGTGACTTGCACTGAAGGAATGATTGTCTGCTGGATAGTGCCTGATTTGCCCTGGTGATAAAGTTGTGGATGTAATGAAGTGGATTTATCATGAATATACTAGCATATCTTTAGGTTGTGTTAAAGATGAAATTTATATATACTCGAAAAAGGGAGTGTGAGTTTTGCATCTTTTTTATGATTGTGGATAATTGTTATTATAATGATTATGTTGATACACGAAGAAGTAAGTTTTTACATGCATAAATGCTCTTAAGGTTCTTCAATCTCCAATTGTTTACTCCTAAAGGCTTTACAACCAATCTGGAGGTTGCTGACAAACATTAACAACAAGATGATAGTATTATTATTTAGACTATTATTAAACCAGAAAAATATGCAATGGGGTTGAACAATTTCTCATCTATTCTTATTTTGTACATCACAAACCCCTTTCTATCAAGCACACATATTTGGGATCAAAGTCTCTGTTAGACTGATGACCCTAGAGTTGTCTTGAGATAAAAGAAGATTTTGTAGGATTTATCGAATTTAGCTGCTCACTAAGCATTGCACCAAAGGGACTTGTAAAACAATTGATATTAAAACAAGCTTTTGGTAATTGTCAAGGGAGTATCCCTTTCTCCAATCTTGTATGTAATTCCTTCCTTTCTGTGTCATGTCTGAGGAAGGCTTGCCTTTGGATTTGACAGCATTTTCCAAGACATGATTTTTCCACCTCTGAAATTGAATTTTGGAGTATACATTGGAGTAACAAAAAATTTTGCCAATGAACCCAATGAAAGAATTGATCATTTTAACTTAAAATCATGGTAGACTTGGGATAAGTGCTACAGATTTTTAAAATTATTTGGTTTTTATGCATCTTAAGGCAAATGGCATGGAACGGACCGAAACAGTATGACAGGAGCTTTAATTTTGCAAGCAAAAGGTTCTGAAGACTATTTCAGTACCATTTAAGAACTTTAGGGCACCATAGTTTGATAACTTACTAAGGGCCCCAAATAAAAAGGACCATAAATTATGTTTTTACTCATTTTTTGAAGCAATTAACTCAGCACCCCCCCACCCCCTAGGTGCTGAGAAAATTTATTATTTGTGAATATTGCTAAAGTGTTTCATATGCTCTCACCATTGGATGGGACCTTCTGACAATCCAATGTGGAGTGGGTCCCATCTCAGTTTTTTTCCAACTGCCCCAAGTGCCTCCTTTACATCACAGGGGTCACTCTTTATTGTGAAAGTTTTGTATTTCAGATTATGGGTTGCAAGTTTTAGCAGTATTTGTTTCCTAAAAAATCTTGCAATGGACTTTAAAAGATTGACTTTAAGATTTGTGACATATTTTTCATTTGAATGCTGCTGCAACGTAGCACTTAATGCTCTCGGCAGTTATACCCCTTGAAGCACTGACCTTCCTGATCAAGACATTTAATTTGTTTCCTAGTAATAAACAGTTTTAGACTCCAAGCCACAAAGCAACTATCTCAGAGATTATCTTGTGGCAAAATATCACATAAATATTTTACTGGTATTTCTGTGGCTCAATTTTCATGTTTTTGAAATGATTGATGTTATTGGAAAAAGTCAAGAAATGTTTTTTTACTTTTATTATTATTGCTAAAGTACATATATATATATACACTTACTTTCAAAAAGTATTAGGACAAATTGGATAAAAGAACTAGGTGTTTCCCTCTTTGGGCTTGCAACAGAACCTTGTTCAGATATGAGCAGTCCTTTTTTCAAATAATCTAGGCCTATGTATTCAAAAATGTGGTTAAAAATTAAACAAATACTTAAACTTTTGAATCAAAACTATAAATGCATTGAATACTTACAATTTTCCTATAGATAATAGCAAAATCTGCAAAAGAGTTGTATGGCCTATAAAAGGCAACTCATATGGCCTTGGGGATTTTTTGGAGATGTCCAAACAAATTCAATTTCTTAGATTGTCACATCTGCAAAGCACAGAAATTTACAAAGAAAATTATGAAATCAACTTATTAAGTTTCAAATAAAGTTTATTCTAATCAACGAAAATGTTACCATGTCATGAAATTATTGAATTTACTCAAGCTCCTTTTAAAACTGCATGAGACTAAAGTGAAAACCACAGTACTTTTCAGTGATGACTAGTTTTTGCTTTGAGAGAGCATTTTTTTTAAAGCTGGAAAATTTGTATTTCTTATGATTTTCATAGCCAAGTTTTTGCTTGTATTCCTAAAAAGGCTTCTTTTAGACGACAATATAATGTCTGGTTAGGATTCAAACCAATTACTTTGTAGTTCCCTCAGAATGGACCTTTCGTCTCTCGGCGTCTTAAATTTGTTCGGTCTGCCAACCCTTGGCTAATTTTTTACTCTTCTTGTAAGGAAAACTGTACAGACCACAAAAGCTGCACTCGTTGAGCAACAAACAAGCAAATTAATAACTCAGTTTTTTTTATAAGAACTCTCATGTTTACATCTTAAGGCCTACAAAAGTTTTATGGTTTATTTTTTTTTTAATTGTTTGGCATCTACATTAAAGGCTTTGAAGCATCAACAATGTCTTGTGAAAATTTTATAGAAATGAGTGATGTGCCTTTTTTAAAGAAAAGATTGTTAAAGATTTTTTGCATAAAATGTCTTCAAAGTTTGGCAGTTTGTCCCAATACATTTTTAGCCTAGTGTATATCGTTTATTTAAATTGCTGTAACTATTCAAACTTTTGTTTGCTAAATTGTTTGCATCAGTGCAGCCATTTTTGTTTGAGATTTTGCAAATAGTTTTTCTTCCCAAGATATTTCAATCAACCAAAAAGGTACAATATTTCAATAAATCAAACAGCATTTAATCCTTTCAAAATATTAAACTGTCTTTTTGTTTAGATATAAACACTTCTTGCTTGTTAAGATAATTAAACAGTTGACTTTTTATTGTAGTCATTTAGTTGTAATGTTTGTAGTAAACTATGATGAAAAATAACACCTGTTTTCCTCTGAATTTAAGGATTGAGAAATGCTGCAGCAAAACAAGGAAAAATGGCAGTAAGTAAAAAATTATTTTTTAGGGTTAATGTGATATTAGTCTGAGATGAGCTTTTTTTGTAGAGCTACACACCTCCCCTCCCAAAATCATTCAAACTGAATCCAATGTTGTATCAGTGAGTCAAGTTAATGATATCAAATGAATGCATATATTACATATATTTAAGGAGTGACAATAAGAATTATACCAAGGTCATTGTGTTCCCACTAAAGGATGCACTTACAAATAATTTTAATTGACAGTATCCCTTTAGTGAGAAAAGGCTCAAGTTGTCATGTTCCCACTGAAGTGTCGTAAATATATTAGATTTAAATTGATGTTTTTACTAAGCTTGACCGAGTAAGAAAACACCAAAAATATAGCTGCAAAATTTTAATTGATTGAACCAAACCATAGATTACCTTTACACATAAGACTTCTTAGAGGTCAATTTGTTACTAGAGTGTTGTGTCCTGGGTCCATATTTATACACTGACAAGAGTAGTTTCTAGAATATTACGTAATTGACAACTTTATTTGTATTTGCGTTCAAGAAAGTGCGAGAATGTTATTACCTCCAAGCTAATTTTATCAAAAAACAAAACATTACGTAATGTAAATAAACAATAGTAAACGTGTGATAAGTTTGTAGAAAGATTTACTTTGTTCCAGAAAAGTGAAGAAAGTTCACAACAGAAGGAGGCACTCACAATAAACTAATCATTATCACAAAACAAAAGGTATATACAGAGGGGGAGAGCTGCTGCAACATTTGATTAATATCTACAAAAATCGTTTAGTTGCCTTAATGTATGGCATAATGACAGCCATGACCATTCTGTTGGTGATTACATTCAAAGTCAAGCTACCATATGCACAAGGCTGTTGTCTATTTATTTTCTATTTCTAAGGCAGGGATTTCTGTGAGCTGTGCAGGGAAAGTGCTCATTGCCCTCTGTGTCATTACCACAAATGAGTATCGGGCTTGGATAGTAAAAGCTATGCTGACTTTTTGGCTCACTTAAGGCACTTAAATTCAAACAAAGCTTTGTCAAGAATCTAACATCTTGAATATCGTAGATGTAATATATATATATAGGCTTTTCTACATCACTGCGAGTAGTTTACATTTAAATCCAGCAATAAACTTTTTGGAAAAGGTATTTAAAAACATACAGTTTATCCTGTTTTGGTTGTAAGCTTGTGTAGTTCTAAGATTATTTATTAGACTGTCCTTTGTCTGGGCTTTCTGCAAATAGGCGTTCTTAAATTCTGAAAGCTTTGGAAGAGTTATAATTCTATTGGCAAAAAAATTTTACTAATAATTTCAGTAATTTGACATAGAGCGATGATTTGGGTTGGCTAAAATACTGATTGTAACTTTTGCTTGAATTTTTGGAAAGGTCTTCACCCAGAATGGGTACATAGTTATGTTACTTTTACTGCACGAGCACAGAAAACAAGATAACCATGTCACTATGCCTAATAACACCCTAGACCAATATTGAAGTCCTTAACACAAAGATTGGTTAAAAGAACTTTCAATTATATCCTTTGTTGGTTGTTTCCTGGATTTGAAGAACTCTAGAATAATTTTTCAAATCAAATCAGGTGACAAGTTGTTATCCAGGTTGGTTTTAAGGACTCGTTACATGACTTTTACCCAGTTTTGCTGGTTAGTGCGAATATTAGCTGAAAAATTAGGCTTTCTTCTTCGGATGTATTTTCTAACTTTGTATTTTGATAGAATATGCCAGAATAAGTTGGCATACGGAATTTGGTCATAAAACTTCATGGTTTCTTGTTATTGTAACTCTTTGATGGATGATAAACATAGCTTGTTCACAAACCTGACCACAATTCTTCTGCTCCCTTCAGAAAAATTTTTGGCCCCCTCATTCTCAAGTTTTTATCAAATTAACTGCTTTTCTTATAGACTGTAAATGCTATGGGCAGTAGACTTTGCATTCCACTTATTTGCAACTTTTTGAAATGAATGACCTGTCTGACAAAATCTTTATAGCTATTCACAATGCTTTGTCCATTGCTCATGTTTTATGCTTGCTCGGTGAAAGTATTTTTTCATTTTTCTCTAATATTAATCTAAACAACATGAACATTTTCCAGTGCTTCAAATCCTTCTTCAACTGCACAAAAGCAGCAACAACAAAGGAAGCTAAGAAGGAATGTAGGGAGAAACTTCATGTCTGCAAGGAGCGAGTCAAGGAATTGCTCACAAAGATTATACAGACCAAGCCAAAGCCTGCTGGTGGAAACAGAAAGCCTGGTCAAAAGGTAATATCAAAAAAGCTTTGTATTCATTTTAAAGCAATTTGTTTTAATTAAAGTCTTTTTGAAGCTGAAAAGGCCAATAATATGCCCTTATTGTGCTGCAGCATCAGGTCAAACTTGACCTTAATCTGGCCCTGGTCCCTCTTCTTCTTGGAATTTGTTTTTCTTCCAACCTCTGCCTGGCCTTGCTTTGTTATGGGTTTAACTTCCCTGGTTGGAGGTTTTGCTCCAGTGTCTTGAGACAATTACAGACCAGAAGTGAAACTTTAAAAGCAGGCACATAGAGGTTATTTTTAAGTGAAAGCAGCTATTAGGCCTGATGATAGACCAGAGACCTTCTTCCTATTAGCTCTTGTTAAGTAAAGCAGAACATTGTTTCACACTTCATCAGTGGGTTCACAAGTCAACTTTCTTTTTTTATAGCAGGTGTTGCATCAGAACTTGTCATTGTAATGGGTGTGATGTTTCAACCATGACAAACAAACAGACTTTTGTTGAAAATTTGTGCATTAAGATGCTAAGTGTCCCTTCTTTTGTTACCATTTTATGGTGTTAATGCAGGCCTCTCTGTGAGCATTTTAGCGGGCGCGTGCTCAAACGCGCGCCTCGCCTTGCTAAGGTGCGCGTTTTATCAAAAAAATATATTAACGTCAAAGTAGGCAAAAGCGTCATGTTTTCGCATGTTAATACTTTTTATCTAGAAATATCTAAACAAACTACTTAATAGAGCACTAAAAGCCAAAAAAAACACATTATTGTTGCAGTTCGACAATGTCCAGCTCAAATTCCGATGAAGAATCGGAGTCAGAAGAAGTGGAAGAATCAAAATTCGTTTCATTGACGCACTATTCAATTGCTTTCCTGGCACTTCCTTTACAAAGAGGATTTGATAAAATAACGCTTTTGTGTTTTGAGCAAACTTTACACCAAATCGAAACCACAATTGTCTTCCCATTTCATTTTTCGGTCTTTGATCCGCTAACTTCGTCCTTGCGATACTTGCGAAAGCAGATAGCTCTATGGCTTGACCCTTTGAATACTGGCCATTTAAAAAACTTATAACAATCAGGACTCACAATGACAGTTTATTGGTTATTGACCGGAAATATATTCAAGAGGTGTTTGATTTAATTTGGCAATAATAATTTCCTTGAAAGTGGGATTAAAAGAAGCAACCATTTATTTAGATATCAATCGATTTCGAATCTGCAAGGCTCTTTGTATAATAAGTGTTCAAAACCAAAACACAAGGAGCGCGATTTAAAGAGTTCTTATAAACCAGGCGCGTGATTTATTGCGCGTCTCAGCAACGACAGGAGCGTGCCAAGGCGCGCGCGCGTGATCGCGCGCCTTAAACGGAGAGGCCTGTTAATGCCACTTTATATCCTTTAAAATGAACATTCTGAAAAAACCATTAAAAAAACACTTTACAGTTTGGATAGCTCTTTTACTAATAGACTGACAATTATTAGATTTCAATTGTTGACATAACTGTTATGTAACTTATTAGTTTATGATACAGTTTAGATAATGTTAATTTTCTCTTTCCATAAGGGGCGTAATCGTGGACCAAAGCAACACTTCTGTAACTGCTTCAGAAGATTTGTTAATTGTATAAGAAAACATCATAACAAGACCAGACCAGCTTCAGATGGACAGAAGGTCAATATTCACGAAGAAGTATTTTTGCATGCAGAGGGTGCTGTAGATGGGAAACTGGCTTCCTCTAAATCAGAGATGGATTACAAGATGGTAAATAAAGATTGTTACTCATATAAAGAGTGCTATTGGGTTCCCATTTGATTAAACAACTTTGCATTCAGGTTGCATGTTTGCAAAACAGAAATCTCTTACAAGATTGAAAATGTTTGTTTATACAAATTTATCTTCAGTTACAAACTCATATTTGACTTCTAGAAGTGTGGTAAACAGTTTAAATGCTGCTGGACCAGAGAGAAGTGTGGAGACAAGAAGGGTCATGGTGGAAAGCCAAAAAGAAAAGGTCATGGCAAAAAGGGAAAACGTATGGGCAGAGGCAAGGGTAGACAAGGAAAGATGACAAAGCCTTTCCCAAGACCACCAAATGCCTTTATACAAGTATGTTCCTTTAAACATTCTCCAAAAGATAACAGTTTGTACCATGAACCTTGGATAGGCATTTCATAATCTATTTGAAGTAGAAATCAGTTGCAAACAATTGTTCTAAATCTTGATAATTTGATTTTATGCCAAAAATATCATGCCTTTAATTTCCTTAATCATTCTTTAAGTGCATGGTCGCAGCCAAGAAATGTAAAGTTGAAGCTGGAAGAAACAAGAAGAAACTGAAGGCGTGTGCGAAAAACTTTGTGAAGTGTGTTCTTTCACAATGTGCCAAGAAAGGTTGAGATATCACCAGATACCAGTGACTTCATGTTTAAAAATATTGCATTTTCTACCTGTATCTTTTGGTTTTTATAAATTTTAACTTGAGACTTTTTTATACTACAACATTTTTACTGTAGATACTGGCTACATGTAACTGCTGAATTAACACATCTGCTTGTTACATTTATTGACTCAAAAAGATTTATTATTGTATGAATCCAAACTTGTTAGTATCCAAAAGTTTGTAGGTCAATTCCTCCATCATATTGAAATCTCAAAGGAAACATAATTCCAGTTTCCTATTTGAGTACTTAGCTTTTTGAAATTCTGCTAGCTTGAGTACTCAGCTTTTTAAAATTCTGCTAGCTTAACTGTTTGCTACAAAAACATTGTTTCAGGGTTCCCTTTAAAGCTCAAAAAGTTAAGTTAAACCAACAAACAGGCCACTGACAAACACCTGATAAACACACCACTTTTTATGCTCATTTCAGCCCAATGTTAATGGCTCTATTATCTTCGTAAATTTCTACCAAGTATTGTTTTTACATGCTGTGTTATAAAATAGAGTTTTGTATTTTTGTATGCTTCAATTTTTGAATGTACAATAATTGTCTTTACCTTGCCTTAATCTGTAGCCCTCTAAAGACCCATGAAAGATTAATTTTATAATTTCTATGAAAGATATGTTGTTTGTTTGAAGATTTTAATGGTAGAAACTGTGATCGTGAATTACATCTTTACAGGCCTCCCTGTCGGTCCTAAATTCCTAAAAATCCCAAAATTTTGCCATTTTTGTCCAGAAAATCTTAAAATATTCCTAAAATTTGACAAAAGTATCTTAAAGTTCCTAAATTTCTATTGACATTATCTTGGCTTGTTTTTCGATAAAGTGCCTCTTCGTTATATTTTAAGAGCTTTGTTACTCTCCATCTATGTGTGTTGTTTTTTTATCTAGAAAGTAGATTATGGCACTTTGGTGTTTAAAAACCTTTATGCACTGAAATCAGCATAAAATAGAGAAACTAATCCAAAACCTAGCTTTTTATAAAAAAGCGTGTATGTGGTGGGTAAATTAAAAGTCTGAAGATGGCATGAACTGGGACAAAGCCAAAACAATTTTTCGGAAATGATTTTTGCTGACAAAGGAATGTGTGTCACTCCTAGATGGTGTGGTTATAAGATAAATAATCTTATATGCTGCTTTTATGCATTTCTATTACAAAATTAATAGTTTTTAGTGGCATAATTTGAAAGTTCAACTGCTACAGATATGTTACAATTGTTGCAAAAAAGTTACAATTATACTGCAGGATGAGAAAAATATTTCTTCTTCCTCTGGGAAAAAGTCCTCAAATTTGCCAATGGAGAGAGTGTTGGTGGGTACAGTGTCCCCATACCCACCCCCATACCTGCCTCCCTTTCGGTTATGCCCCTAGGCATGCAACAGCTGAAACATTGCATAATTGTGTTCTTTTCGTCCAACACTCTTCAGAGTTTCTGCTATGCAATATTTCATGCTATTTCATGTTATCTTCAAATTTTGCCATACCAAAAACTTATTAGGTTAAATAGGAAATCCTAAAAAGTCCTAAATAATTGTTGTTGAGTCCTAGAAAAGTCCTAAAATTTGGCTTTAAAAAGTCCTTCCTAGAGAAAATTTACAAACGGATGCTGGGAGGCCTGTCTTAATCAAAAAATGTGGTATAGTCGTACAACTCTAAAAGATTCTTTTCAAAGAATTCATACAATGGTTCTATGAGATAAACTAATTTCATTCTTACTAAAATTTCACAGAAATCAGAAAATTCTACTTTTCAGTTCCTTTTCAAGGTCTTCTCGTTTCACCTCAACCTGCAAAAATTACATCAACACATTAAGAGCAATAGGTTTAGGAGCATTGTAAATACATTGTTCTCAAAATAACACTTGACACCTGACTTTACATGTAGAGGGGGAAGGCACGTTTGAGGAAATACAAACATCAGTCTTGAAACATTTGAATGGGGTTCTCAGTCACTAGCACTGTAAATTGCACTGTAAATAGACAATAAAGTTATTTACCTCCTCCCTAGTTTCCATGTTTCTTAACTTCACAACTCCGTTTTTCAGCTCACTATCACCTATCACTGCACAAAATGGTATTCCATTCTCCTCACAGTATTGGAACTGACTCAATAATTTTGGGTTATTTTTGTAAATAATTTCAGTCTAGAAGGTAAAAGGTGTTGTAATTTTAAAAAGGAAATTTAGAGTAGGTTATGGTACTGAATAGCTTCAAAATAGCAAGGCAAAGTGGGAAGTATCTTTTTACATGTGAGAATCAGACAAAATGTACATTTGTAAAATATGTTTCTTTGTTTCTGTTTGTTTATGGTTGTTTCTATTTAACACATCATTTCGTTATTATTTCAGTTCAAAGTTCCACTTTTTAGTAATTTGTGTTGAGAATATCTGACATAATGTTAAAATAAACTTTAAGGTCTTGAAATTTCAAGATAGAACCAAAAAGCGACTAATAAACTTTGTTAGTTATATAACAAGCATATTTCACTGAATATCGCCAGCAACCTCGCTTGAATACATGTCCCTTTGAAAATTGTTTCTTATTCCCAATCTGGGATATCGCATTTAAGTTTGCAAGGTTTTCTGTTCCATTTTCAAAACTGAATATTCAAAGAGTTGTTCTAAGATTACTTAGAATTAAGTTTAAAAATTGACTCAATGTAATTGCTATTAATCGGCCTTTTCAATGGTTGTAAAAATCTTTGAACAGAGTTTCTGGATTGTATATCTTTTTGAAAGGGCATCATTTACCATAAAATTATTTTACCATATTTTGCAACATTTTTGCTCACGAAACCAGTTGAGCGAACCAAACAACGTTACATCGATAATTTTCGCAAATAAAACTATAGATTTCGAACTTTTCTCCTATTTCCTACCAAAAGTTTTGATAAATCTGAGAATTTCCCAAAAGCAATTTCGACTAGTGGACACGATCCCGCTGTTCTTTACGCAAGTTTGAAATATAAAGCGTTTGAAATTCACTGCCATATTTTTAGGCAAAATGAGCCTCTCTTCTGACGTACCTGAACACCTCGATCCCATAATTCGTTTGCCAGCTTTAGTCTCTCTTTCAACATGTTTTTCTGACCAGAAGCAACTAGAATTTGCGTTTCTGTTGTGCGAACTTTACTTTTGGCAGCCTGAAGTGTTAAAAAACGACGGCATTGATGTAAAAAGAGTGAAAAACTTAGTGATACTTTCCCTGTATTAAAGTTTGTTTCAAGGTCTCCTTTTATACAGTATAGTGTAAAACCCTGCAAAAAGTACTGCGAATGCCCTGAGGCTGTGTTGTTTTGATGCAACACAATTTGACTGAAACCAAATGAATATCAGCAAAGGTCTTTAAAGGGAAGGTTGGTGTTATTTGAAAAGAGGAAGAGGGAGAAACAGTATTGTTAGGAGGAGGAGGGGGTGTGCAAAACATAGTTTATTTATCAAAACATGACTGGGAATGTACATTGTAATTTTTGTAAATGCATTCTCTAAATTTTATAAGTTTCAACCACCAATAACACGGGTATTTTCAACCGTGTTGCAATTTCTCTACCTTATATTTTGACTTGTAGTCAAAGATAGTACGGTAGCTGGGAGATTACAAAATCTTTTTCAGTTTCTGGAAGATTTTGAAGCGAACAAATGATTGTTGCAATTAATAATTGTCTACAGCAAATTAATAAAAATACCTCCGCTTTGGCTTCCATTATGGAAAATATCCTCTCGATTCCAATACTTATTCCAACACAAGGAACCTTGAAAGAGCAAAAAAGTCTCAATGTTACAGGCCACCAAACTGTCCCACTAACGACAAGGATGCGAATTATGTATGCAAGTTTTTTATGCTATGATTCCAGCTACAGGACATTTTCAATATTTATATACATAGGTTGGGAAAATTTTTAAAACAAGGGATATACTTTCACACATGATTATCTGCTTTACCTTAAAGAATTGACAAATTCTGATGAAATATTTTAAAACCTACAGCGTCATGCCTATGATTGACATCATTTTCAAGCAAATACGGCCAACTTTAGAAAAGTTACAGCTATTTATAGAAAGCCCAGCCCAGCCCAGCGCTTGGTAAACTGGGTGTGGCATATTTGGCTACAATGGGTCACTTTTGAAACGGCCACAAAACGGAAACCATAAGTTGAAATTTTGAATGTGATGTTTTCTCCAAAGTTGCTCTTTGTGGCAAAAAATCAGGAAATTCTATGGGTTACATGGGTCTGACGATTTGACATGAAAAGACCCGTACATCTTTTGCCTGAGGATTTTTCTTGAATTTACCAATATCTTTCTGGCAGCACCCTGAGTGTCCTTACGTCTGATGTACAACTTCTATGTCTCCTTCGTAAACTTTGCAATTTACTATAAGATTCATCGGCAAAAGTGCTTGGTAAACAAAACCCGATCTCTAATTTCAATGTTAGCTTTATAATTTCACAATAAAATCTTTTTATTCGCAGAATTTTTTCCAGATTAACTACAGTGCAAAATGAAATTGCAACAACGAAAGATATACGCACAAAATGCTTCATCTCAAACATGCAACATCAGTTTCTAACAACTGTTCTCAGAAGGCGATTATCCTTTCAGGTGAAATAATTACCTTCCTTCCTTTTGCATCAAACATTCCCACGAGGTCATCGTACCTGCCACCACCTGAGATGGATCCAATTCCAACTTGCTCACCTAAGTCAAAAGCAAAACTCCATTTGATTTGCAGACGCAATCTGTGGACAGTGTCTCGTTTTGCGAAAAAACGTATTCAGTAAGAGGTTTAGCTATAGGTAAGGATGTTTCAAATAATTTATAAATATAAAGAATACCTGGTGCAAAATAGCGGGTATATAATATTATCCGGAAACATGGTAAAATTGTAAATATGACATTTTAATTACGAAACTACGAACATTGACAAATATTTTTCAAAAACATAATGCAGTTTCTAGAGATTTTAAATTTACATTAAACGTTTATCAAGAGTAAACGGGCCTTATCCCAAGACAATATTACTACTGTACTCGCAGAAAATGGGGCTATTTTGGGTTGCCTGAATGAAAAAAATCCAAGAACGGCTGCCAGAATGACGAAGAAGGACTTTAGACTTCCAGAAGAAAAACAGGTATCAGCAGAATTCAACAAGACAATCTTAATAATTAAGGAGTTATTATGTGTGATATTGGACAAAAGAGTTGAAGTCTGAGGCTACTCTGTATGTCTGAGAAATGGGAAAGTGACGAAACCATAAACTTCGTCAAAGCAACCTAATCTTTCTTGCATCTACAATCTCTGCCAAAAGCCTTCGTACACTAACGCCAGTTTTCAACAAAGTTGCGTTACTAAAAAACAACGTAGGAGATTTGGGAGAACGTTTTTCCTGTGACTTGTATGATATTTGTCTAAACTATCAACATTGTCTTGGGGGAAAGGGGTTGCAGAAGTTAAAGCATTCGGGAAAAGAATTGAAAAATGCAAAAATAAAAACGCAAATTGTTGGGTGTTCCAGGCAGTCATTGTAGATGCAAGAATGACGAGGATGCTTCGATGAATTATCGAGGCGACATTGAGCAATAGAAATAGAAAGAAGATAAACGTTGAGAATGTTTCATCTCAAGGACAAAACGAAGGGAAACAGACTTTCACAGAGCATCCGTTGATTCAGCAGAAGAGGAGAGAGACATACAGTTGAATAAAGGCTAAAAACATTGTGGTTTGACGTACTAAAGAACAAAGTTAATGTGCAGAGACCAAAAGTTAGAAATATTGAAAGAAAAGGAAGGGACTTCAAGCGGCTAACCATGACTATGTCGAGAGAAATGTGTTTTATGAAGCAAAAAACATGTCATCTGGTGCTTGCTAATATGTCAAGAATGTGAATTCATTTTTTTGAAACTTCGTCTAACCAGTTCATTACATTATGACTCCCTTTTAATCTGACTATCGAAGTAAGAAATAAGAATATGTAAAGCAAACAAAAATGGAAATTCTTTCCCATTAATAGGGGTTTTGACATAAATATCGAAGATGTTGCCTTCATTTTCTATACTTCATCATTTCTGGTTTTAATTGGTTGCAGAAACAGCATTGTTTGTGCAGTCAACAGTTGCTCTTCACAATCACATCTGGTTTATGTTAATCCACTATTAGTTTGCGAAAACAATTACCCCCACCACCCTCTAAATAGGCAAAAGAGAATAGCGATTTTCATTGCTTAAAAATAGTTGAAAATGAACATATACCGGGATTCGCCTTAGCAAGCTCTGGAGGGAGACTTGTAATAACTGCTTCGAAAATTACACCGGTGTAATAATCCAATCCTCTTGCTAAGCTTAGATCAAACGAAACCTGTAAAAAAGTGCATTTAACAATTTACTTATTTAATGCCATTATTTATAAGTGCAATTATTACTTTTCTATGATAATTAATAATTAAGCATCAATCATAAATCTTTCTATTTTAGATATAATTTTGGAACTTTCCAGCTTGCTCCGTAAATACATCTATTTAAATGCATTTATATAAAACGAATGGAAGGTCAACCTTTACACCACTTCTGCTCGAAAACAAGGTTACCGAGAATAATAATAACAGTCACGACTATTTGCTTATAGAGGGCCGAAGTGATGACGTTGGTAATCTTTCGAATATGGGAATGATTTACATAAATTCAAGCCAAAACCCACCTTATCAGATACATTGAAGATCTCCAAATATTCCAAAAGCAATTTCATATCTGCCAATCCTTGTTGGGCATGCTTGTTTTTCATGAAAACGTCATCTTGTTCTAACACTTCAACCAAATCTTTTAGGCCTAACGAGGAACAAAAGAATCGAAAAGTTATGTCTGATATCGATAAGCAAGTAATACAATAAATGGAAGGCACTTGCTTTGAAAACAAAAAGACTAAAGAAGTTCAAGATTAATTGTTTGAAGCAATCTTTCAGCATTAGTAGATTTGCAAAAACTCTAGGAATTCTTTGCAAACCCCAGCAACCAGTATATGCCCTGTCACAATTCTATTTGCAACTTTCTTTTCCAAGTAAGTGTTTACTATTTTGGGGAGTGAATGAATATTGTGTATCAGGTTAAAACTTCTGATGGTCAAACATGAATAAAAGCTGCTTTTGACACTTCTAGGAGACTTTTAAAAATTTCACTTATAGTAAAAAAGGCACATTAAATAAAATGACACACAATCTACCCTTTCGCTTTACATAAAGTCCTATTCGATCTGCGACATCTTTTGGCAATCCTTTTTCATGCACCATTTCTTTCTCGACTTCTTCCCAGGGTGACTAAATGAAGTGGGAAATATTCCAGGTTTAAAAAAAGGTTAAAATGAATTTATTCAAAACGTTTCTTGAAAAGGGTGCCCATTTCAGAAAAGGGCTCTAAGGAGAAGAAAGCTAAACAGAGATGTTTACAGCAAGTATATTATTAGGATTGAACATTGTCTCATTATCTTTTTTTCCTACAGGCACCAGAAAAGTTCTCAATTTTAAAACATAAACCAAGTTTTGCTACCCACTTGCATGTTCCTTTTCTTGGCCCTTGTTTTAATTTCACATAATATCTCGATTGTTTTGAAAAAAAAACGTCGTCTTAAAAAGCTTTCCTACAATGGTTGCATCTGTCTTTATTATCATTTATTATTATCATCTGTCTTTATATTTATTAATCAAAAACATTGCATACTGAAATTCAAAAAAATTGGTGTCCCATAAATCTTCAAACCTTATCTAGCTTATCGACAGCTGAACATATGGTCCTGAACTTTTCTTCTGGAACACCGCAGACAGCGAAAATACCATCGAGAATTTTTCTATGGTTGACCTGCAACAGATGTTAAACCATAAGCAAGGGGGATAAATACCGATTTTACTGCATAAAGGCATTGAAATTTTTTGTTTTTAAAACAACATTTTAGCCTGTAGTCTTCCACTAATTGTCAATACAATATCAAAAATGTTGAATATACGCAATATTTTAAACCAAAAGCTTTTCGGATCCTTCGAGCAATGATTTATTTAATCGAGCTAATATCACAGCATCATCTTACTTTGCATAGCATAAATGGGAAGCTATGAGAGACCCTTTTGATTTTAAGGACTCTTCTGTCATAGCTCTAGTCGACAGCATGCCTTCTTTTTTTTCTAAAACTTGCGCGTTGCAGAGGATATCAACAAAGTGAATGTTTAAACCTCCATCTCTTTTGCTACATATAAAAAGTAGACTCAGGATCCAGCAAAGGTGGGCGTTGTGAATCAGCATTTTACACAGTGAGGTAATAAGCCAGCTCATACCTTAACCAAGAAATCACCAATATCCAGACTTGACAGAATCTCAACAGCAACTTTTACACATTCAGCATCAGGGATCATGGCATCGTACTGACCAGCAATATCGAAGTCCTAAAAGCGATGATGTGAAAGAAGTCTATATGTATCCTTTAATTGTCTAGTTGTTTATGCAAATAGTAAGAAAAAATTTGTTATTTAGTTCAGATGAATGTGATCATAGCATTAGTAACAACTATTGCATACATAACAGAAACATCAGCCTTTGCCCTAAATGCTTGACTTTTCACTGAGACCCTTTCACTACTTTCCTCATAACAAAATGACTTAGAAAACACAATCTTTCCTTAAGATTATGGCTTCTATTTGTCAGCTTTCTATCAAATATAAAATCCTTATTAAAAAAACATTGGCTCTCAATTTAAGTTTTTTGTATAACAAGACTTAAAATATGACTAGATACATACACATTGATAAAACTCCCTGTATCTTCCTTTGGTCATTGCAGGATTATCTCTCCTATAAACTCTTGCAATATGAAATCTCTTTATTTTATCAATTTTATTCATTGCAACATAGCGTGCAAAAGGAACCTGTTAATGTATTAAGGTAAAGAACATGGCTAATAGCCAAACAAAGAAAGCAGAAATCCCTGTTCATTGGAATAAGGTAAGTGATAAAAAATTTGGAAACTAAGTCTCATACAAGGAAGGCTTAACATAGAAATGAATAAAAAAACAAATAAAGAATATAGTTCAGTGTGTTATACCTTGAATAAGATAAAAAGAGACTTTATGATGATGGAGAGATATGTTTCAAATGTTGTTATAGTTTCCAGTTTTTCCATGTACAAATTAAAGTTTTAAGTAAGTCTTGAGTCATAATTTGAAATTGACAATAAAAAACAGTATAAAAAGTTTTTTTTAAATGTTTGAAAGTTCAAAAACAGTAAATATTCTGCATGTGATACTCACAGACTATATTATACTAATAATGAATATCACTAAAGTACAATCAATAAAATTGAGAAGGATACAGTTAAGTCATATCTGAGTGAAAGTAATTCACCACCTTGGTCCTTTAGATCATAGATCAACTTAGAGTCCTCTCCATACTTTCCTGTCAGTGTTTCCTAAAAATGCAAAAATGTGACATTGAAAAGATTGTGAATTTTCATTGTAAACTGAAATCTTGTTGGATAGTAATTAAATTGTTTAATTGGTAACTTCATCATGACATATCAAGTTAAACAGTTTTTTGAGGACTTCAAGGGGCATTAAATTCATAAAAGTTGTGGATTGCTAATCTTATGGAGATACATCATAAATAGTTTCAGGGACGGCCTGCAGGTTCTTGGGTGTTTGTCCATGAGCTGGATGGTCCCAAGAGCTGAACATTTACATCAATAAGGGAAACAGCTGGTGTAAGGACATAACCTTTTAACCTTTTGTATAAACAATGAAATATGCTTAATGCCTATTGTGTTCATAATAAAAAACAGAAGTTGTCAAGTTTTGTTGTTAAGATAACACAATTTCGTTCAATTTTTATGTTTTTCAAGTGAAGTAAAGATAATCTTTACACATGTCGTTGACGTTATATCGAACCTGGGCATGGAGTAAAAATACCCATATATACAGAGGGTTACACTAGTAGCTTTGACAACTGCTTCAAATATCTATTTCAGTTATGAACTAAATCTATGTTTAGTCCTTCTGCTGAATCTAAATACAAACAGTGGCTATGAGAATGAAGGTCAAGTGAATACCTTAAGTTCAAAAACTGGTGTATCTATCTGTTTTGCACCATGTCGATGAAAACAATTAACTATGATTTTAAACACTTTTTCTCGTATGGCCATTTGCATCTGGTTGTAGTCTCTTGTACCCTAGAAGCAGACAAATGTCAAGAAGGTCAATTAAGAGCAGGGGTTATAATTATCCTTTAAGGCTTGGTTCTCACTAGGTAACTGAATGCATTTATCTGTAATCATTTAATTGTAGACTCTGGATAGACTATATCAGTAGTCACACTCACTGCTTTAAGATACGCCAAAGCCAGCTTCACAAAAAGATAGACAATCTTTCTAACCTTTCATACATAAGAGGGCTTCAAGATTGGAAAACACAATCAAAAATTAAGTTCTAGTTGCATGAAACTTAAAACTTCCAGCAAGGGGCTGACTTTATGTGCTACACTTTTTCACAACTTTAAGAGTGCAAATGATGATTTTTCTTTCTGTGAATGACAACAGAAAGATTCAAATATTGGCTAAAAGCAAATGGCTATTCAAAATAAAGCACGGAAACAGCAGTGTGAATACCTTGCAACTACACATATATTATTTTGAAAGAGCTTTTTAGAAATCTTTGTTATTTTTAGTAGTAATTTTTTTAGTAATATATAAGATCTATAACTCTACATTTTTGAAGAAACTATATCAACCTTTGGTGTTTTAAGCACAAACTTCTGTTTTGCCGGGTCATCACCAAGCTGTTTCTTTAACTTTAGCAAAGTATCTATCTCTGTCTTTAGCTGCAAAGACCAAGAAGTCAAAGATTAATTTACAAAATAAAGAAGACCAACAAGGATACTGTCTGATATGCAGCTTAACTGACTGATACAATCATTGCAATTAAGGCATTGCATTGCAGAAAATCACCAGCTTACATCACATGTCTTTAAATGCATGAGACAAGATCCACAAACAAGGAGGTAGGTTAATTTGAATGCAATGAAAATTCGGGAATGGGTTTAAAGTTCAAATTCAAATCATTTAATATTCAGCAATCGTCTTACAATATTTGAAGTCAATAAAGTGTTGATAAAGATAATTAACAATTTAACAATGACTAAATTTTTAACAATATGTTGCCTAGGATGTTGGGAAGAGAATATATCACTTTAAGACTTACAAATTTGATTTCCTGTTGTTATTAATGACATTTATCATTAATGATAAATTAATTATGAATGGGGTCAATGACTTCAAAAAAATGAATACATATTATTCCAGAGCTGGTAATAGACTTAAGTATCATCAGAACAAATAAATGCAAACATATATGTAACCACATATATGACTATATGTAACCTTCCTGCTTTTAAAAATGTAGAATAATTCTTGCTAATCTATCAGAATTTCCTATTCATAGCTTGAAACTGCTTGAAAATAGCATCGCAAGCCTTCAACCTGTGATGTGAGCAAATGATAGAAATTTTCTTTTCACAAATGTTAGATCAGCAAAACTCAAGAAAGAGTCCTGTTGCCATCAGTTGGTGCATTATTAGCAAATATGTTTTATCTTGTTTGAAAAAAATGTTTATTACCGTTCCACTCACTATTGGTATTTTCTGTGTCCTCTAAAGACACTTGGTGTGACCTCTAAACGTTGTTTGAACTATTCTTAAATTTATTCACTTTGCTTCCTGTACAACCAACATTAACAAGTAGAGCACTGTGCGAAAGAAATGTAGGCTCGCAGACATGTGCCAAAATACAAAAATTGCAAAGGAATAGAAATCAAGTGCGCCAGTGCCTCTATAAAGAGTATGGGTGTATGAATTTGTTTATTTGCAACCATTTCATTAATGGCATAGAACAGCTAAAGAGTTTGTAAAATAACTACATTTATTTCTGCTCATCAAATTTTTTAAATCCTGTAAAAAGGGATTCTTAGTGGCAATACAAGCCATTGGCCTGGGGGGGGGGAGCGTCTGTAACCATCCATTGTTTGGTTTTTTTTAAATTGACCCAATCAGACAACAGTCTTTCTTTAATCCGGCAAAAACATTGGTAAACAATGGAACTTTTGTTGGGCAGCCCCCCCTAGATTATTTCTTCCGGTCATTTATGCCCTCACAGGCCACCCTTGGTGGATTTCTGGAGGTGCACCACTATGGCCATCTGTGGCAAATAAAAAGCAATCTGAAAAAGTCCCTTGTATCAAAGGATATTGAATAACTAACAAGTTTTTTTTCTTTCAAAGTCTTAATGCTCAATGCCTAATGGGGCTGCAGAAATATTACAGTTTTATTTATATAAAAAACAGAAGACAATAAGTAAAACAATATTTGACGCTGCCTAGAAAATACAGTCTTAAAATGAGCAGTACTCTCCCTTAAATTCTACAACCAAACTTTAAAACCATTTCAAAAATTATCGCATGTAAACAAAACAACACTAGGAAGTAAAAGTGTTGAAATGGCATCAGCAAATAGTTTTTGTGCCTATTTTTTTGGGAAACCTTAACTTTTATCGTCACTTCTTCAAACTTAAATATTAGAGGTTCACAAATCAAGATTCGACTGGTACACCGACTCAATGATATTGAAAATAAACTGTTTTCTTGGAGCATATTGTTTTCTTGTGGGACAGGACTCTAATTGGCCTGCATGTTAGCTGACAGGTATCTGGCAAGAGAATTGATAAAAAACAGTAATAATGACAAAGGAATCATTAATTTTGACCAGTTTCTAAATTGACAAAAGTCACGCTGTAAAAATAAACAAAAAAGTCTAACCTGACTAGACTGGCTACTAGTGCAGTAGGCGTAATATTTGAAGTTAGATGCAGTAGGCTTGGTTTTGAAGGACAAGAATCGTGGACAAAATCTGACTAACGCACGCATTTTAGAAGATCAAGCTCTATAAAAAAGCAAAGAGCTTATCTTACTGACAACAAAGTTTCACAAGACAATGAAATTTAAAGCTAAATTGATCATCGGTGGGTTCTGCAGGAAATAATCTTATGTCAAAAGTTTGGAGAAATTTTTACCAGTAACCTGTTTGGATTCTGTAAACTCAAACCAACACTCAAAATATTTTTTCAACATAAAATTGATTAATTAAAATATACTGGTTAACATGCTAATACTAAATATACAATATCCAAGTTAATTTGGCTAAATAACAATGAATGGTGAACCGCAATATTTTATAGAAAAGCAATGAAATTTGAACAACTTTAGGCTGATAGACAGACACATGGAAAGAACTTTGGGCAAGCTATTGAGCCATGTATCCAAATTGATGCGCTTATAATGACAATTTCAAGTTTGAATAAAAACAGTAAAATATAATAAGAGTAAAATAAAGTAGAACGAAATAATAATAAGACTATATGTAATAGTATAATAATAGCTAACTGCAAATATGAAATAATCATAAAGTAATTACCTACAGATTTCAAATTTTGTTCATAAGAAATTATTTCATCTGCTTCACAAAGTGGTGTTTATTACACATCTTTTTTAACTCTATAGGTAGGGAGTTCCAAAATATAATACCTCGAAAGTGAGAAAGTTTTTTCAAAGTTTGTAGAAATGGATGGAAGAGAAAAACCTTCAAAAGAAGATTGTCTTTTATTATATTTGTGTACTTTTTTTTGTTTTTACAAATTCGCTCTCAAGAGCAGTTTTTTGGGAGATAATTTGATACATTTTTTTTGCTGTCTCAAGCAGGTAAAGTTTATCAAAGTTAAATATTTTCAGGTGTTTAAAAATAGGTTCACTATGTGCAGTGTAGTTTGCAAAGTCGATTACTCTAACTGCTTTTCGTAATTTATGTTTTAAAGGTTCCAGGGTAGTTTTATTAGTACAGCCCCAATTTAATATACCATATAGAACATGTGATTGAATGAATGAGGAGTATAAAGTCTTGGTATCAGATTTCTTAATTCATATAGCATTCCAATTCCTTTACATAACTTTAAATTTATTTGCTTTAAATGCAATTTCCAGTTAAGCTTATTATCAATTATTGCTCCACTCTTGTTTGTGATCTCTGTTATTAATTTTTGATTTTATGTTTCTATCAGTTTTAGTGATAGCTTATTAGCCAATAACCACACAGATACCTTTTGTAACTCAGAATTGGTGGTTTGTTCTAGGAAATCAAGATTTTTGTTAGCCAATAAAATACTGGTGACATCTACAAATAGTCGAAACTGAAGAAATTGGGAAGATTTTATAAATGTCATTTGTATAAATCAAGAACATTAGTGGCCCAAGTACACTACCTTGTGGGACACCACAATTGACAGTAAGCTCTTTGCATTAATGCCATTAATTGCAACTATTTTGATTTTTTTAGTAAAGTATGGTTTAAACCACAAGTATGCAATACCTCTGAAACCATAATGTTCTAATTTTTCTAGCAAAATATCATGGTTAACAGTATCGAAAGCCTTTGAAAAATCAAGAAATATGCTCCAAGAAAACAGTTTATTTTCAATATCATTGATTAGTTGTGATTGAAGGTCTAAAATTGCTAAAGATGTAAATTTGCTTTCCTGAAATCCATATTGATGTTCAAAAATAATTTTTTTTATTCAAAAACTTTACCATACGAATGTTCGGTAACTTTTCAAGTATTTTTCAGAAGATAGGTAAAATTGAGATGGGTCTATAGTTTCCTTCTAACTTGGATTTACCTATGAATAGGCATAACTTTTGCAAATTTTAATTTTCCTGGAAAGGCACCAAGAGAAAAGGATGAATGCTAAAGGCCCTTAAAGGTGAACTGACACGCAAAACTATTTTTTGATATAATGTAGAAAACGATGCATGGAATCTTAATTTCAAGTTTTCGGTTAATTATTATTGTCCGTTTTGACGCAATTCCGCTCTAAATGTCATGAAATTATCGTCGAGTGTTCGACCATTGTCGGCATTTCATGTGACCCAGTGCGTGTGACGTCACAAACACCATGTGTTTATCCCTTGAATGGAAATCACGCACGGACTGGACAGTTCAGTTCATCTTGTTCAGTTACTATTCGAGGAAATCTACGTAGCCTTTGATCCAAGATAATGAAAATTCGAGGCTAATTAAATATATGAAGGATATGTGCTGGCTGATACTGCGTTATGTTAGGAGGGAATCTGAGTTTGGAAGGAATAGGCTTAGCTGCTCGAAGAAATTCTCAATTCTGAAGTCAATCATGCGGACGAATGTAAGAATCTTATCATTTTATCATGAATCTAGCTTCTTTTTCGAATAAATTCAATATATTATTACTTTGATAGATTATTTCTACATCCATATAAATCATGAACGTTATTTTATTTTGGGTTTGCAAACTCATCGGTTCACCCGAGTTATAGGAGTGCAGCGACCTGGGAGTTGAAAATTTTACTAAGTTGTTTTCCTGCAAATAGCGACTCGATCGTACCAGGTTCTTAACCCCTGAAAATTTTGCATGTGATTGAATAAAAAAAATGAAAATGAGTGACTTAAATTCAAAATCTTTACTAAATCTTTACTGCGTATTTGAAGATAGCCAGGATCAAAGACCGAAATTAACTTTGGGGGGGGGGGCTGCTGGTGTTTTTGGGTACCTTGCACACCAGGTGTTTTTGGGTGTGGCAACTAAGATGGGTGTGGCTTGGTGTGGTCCCATAGAAAATGTCAGCTGATAAAAACAAGCACAGTTTTGTAGGAGCAATTTGAGGTATCATGAATCTTACTTGACAAATATACAAATAAAAACTTGCGCTATCTTCAACAGCATACATCACATGCATTTTTACGGTGAAATGCAAATTCACAAATTTTAACCACAACAGGGGAAAATAGTCGGTGCTTACCAGCACACCAGACATTTTTGGTGGTGCACACCAGCACACCAGACATTTTTGGTGGTGCACACCGGCACACCAGGCTTTTTGCTCGTGCACACCGGAGATCTCGTCGAAAAGTGCCATACTCTGCAGACCCGTTTATCGCTACCATTATACGATATTTTGGCCTGCCACACACTGGGTCCTGCAAGACGGAGGAAGATCCTCAAACGCGTTGAATAATACGATATTCTTGCAAACCTTATTATGAAAGGTTTGTAAAGGAGTCATAATCTGTTTTCCAATTAGGTTGTCGAAATGGAGCCAAAACCTACTCAATTAATGTATCGATGCTCATCTGCAAAGTCATAAAAGTACGGCCTTCCACACTGTCGTGTTGCTCAAGTGATGTGAACATGGTGTTTGTGACGTCACGATTATGCGGAAGACTCGGGCAAACTCGTCCGTGCTCGGAAAATGTTCGGTGGCTAACTTTGACGCTCAATAACTCGAAAACTGTGTTGAATATTAAAAAATAATAATGTATCAGGTATTTATGCTTGATATGCTTTCATTTGAGGTCAAGTTAATTTTGCGTGTCAGTTCACCTTTAAATAGTCATACAGACCAATTTTATAAGTTTAGGGGGAATATCATAAGAATCATTTTATTTGCTTTTGTCTAGATTTGCAGCAATGATGTCATTTACATAGCTCATTAGAATTAAAGTAACTGGAAAGAATGGAAAAATACAGTCGCTACAGCTAAGACAAAACCAAAGTTGTGCGTCAACACCTAGATTAAAAGTATATAAATCTGTTAAACCAGAGCATTTTCTCATGTGAATAAAGCTTTGACAATGATAACAAGGAACCACTTTTTCAATATTATTTGACATCTATTGCAAAAACAGAGCAGGATTTGTTAAAGTCAATAATCAAATGGTGTTGCTTCTTGTATGCAGAAATCGCTCTTAAGAATGGAATATCTTTCATTTTTTGAAATGGTAATGCATCTGCAACACAGTCTTTACAAAACAGACCAACTTTATAACACAGTCCATGTCAAAGAGGTGTCATTTCTTTAAACCTTTGAGTTGATAATTTGCTACAGCTGACATGACACCAATTGCAAAATGCATCACAATATCATGATTTCTGACTCTCCAGAACCAATAATTTGTAATTTGGGCATGAATATGTATAACTACTCATTTAGATTATGGGGGTTTATTTTGAAAATCTGTTTGCCCTGCCCTGGTATTGATGATATAATGCTTATAATAATAAAAATATTAATGTTAATAATGATAATTATAACAATGGTATAGTAATGGGCCTAATCTGAAACATCAAGAAAAAAATAAATGGTAACAAAAGTAAACTTTGTATGGTCAAAGACCTGAGTTTCAAACAATCTTTTTTGTAACATCCAATTCATTTCTGATGGTAATAAATGCAGAATCCTTATTTTTTCTGGCAAAGATGACTCCATTTTATGGTCCACATGAAGTTCCATCTGATTTCTTTTTTCTTATCTCTTGCCAGTTTAAAAATATACTTAATTTTTGGTTAAAGATTTGTTAATTAATACTCTAATGTCAGCACCTTTCAACTCAAGATCTTTTCCTGGAATGTTTCCTGTCTCCTTTCTTTTTTGCAAGAAAGCATCTCTCAATTTCCTATTTCTGAATTTGCAGATAAGAGTTTATCATTCTTGGGTCTGACACGGTGGCAGGCTTGAATTTATGTATCAGCGCAATTTCACCCCAAGCCTTTTACCCAGCTTAATCACCAAAGACTCTGTTTTCTCATTTTCTTCTTCAGGAATTCCATCAAATTCGATACAGTCTCGAGGGCCATACAGTTCTAAGTTGTTGACTTCGTTATTGACTCTGTTGATATCTGCTTGTAGCTTTCCAGTTTGTTTTTTTGGCTTCCAATTTTGTGTTTTTGTTGAGAATGGTATGGTTATTTTTCTTTGGTTTTCATACTGGGTATTGATGACACGCATATTGATGACTTTTCAAAAATCGCTTTTCCAATTTTTCAAAATCCTCGCTAATGCCGCGATGTCTGTGATTAAACTCCTTTTAATATCAGAAGTATTTCGTCTATTTTCTCATTAGTAGTGGCAGATTCCATATTTGATCCGTTTTGAACTTGATTTACTTGTAAATAATTGAAAACATAGCAATAGCAGTAAATAAAGATAGCTAAGAATATATAAAACTTATTTAGAATATATGATTTCGACGAGTTTCTCAAATTTTTAGCAGATGCACGTAAAATTTAGCACGACATGCGCTGTATTACAGAACTGCCAAAAACCCGCTGAAATTATGCCAAAAGTCTACCAGAACTAAATTACAGCGGCTGTAATTTAGTTTTGGTAGACTTTTGGCATAAAGATATACCCATACCTGAGCCTTGACATCGTCTGTTTGTTCCTTTTGTTTCAGATTTCGCACAACTTCACCCTGTTTTCGAATTTCAGATTGAATCTCCTCCCTGGACCTGTCTCCGTTGGCAGCCATATTGAAAAAAGAATTAGGTATATCAATTCCTCAATTTGGAGCCCAAAATAACGAAATTGAGGCTGCAGGGCCTTGCGCTCTGCTGACCAATGTCCGCCGCGAATAGGCCGTAAGCTGTGACCAAAAAAGGTGCTCCAAAATCAATTTTCGTTGCCCGCATCCGGGCACAACTTCACGACTGTTTTTTCTTGTTTATTATGTGCTACTTAATATAAAATCAGTTGTTGTCACTCTGACAAACATGCATCTCGTGAGATACGGGGGTCAATAATTTCTAGGTTTTATGACGTCATCGATACAGTCAAATTATTTAAAAAGACATTTTTTGACACAGAAACTGCTCTCGCCAGATCGATCGCTTTAACTTAGTATACAAACGTGCAACTTAGAGCGTTGTCAAACGCTTCGTGTCTGAGAAGATACCTTTAACGGTTGATGACGTCATCACAACATCATCATGTATTATGGTCAAAACTATCTGTTTTACGAATATAGAATATAACACCGTAGTTAACAGCATGAACGAGCTTACAGTTGGCGAATGCGAGTAAGCTTGTTCATACTGTACAGGTTATTCTCGTACAGTACTGAGGAGAGGGGGGTCAGGGGGGTCACTGACCCTTGGCTTTAGAAGACCATAAATAATAAATCAATTGAAAAAAATTTCTAAGTAATTATCCAGCCGCCCCATCAACATTAACATTATAAGAGACAATAATGACAAAGTCCATGAAATCGTTGCCTGCCTCAGTCTTAAATGTGATTTTGTTAAGAATTTCTCATCTTTGTTGTCTAGGGCTAAAGAAGTTCAAAAGCTTCTGAATGTTACCAAAAATGTGATTGCAGGGCAACCTATAGGACAATATGTATGTCATGCAGATTTACACTATGGCATTTGCATCTATTTGCAACAGTGTGTCGGTTGTGGTCCAATTTAGTTAACGAATTGAACGTTTTTCATTTTCTAGCCTTTAAGAATTTCTAAGAAAATTTCATTTTCATGCATTATGGTGCTAAGATATCAGTTATGCTCATATTATCAGGTATCAGATATCAGTTATCAGGTATGGTAGGTATGATATTTGATGCGTACATTGTATTTCGATTGTATTTAAGAAGTGCGAGGTTGAATGAAACAGTGCGATATGGAAGGATCTTTTGATATATTGAATATTCTTATGTTTATTTGGATTCAATTTTTTTCCATCAAAACATAGCATTTAGATAAACATAGACAACCATGTTAAATTGTTGAAAAGAGCAGAGGTTTTCCGACAAAATAGCAGTTCAGCTCTATAGTGGTGTTTTTGCTTCCTCTGACCCCTCTATCTACACCATTGCCACCGGCGCAGTTTAGCCACCATGGCAATTTTAGCAACCAAAATCTATTCATTCCATTCTACCACCGTCCATTCTACCCCTTGGTGCCGCTACTGGAAAGCAAGAATGTCTGAATGTCTAAAACAATTGGTGCCGTTACTGGAAAGCAAGAATATCAAGATTGTATCAAACAACGATCCATAATAGGAGAAATTTGTTTAGCCGACCGCCATGTTTATTTTAAAGCAATTGGTACTTAGGTTTTACCCGGACTGTGATATTGGCCCAAGAATAATAAGCAGCATCGGCTTTCGGCATTCCATGTTATACACCTTGCAACAAGAAAGACGCAGGAGATTGCCGAGCCTAAACACGTAAAGCGCGGGAATGGTGAAGTTTGAAGCTGAATTTTAAGAGAATTGCAGTTTTTTACAGTTGACAACAAGAAGATTCGTAATCAGCACGAAAAAACACGCAGGAAAATGCTAATTAAACGTAGTGCCGGAATGAGGGCAGCGAGACCAAATAAAAATCTGACACAGCTTACGGCCTAGTAGTTTCCACTTTCCATACTGCTCGACCTGATAGTCATGATTAATAGTCATATTAGTCATAAGCATGATTAAAAGTCATAAAGTAGTATGATTAATTATCTTAAGTGAAGGGTTAGGGTTGGGTTCAGGTTTAGGATTAGGTTTAGGGTAAACTTATTACGTCATCAGGTAGAGCAGCATGGAAACTAGACAGCTTCTGTCCGCTGAGGCATTGGTACGTTACGTAACGGGGGAAGGAGAAAATTAACGTTTTCGAGCATGCAAAACCCTTCTCAAAAAAAGCATCTGCCATCTATATTAAGCTACGTAAAGTGAAATTAAATGTAACTTAACAAACTAAAATGCAATTCAATCAAATGTTCATTGTGTGTAGCAGTCCAATTAGAGAAATGCTTCCTAAAAGAGATGGTTGAAGACGAAGGGGAAAACTGAGGGTTTGCTAATGAGGATGCAGAAATTCAGATTTTGTCTCGAGGAAATGCTTCGCTCTATGCAAATCTGTGTCTAAAAATTGACAGTATAAAGAGATGGATCAGATGGTTCTTGTGCCCAGTCCTTGAAAGCAGTACAAGATTTCAAGATTTCTATGGATTTTCAGATAGAACTTTAGGATTTCTACCAAAGGGTTACGAGATTTCCATAGAATGATCTTTCCTCGGTTATGCGGAAACCAAGCGAAGAAGTGGACAAGAGACTAGCTGAGAGGAAAAGTGCAGAAGTGCACACGAAATAGTTATTCCAAATGATTTTTGGAAAATCACCACCATTAAAATGTTGTAAGATTATTGTTTATGTATAAGTGGGGACCCTTCATCTTTGATAGGCATGTAGAGTGACGTGGTAGCTTGCTGTTGGCTTAGCCTCTTGAAAAGAAGTATGCCAGGAAGCCAGGAGCGTAGTGCTAGGGCTGGGCTGACCCTTCCCCTTATTTTGTAACAGTATTAAGAGTAGCTGCTCCAGTTTTAATTATGATGTACCAAATCGAGCTGGCGTGCAGCTATGCTTATTCCGTCCATGACGGACGCTCGGGCCCATGGATGCCCCTAGAAGCCGATGGAACACACCTTTTTGTTAGTTCATTTTGACACACCTTTTCTTAGAAAAAACATAACTCGTGAGAAATCTTTCGAGGAAGTTTGAGTGGCTGCAGAAATCTGGCAGATTGTTTTAACATTTTGTAGTTAACATGTTTCATTTTGCTGTGCAAGCTTGGTTTATTCGAAACAATCGCTTTTTGCTGATATGTATCTGTTTTCTTGTTTCAAGACTGCCTCCTTAGGGATGGTTGTTCATGCTCAAGTTTGTCCATCCCAACCGAAATCTACAGCTACCTGGCCGAATCACATACACTCTTTTTTTATAAGATTAATTTTATAAGAACACGAGCCACATAACTGGTCAAAAATCAAAAGCAAATTAAGAACAAGCTGAGGCTGAGCTTCTGTAAAATGCAATTTTTAACAACGTTTCATCTCAAAAACAAGGATTTGTAGGCCATACGTGGATGCTTTTTTGGGGAATATTTTAACTTGGCGGCAATTGAAGGCTGTCTCGCGCACTTTGTTGGCAAATAAGGCCTTACACACCTCAGATTTTCGAAAAAATTAAAAACAGTCAACCAGAACTTAAATTTACTGGTCCTTTAAAAAAAGAGTGTACACAAGATTATATGCATGCACCAGTTGCTATTTACAAATTGCTTTTCTTCAAGAGTTAATTCAACCGCATGACCCTTGACCTTTCCTTTTCGCTTCGGCATGTCAATGTCACAGTTCAAAATGGCGTTTCGCTGCATAGATTCCTGCCAAGGTAACTGATGCCCGTAGCTGGAAACAGTTGCTTCTGGATGTAGCTATCGATTCTGACATGCATAGTTTTATCTCAGACTGCAGAAGGCAAGGGAAGTCGTATTTCATTCATGCTGTGACCAGGTGGGGAAAACTGCTGGACGGGAAGAACATGAAAGATGTGAAGTAGAAGTAATGAAAGATGTGTATATCAAGCATTCATCCAATTTAAGGCCCCATTTACACTGCTACGGATCATTTTTGATACGGATCAAGAGTGATACGGATAGGTCGTGTTTACACTGCACCGGATCACTTGTGCTACTGATAGCTTTTCCGTATACACCAGTACGGATTCGTGAGTGCACGCTGAAATTTTTATACAATGAAGTAAAGAGTAATATAATAATAATCAATTTTTTTTAGTAGGCGGGTAGCTATCTATGTAAAATATATTAACAAGCTAATTCAGACCTACTTTATAAAAATTTAGAATAAAAAGCAATTAAAAATGAATAATTAATAATTACATATGTAAAACAATTAGTTAATTAGTGAAATAAATAAAATTGAGCTCTCTCAAAGTCTCAATGATATGTTGTGCTCTGATATGTCATACGCCTAAATTTTTCAAGATCCAAATTTCATCTTGGCATGTGCTGTTGTGCTATGTGTTTCCCCTTTTCCTTTTTTTCTTAAATTACTTTTTCCTTTACATCGACATAACCCTCTTCATGAAGCAGTCGATTAATCTTGTAGAATTAGAAGTAGAAGAACATATTCATTCCTCAACTAGCCGGGGTGAATTAAATATTAGCAAATAAGTATCACGATGAAAATGAATAACAACAAACACACAAATCAGTTATGGTATGGCTAATTCTTGGGCATACGGGGTTTCATCAGAGCAAAATTCAATTGGGGCGAATTGTTATGCTTCAAGGTTGGACGACGGAACCTTTGAGGGAATAGAAGACAATAGAAATTACGGCTGTGTTTTAGTGGCCCAACCCAAATAAGGTGTGATTTACATTTGTTCTCGAGTTTGCATCACTTGAGTTTGCGAATTATTCCGGTAAAACATTGTGTTTTAACCGGAAATTATAACAGCGAACCACAAGGTTGTGGGTTTCTCCAGAAGGTAATGGCCTGCAGCAACTGTTGTTGGTTCGACCGCACGTCATTTTCAGCCGTTCTAGTAGCGGGTGCTGTTAGCGTAAAGGCTATCCGCTTCAGTGGGTAGACGGTAACACAATGTTGCAAGAACCTAGAGAAGTTAAACGAAAGTAACAAATATGGCGGATCAGATAGGGCTTGTGTTCATTATAATTGCAATCCTGAACATTCTAACTTGCATGAAGATCTATCGAAGCTTTGGGCTGGCTTCACCAAGGCAGTTACTAGCTTTCAATACGGCAGCTGTGGACGTTATTTTGACCATAAGAGATTTGCCAGCTTTTCTTGAGCTCTATAGGACGGGGAACTGGCGTATTGCTGATCGCATATGCGATGGATCAAATTTGAAAATTCACTTTTATATGATTATTATAAGTTTTACGGCGATCGTTCTCATGTTTGATGACCAAATTAAGATGGCGCAAGTGCGAGACATTACCAGTGCAACTGTGGTCTTTGTTACTACTACACTGGCCCCTTTCACCCTTGTGCTTATTTGGAGCAAGTATGAGTTCTTACAAATCAGCCTCAACTGTAATGTGGAGACGATTTTTTCATTGCAAGAACCAACAGATATGGACAGATTTTGGTACAATTTTGCAGTCAAATGCGTTATTGCCTCCGGAACCCTGCTAACTCTCGCTGTATATAGATCAGAAAGCAGATTGAAAATTGAAAAAGGGGGCGATCAAGACAACATGAACGAAAAGGAGCGAAGCGTTGTAGTCAAAACAATGGTTTTCGGAACATTAATGACGGTTTTCTTCGTCTTTTGGATCATAAATATGTGCACAACATCGCATTATGATGATAAATCCCAGATCCTAAAACACATCTCAGCAGTAATGACAATGATGGTTAAGGCACTGATGCCATCTGCTTTCCTTATGATAGAAATGTTAGAACTTAAAAACAATCTTTGTAACCAGTGACACTGACATCGGAATATGAATTGTGTACTTTTCCTGCAGATAACTCAAAGTATTTATACCGAAATGCAGTTTCGTAGCCCTCCAAAAAGCAGGTCATGACCTCCCCTACTTGAAAATGTTAGAAAATAAGAATGACTTGGGTAGAATTTCGCCACGCCCATCATCATTTGAACTGATGAGTCCCTTTTTCAATTGGAAATTTTAGGTGCGTAACTTCTATTACATTGCATTATTATAGACTAGAATTGATTTGTCTCAGAACTGTGACACTGTTTTGGTTCTTTTTGGTAAATTTTATGGATAAATTTCTAACAATTAGCAAACAGAACGCTAGCAAGACATAAAAGGGGTACTGCTCTTCTCAGTTTAAAAATAACGGTAGCTTAGTTTAATGGTTGGTGTGTGTCCTTAATTTTTTTAGTTTTGACTTTCTAAAAATTCACTTACTACAGAGATAAACTAAACTTTTTCAGTGAAATAAATCACACGAGTTGTTATCTTTTTGGTCACCTGTCACATGAACAGTCTGCAATCAGAGGTGGCGCCAGAATTCTTCCGACAGAGGGGTTGGAGCTTCCGACAGGGGAGCTAAAATGACTAAAATAAGCAGTTTTCGTACGTTATTTTGTCAAATTTTCTCCGACAATAACCTAAAATTTTCCTCCGATGGGGGAGCTAGATGCTTCCGACGGAGGGGCTTAAGCCCCCCTAGCCCTCCCCTGGCGCCACCACTGTCTGCAATGAAACTATTCAACGGCCATAGAAATGAATTAAAAAAAATCTAACTAAAATGAAACGTCTCTTCTAGAAATTTTACTTAATTTATCAATATATAAAATTACATCTAATAACGCACGAATGCAAAATTTGATCTGCAAAGTATTCCTGAATAAAAAGAAACTTTGTGAAATAAATAAAGATCAACATCCACATCGAGGCAAAACAGTGTTATTGCATGTGATAATTATCAAAAATTCAAGAATGATGTAAAGCAAGTATAGAGATTTTACTAAATGGGATCTTACTTGCTAATTCAAGGCCAAAATTGAACCAAGACCAAACAGGCCAACCTACAGCGGACACTCAAAAAAAGAGTGACTCGCAGCGTGAAGAGAATTTGAGTTCATTTTACGGACAATTTCAGTAAAATAAATATTATTTCATTGAATAGGACAGAAACAAACTGATGACAAGAAAATACAAATAAGGTGTAACTTTCATAGAATAGCCATTTTAGATTATTTACACGCTAATATAAATGTTATGCCGAGTCATCATCCATGGACTCATCAGATTCTAGTTGTTCTTCAGCCAGGCTCTCATCGCTATGATCATCTTCATCATTATCCTGGTTTATACCAGATACCTTGAAAATCTCCACAGTATCCTGCAAAAGAATGTAAAATATAAATTTAACAGGATTTCAAATCATATCAAAATAACAAGGGGGGCTCTTGCATAAAATGTTGCGAAAAACAATAGCAAAAATAGAAAATTGTCAATTTTTGGTAAATTGAAAATTGTCAAAGAGTATCAGTCAGTCTCGAAAAATCAAGAATAGAGAACACGACAGTACAATAATTTATCGCTGGCTTGCAATCAGAGACGAGAATTATTTGCTGTGGCCAAGAATCCTAGCAGGCGCGCAATTTATGAGCCTCTACGGAAGATTCAGCAGGCGAAAAAGTGGTCAGATCGCGAAAATCACAAATTTACATCAAAAAAGGGATATTTTCTACTACTAGTCAGTCTAAAATTAAAAAGCGCGGAATTTTCAAATAACAAAACAAGCTGCTTTCTTCAGCCAGTTTTGTCGTATATTTTATTTCAGAACAGAAATTCAAGATAAAACAGACGACAAAAAATTTACCTAAATCTAAATCGTACTCAAACTCCTTTTTTTCAAAACACCTTCGTTACATTAGCATGAGCCATGATGAGATTTTCTCACAAAATTGTTCTTACGCTGTTTTACATATCAGATCGCAAGATTGAAACGCTGTTTTACACATCGTTGGCAAAAAACTCCATGAAAATCTCGAACACCTTTGGTGGCGAAACTTTTATCATATCTGTGAATTCCCGGAAATCCTTACGTTTTCGTGGAAAACTTATACGCTATTTGCAAGCTTGAAATGCACCATGGGTTTGCTACGAGCAGCATTTTTAGTTTTAGCTGTTAATTTGGAACAAGTACACTTCGCCATTCTCTGTCAAAAGATATATCTAGACAGTTTTTTGTTTGATCTCCAAAACCAATTCCAGGCTGTCCAAAAACAGTCCAAAAGCTTGTCTCTTAGTGACTTTCTAGTCAACGCTCACACTATCCTGTGCCCATTTTAAAACTTGCTTTTTGTTCATTGAGTCATATGATCAATTTTCTCGACTAGAACGAGTTAATACGACAGTCAACGATTCAATCAATACAGTCCGATTCTCGCAGCGTATTTGCGTTTTCAATGAATTCCATAGACCAGCAGCTGGAATAAACAGCAAAATTGCAAAAAGGACACTCCCCTTCCAAAACTAAAAAGCCATTCTGAAAGGTCAGTTCCTTGAAATAAATCTGTCAAAAAAGGAAGCAAAAAATATCCAGGCTTCTGATTCCATACAGAAAAACTCGCAATAGGCCACTTACCTCAAATGTGTCAAGAATATGTTGGCAAACATCTTGCAAATTTACCAGCCCTTTTCTGAAAATTTCTTTCGCATTAGCCCCTGTTTAAAAAAGTAAGGGTCAATCAAAACTTAGCCCTAAGAATTTTTCCAGTTTGAGACCCCAAGTTTAATTGGATTTCAAACTTGTGAACTTTATATTTTCGGAATTTTGGAATTTTAGATGTAAAAATTCTAAACCTTATTAAAATTTACAGGGTAAAACGGACCTATCCAATAATCGTTTTCCATTGTAAAGCGCTGTATCGGCCTGTATCCATTTGTTCTGAAATTGCAGCATTGCACCGTGAATTCTTTTGAACAGGAAGGCTGAATTTCCGGGTAAGAAACTTGAAACTTTACAATCAGTATTGAGCTTACAGTTTTGAAAACAATACCCTGTATTGATCAGAATATATTAATGTGGGAATTTTTTAAAAAACTATGAGTAGTTAGTTCAATAATATATTAAGAATCTTTCAGTACTAGATACTCCCAACACTTCTTATAAAAACAAGTGTCTGCTAGGCTCCCCCTGTTGTTTGTAAATGTCCTTAGCTCCTTAACATAGTTTGCTATGATAAAGCTGCTGACAAGCCAGAAAACATTGCAGAAGCTACAGCAGAAGTGCTGAATCAAAGAAGTGTTTCATCTTACGAATTGGGCATATGCATTTGCTTCTGGGAGAGGGGGTATTGTACCTTTACATGTTTGAAGGTACGGGATGTGCAATTATTTAGGAGTACTTTTTTCTGAAAAGTGGGGAATTATCTGTATCAGTTTTCGAAATGTGCGGAATCATGGGCAGCATATTTGGAAATATTGTAAAATTATTAGGATGGAGATCTAGCATTAACAAAATGAATGTCTGGGTAGAAATAAAAGTATGGGGTTAGAAACAAAAGAAATACAAGTATAAAATAGACCCCCTCCACCTAAAATTTCACAAAAATTCAACAAGGGGGGACTGAGCCCCTCATGACCCCTCCACAGCATACTTGGTTTGAAGCACATGGGAAAACATCAATCAGAAATATATGATTACTTAACTTGCTATTTCTATCAGTTTTTGAACAGCAACAATTCATATAGCTTTTTAAACAGTTCATTGAAAAAGTTAGAAAGGTTAAACAAAGTTTGTTATAATATTAACCCACAACCTGTTATGACTATTTCCCTTTAAAGCAAGAAGGCTGCAACTGTTGAATGGTTTTTTAGAGTTGAGACTTCAATGCATTTCAAGCATTTTCTATGAGCTTGCTGTGCAAATTTTCATGCTTATGACATTTACAACTCAAGGAAATGTACAGCCCAAACAAAAACAAGAACATGAGTTTCAAGTTTGAACATACCATTTGTTTGTATCCTGAAATTTATCTTATTTTCAGATGGATGAGGAATATTGTATCCACAGAATGCTGTATCAGGGCTAAAAAGATTAAGGAAATTGAATGCAATAAATTACTGTGGACAAAAAATTCTGATTAATCGAAAAGTCAGTCTCAATAAGCAGCAAGGAATTATATAATTAGAGGACTTATTATTTTCAAACATATTGTTTTGGTTAAAAAACAATACTAGGTGTTAATGACAGAGATACAATGAATAAAATTATTATGAATTTTTACTACGTTTTTGCTCAAAATGTATAACCTAAGTGACAAAAGTTTCTATCGTGCAGACAGGCATAAAGGAATGCATAAATGACGATTTTGATGTTTTATCCTTGAGAGCATCTATCAGGCAACATGTCTAAACTGGTCACTGCTACAAATAGCATCTGAAAAATGAGCTGACTTGGCTTTGGGGAAGGTCTCCAGGGGTTGATTGTGTTGCAAAAACTTTTTATCACATGACAGAAATATCTTATAAGTACCAATCTAGTTAAATATGTTGAAAATTGACTGAGGCCTAGCAACTCAATTCAATATTATAATAAAATATAGAGAAGCTTAGGACACTTAAAAAACTCAAACCAGACTGGAAACTTGGTTAATTGCCCACGCACATAAATTTTCCATCTTGGTACTTTTGGATATTGGCTGGGCAATGTCCCTAGTTAATAAAACTTTGAAAAAACACACATTTCATTACAATAACACTACAAATTTCTAATTGTGTGTGATTTGTTGTGTGCAGTTTAAAATTTTCAAAATGAACTTATCCGCACAAGAAGAAGAGTTTCCATCAAGACATTTATTGAGCCAAGTGCCTTTTTCTAAATTTTTCTCATTAAAACAATGATTTTGTGGGGAAAATCTGTGCTCCTGTGACCACATTTCAGCTAACTTTTGAGCATGTTTAACTGCTTTCACACATTTGGAGGTGTGCATACATAGTCCAATTTCAAAACTTCTGAAAAAAGATCTTTTGGTCTTTGGTCTTCAGTCTATAGACCAATTAATGTTGTCATTATACTATAATTATATCTATGTGCAACTAATGAATTCCTGGCTAATTTTTTTTAATCCAGGTAAATTTGTAGTTCACAACCCATCCCCCAAACCCCCTAACAAGGCCAGCCTCTTGACAGCCCAGATTCCCTTATTGGAAAAAAACTTAAGTGTTGAAGGTTGTCAATGGAGAAATATCAATCAGGGAAATGAGAGTATGGAAACAATTCTAAATTTTTCTCAATAGAGAGGAAATTGAGTCTCTCAGCAAGAAGTATGTGAGACAATAGAAGGCCACACCCAAAAGCCACGCCCGCCAGTTGGCAAATTTAGAGCCTGCACCCCCTAGCTTCACATCTCTAGTGATGACCCTGTTATTACCTGCTGTTAATGCAAGTATGGTAACCTACTTTTTCATGACCATGTATCTCAGTGAATTTCCCAAAGTGTGATCTTCACCATTTAAAACAAAAGTCATACAGCATTCATCTTCACCAACACCGTCTGGATGGATCTGAAAAAAAAAGATCAAGGTGCTAAGCTATAATTTACATTGGAAACATTCGTTGAATCCTATTCCATCCTAATTCCCTCAGTGTTTTTTCAAGAAATTTTAAGATGAGAGCACTTTCAAAGGGAATTTAGCAGTAGAGGGCAATCCTTTTTCAAATAAAGAGGAAGACTTTAGCCTACCGTTTAAACAATTGAGAGTCACTGGGCCTGGAGGTGCCATTGCCCAGCCCCCCCAAACTATTTTAAAACGGACGGTCGGTCTGCAATTCATCGCCACTCCAAACAAAAGTTGATTTGAAAAATTGCCTTACCACTTCCAAAGGTCTTAATTGATCCATGGTAATAGAAAATATACTACTTAGATTCTCCTAGAGGCAGGCATTGCTACGGTGGTTACACAAACTGAAAACGTGGGAAGAAGTTAGGATCTGTCGACCACCATGACAAAACTCTACCTGTCTCGTTTTGAAAAGGGGGCCATCTAAAAAAGACAGCCTCAAAAAGAAACAAATCGGGAACGAACCAGAAGTGGGAGGTATTTAATAAATATATTCTAAACTTTATTACATTACGAAGAGTTGTTTAAAAAAGTAAAACTCCTTAAAACATAGAAAATAATCTACTTACATTTTGCTAATCCACTTATTTACTGTTCATCCAGTCCAGTAACGGTATGGAATTGAAGGATATTGCAAGTTCAAGTACCCGTGAAGAAAATTAAATCTTATAAAAATGGAATCTAATTGATTGATAGGGTTCGAATTTTGATGAAAACTGTTTTCCGTTTGCGATATCTTTAATTTAATTTCTACAGATATCAGTAAACTAACTTCCATACGCAACTACCTTGCCCCACACCACTAAACAAGCTAAGTTGTTTTGGAATTGATGTAGTAGGCCTACAATATTTATATCCTTTTAAAATATTCAATAGGCCATATAATTTGAGTGTAATCTTGTGAATATATATTCATACAGTAAGCTTCTTCAAAAGTTTAGATCCTTAGTAGATTAGCAACAGAAACCTAAAAGTATCAGGTATATTGCTGCTGAGACTGTCAAGTTTACAAAATGTATTGATCTCAAAGACTCTCAATTACACTAAAATATTATTAATGATGAGTATATGTATCTAGATCTTATATGGCCTAGATCACACATGAGAACAGGAATACTCATTTCCAATGGTCTGGGGGTGTTATTGACTACAGGCCCAATAGTCTGGGGTCAAGCCTCTGTGTTGATTGGCAAGCTCTCTGCAATTTCATGCATATAAATCACATGATGTGGTCGCATCAAGAGGGAGGACCAAGACACTGCTTAATAAGCATGGGCTCTAAGTGTCCTGAAAACTACTTTGGAGGCTAGGTAACACATACAAATACCTAAGCTATTTAAGAACATACAGGGAAGCAAGGCTAGCTTGAATGATTGTTTTTGGTGAGTTCTAAATGCTGGTTAAGCTTGGTATAAATGAGAAACCTAAATGTGTCAGTTCTAAAGTATGGTAAGTATGGTATGTAAAATACCATGTTGCTTCATGGTCCATTAGTTAACTGGCTTTAAAATGTTGGGCACCACCCAGTGTTCAATGATTTGAATTGAATCAAAGAATTTTCTGGTGTCTTGAGCTTGAAGCTTCTTTTTTGTATACAAATGAAAATGACTATAGCATGCAACATTTCCAAGAATTTCATTTGATTGTAATAAACTCATTTGTTTTAGAAAGAAAGAAAATAATTTCATCATTATGTCACTGTTATATTCGGTTATCGCAAGAGGGACCACTGTTCTTGCCAAATATGCAGCCTGCTCAGGAAATTTTCAAGAAATCACTGAACACATATTATCTAAAATTGGAACAGAAGACTCAAAAATGACATATACCCATGCAAAGTTTGTATTTTAATTTAATTGGCATCATCTCAATATAAGCATGTCTCCTTTATGATTTTATTAATATCAGAAGTAGCCAAATTTTCTTCTAATAGCATTTGGCTAGCGGAAAGGAAGGAGTGTTATTAACTGATGACAAGGAAAAAGCAGAGAGCCTTAATCAATAGGCACTAACATCCAACCAGATGCTCCTTTTGAAGAAAACAACACTTTCACAGAATCATTCCCACAATAAGCAATGTTTCCATTGATAAGCCTGTGGTTAGTAAGTGCATAGAGAACCAAATGAAACCTGGTAAAGGCTGCGGGCCCGACAATGTATTCTCAAAAGATTTCAAGATAGTAGGCACAGAAGCTACAGAGGGACTAGCTAATCTAATGACTAAAATTACAGACAAGTCAGAATCTCCATTCAGTACACTGTTATAAAGGAATATAATCCAGTTTGACAATTATTGGGGGTCCAGCCCCCCCAGACCCTGTATCTGAAGCCCTGGTATAGGAACATCAAGTGGGGACTTTATTTAGACAGCCAGTTTAATAAATCTTTTCCTGGATATTCAACACTTGTAATAAATTCAATATTCAACTTATCATGGGTGCATCATCATGATAATCTGTTTTTGAGTTTTATGAGCTATCACACAGAGAAGGGTTGTAAATACAGCATTAATCAGATATCTGTTGTCAAATTTTTAGTTGGGTGCTATTTGATCAAGTAAACAGAAAAGTGAAATGGCAAAGCCACATAAAAGAAAATTCTGTAGCAAGCTATGTAACAATAATACAGTTAGTCAGCTGATAAGAGAAGTCAATTTCTCATAATTTGCCACCCTGTGTTTTCACCAAATATATAAATAAAAGTGACATTCCATGGCCTAGCAAGCCAGTGAAAAGGAAAGTGCTCTGCCAAGAAAAGACACTTGGTGGTAACTATGTTGCAAAGATAAGAAATTTACAGCAGGAAAGCAGGAAACTGAAACATAGTAAAAAGCTTCCTTTTTTGGTTGTGAACTTTTCTAATTTTTCAGCTTTGTGTTGCAAGGCTTTTCTTTAATTAAACCTTAATTTTATAGAGTTCAAATTAAAAGTTTTCTTAATATATCTGCCATTTTTGTTTCAGTTACTTATTTCATTATATCATTGAGAAGCAAATCACCTATCTGTGTATCACTGATGATGTAAGTACACTGGTTCTATGTGCAGCTAATACTTCCCAATTCTATTAACTATTAAAGAAATGTAAGTTGCGATTTCTGCACCATTTAGAGAAGGTGACTCTTCAAGAGAAATAGAAGCTTTAGTGTAAGATTTTAGATTAGTATTGGCAGATAAAGTATTGACACTGACAGACAAAGAATCTCAAGATGTGGCTGTTCTTGATAATGCTAGATTAAGTAAATGAAACTTTAATTCTGAATGCCCTTCTAAAATTTTAGCTTTCAATAAATAGATGTTCAATCTGACATTAGATTTGCTACATTGAAAAAATAAGATTTTTTTAAACTGTGGTGTTGTTCATGTTCTACTTAAAGTGAGACATTCAACTCTAGTAGCACTTTTTAATTTCCCATTTCTTGAAGTTTATACTCAAAGTCTTCAATTCTTTAACAGGACTTTGAAAGATCAAAGGCTTTTTCTTTCTTGTCTGAGGTCAAAAAGAGGTAGGTGCAATGCTTTGACGTTCAATCATTTTTATTAAGCTGTATGTCTTGCCTCGTCGATTATTGACCCTTCAGTAGGATTTTGTTAGACACAAATAGTAAAAAATATATAAATTTAAAAATTTACTGAACATAAAAAGCATATGTGATCACTTTTTATCGCATTTGGTGGGAATATGCCTATTTCTGACTGGGGTAATTCTATTAGGAGCTTATGATGTCTCTCTGGCTGAAGTACAGGGGTTTCGTTCCATCATTTGATTTATTTTCAAAGTACTGCATGGTCTCAACTCCGAGCGACATGACTGTAACTTTTGGGAACTTGGCATTGTTGTCATGCCTCAGATTGTAGCTAACATTCCGTATCTTTGAAAAGATCCTTGCCCCACCGAATTACCATGTTAGTTTGCCATTCGTAACATTGCGCAATTTTTGTTCTTTGTAAATTCTATCTCACTAAAAACGAGGTTACTATTTCAAATTAGCACCTAACTCAGGCGTAAATTCTACTCTCAAAGCTTCAACTCCTGACCTGATGATTTCTGTCGAATTTATTGCAGGTTTCTGAGGACTTATCAAGCCAGAGCGCAAACCGCCCTTCCCTATGCAATGCAGAGTGAATTTTCACGTGTGTTGGCATCTCAAATGGTATGTTTATTATAAAGTGAAAAATTCTCGAGTCCGTTCAATTCTTCTTCTTTGAGTGATCTTTCTGGTGGCTGGTTTCGTCTCAATTAAACTTTACGTTTCATTGCTTTTTTTTAAAAAATGACTATAAGGGCCTCCATTACTGACCCCAACATTCCGTTCTTAGCCTTGCTTCTGTGGCAACTTTTAGCAAGTTCTAATGTCTGATCGTGTGTGCGAGCCATTTTTGCTTCCGGATATTTCTCCTATTCTTTCCAAGATATAATCATTTCGAATTTTATCTCTCCAACTAATATTAAATGTTCTACGCCAAAACCAGATTTCACAAGCTTCTAGTTTTTCTTTTTAGCTGTTTTCAACGTCCGTGCCACTGTTCCGTAGAGGAGGACGCTAAATAGGGGTTTTAATCATTCTTTTCTTTAAATCTAAGCTAAGGTGCTCTCAGGTTATGGGCTGAAAGATTGAAATTTATTCGTATGCTTGTCGGCAAAGTCAGGCCACCCCGAAAAGTTTAGCTGAACAAATTTACCTCATCCGTTAGATGTATGATTTCTAAGGGTTGTGTATTATTTCTAGAAATGTTTATTCTCGATCAAAAATCGCTTCGAAGCAATACTTTTTTCTTACTATACGTGTTTTTTGTGACATGGCATTAGGGCATGGCGCTAAACGACTGTTTATTGTAGTAATTCCGGATGGCTCTTTCATGGCACAAGAGCAGGGACTGAGCATTCGAGAGAGATACGATTAAAGACCATTTGAGAGAGATGGTCTTTAATTGACATGTAATGGACATGACATGGTCCATAACTGCCACTCCTTAACACAATTAAAGACAACAAAACAGCAAAGAATTAGTTATTTTCAAGCCTCAATCATTACACACACAATATCAACGTGGTTTGAAAGCAATACTTCTTTGGAATGGATGGTCCAGGCATTCCAGTTTTCTGGGTCTTTTTCCCATGATGGGGTGGCGTGAAGGGGTGACGTTTATAGACTCTTTCCTGTCAGTCGAATAATCTTCAAATGGCATTTTCGCATTTCTCGTAGAGGCATTATTCCGACCCGATGACAAGCCGAGAGACTTCAAGCATGACCCGTGTGGAAGAGGAGCTTGATGAGCTAAAGGGAATCATGGTAAAAAATATAGGTATGCCCCTATGTAGGAAGTGGAAGACAAATACAAAAGTTGTGTTTAATGATTTGGATAATTTCAATGTGCTCGCTCTCGAAGTTTCAAATCGCTCGGAGTTATATGCAGGGGAGTACCGGAGAGGGGATTGTTGGGATGTATCGACTTAGGCAATTGTTTTGTTTGTCGTTAAAAGTTAGAATATTACGGTCTTGGCCTGCCCGTAGTTCTGAAATGATTATTTTTTATACAGTTTAATGAGGAAGGCACTGTACAATGTACCATGGTATGCAGGCAGGTTTAACTAAAGCAATTCCTACACTATGATGAAGTATTTCTTATCAAAACCTGTCGGTAAATTTCCTATTCTAAATCCACGCCTGCACCCGCAAAGGCCACTGACTACTTGTGAGATGAAATTTAAGTTAAGCAACCCTTGTAGCAAAAGTTGATTTTGTTTTCTGGCTGTTTAGCTAGTTATTAAAATGTCATAAAAGGAAGCTTAATAATGCAAAGCGGCTTAAGATTGACACTTAAATTTATAGGGAAAGTTGGTTAGAGTATTATTTAGAGGTCTTTTAATCCAGAATTTAAATCTAGATTTGGTCACCTCAGGCACACTGCTATGCATTGCCCGTCATGAAATGCACGATACGCTAGCCAATGCTTAAAAAAAACAAGCATAGTGCTTTTTAAATTTTCTCTTCTTTTTTAAAAGTACTTAGGTATTGCACATTATTCTTCTTAGCCATTCTCATATGTTTGATTTCTAGACAGCATCGTTCAAAGGGGTGAAAGACTTGAGCTTCTGGTGGAGAAAACAGAAGATCTCAATGCTACGGTAAGTGATAGTTTTCACCTGTTTTTGAAGTCATGTTAAAGTTCTTCATAGACTACGCGTCTAGTATGTCTGCGTTTGCTCGAAAGGGTTTAGTTTTATCAGACAGTGCCTATAGTTAGGGTTATAGCATATTTTGTTCCTGAATACCTTATACACCGTATATATGATTGATCCAATAACAATAGGTCATCTGTTGTAGGAAATTGTGTGAAAGAAATAAATTTGGATTAATGCATGATTAAACCATTTGCTTTTCTGATATTGATGCGAGCTTTCTGTAGCAGAAGGCCTGTTGGCTAATTTTAAGAGATTTCTTTTAGCATATGATCAACTTTCTTGATTTGCCGTCTGTTGCTGCAAAATATCTCTTGAATGCATTTCTTCTCACTCAAAAGAAAAATGATTTTTATAATTGTCTAACTTACTAACTTACTATTGTATTTTGTTCTGCTTCTCTAACCTGAATTTTTTATTAAAGAGTCTAACGTTCAAGAAGTCAAGCCGTGGATTAGCAAGAGCTATGTGTATAAAAAACATCAAACTGATCATTCTTATCTCTATAATTGGAATCGTAAGTACGAATTTTATTTTATGCTGCATTTATTCATAACTATTTCCAACACCGAAGTTATTATAAGATTTTGATTCAGTATGCTCTGGGAATTATCACAATTTTATAAACCTATCTTGAAACAGATTGTTGTCGTCATAACTAGGTTCCAAGCTGACTCAAATAGCTTGTAAATGTTAAAAACGTTTTCCAAATTCAAGTGGGAACAATGCTGCTCTATACCGTGCTGATGACGTATTCAAGATGATTTCTTGTACGTGTCGTCAAATTTTTCTTTTAATTTTCTAGCAATTCGCCAGCCATCGATTTTGTAAAAATATTTTGTTACCCTGAATTGATGATATTTAGGTTTATTGAAAAAAGATTAATCTTCTTTTCACTGAACATGTTGCCTTGTTTTCAGGTCGTTATTTACTTCATCGTGTCTTTCGCGTGCGGTTTTGATTGGAAATGCGGTAAATAGCTCATGGAAAAATGCTGGAAATCCACAGTTGACAATTGATTTGCAAAGACGTCTTAGTGTAGAATTCCCCACTTTTCTATAAATTAATTGTATTTTCGTAGTTGTAATTACGTAATTGTGAGCGATTGTATTTTTCCTGCACCTAGAAAAGAATGACCAAGATACTTTACAGAGCTCACAATATAAAATTCTTAAAGAATAAAATGGGGACCATTCACCGTTTTCAAATAGCCTATAAGTTTCTAATGTTCGCAGTTAGCCATCGTTCCCTCCAGTCTATGTTTTACTTCACATAACATGCCTTCTGTTTTTTGTTCTTTGGTGTTACGGCCTTTAATTGCCATAGTCTATGCTTAACTGCTTTACAGCTCTGTATCAATTCTCAGAGTCATGAGCTTCAAAAGTACCACTTAGGCCCCATTTAGTACGATAATTGTTTTCTCTTGGGCTTTAGCTGTGGCTGTTTGGCTATTGAATATTAAAACAAATTTTTCTTTTTTAATTAAATAATCAAGTTTTTTTATTGGATAAATTAAAATATTCAATGTCTGAAGTGATGTGGACTTTCTTTGTATTGTAATACGTTTAAAGGAGAAATAAACTAAATAATGTCAAACATGTTCATCTTAGTCTACGACACTATTTGTATCACTACACATTTATAACTGCACACTTCAGGAGTTCATATGATTGGTTGTTCATAAATAAAATTATTCTTCCGTTGTAATATTTTGATATTTCATCGCGAAAAGTAACAATTGTTGATTCATTTGTACGATAAATTTGAATTTTCATGATTCCAAAGCATTTTCTGTTATAAATGACACCTAAATTGAATTTTCAAATCATCGTGAAGAGATGTAATTCTTTTATGGAAACATTGATTGACTTCGATTTAACATTGATTTTTTGTCCAAGTACCTGTTTCACTGTTCGTGGACGCGTTCTGTCACAAAATTTGTGACAAAGAGGAGTTTATGTGAACTAAAACAATGCTAGCAATATGACTGGAACTTTGCCATAACGCAACTGTAGCCATTCTATTATGGGGAATTTATTTTATCGAATTTCACCAAAGCAACGAAAGTGTCTATAACAAATTGCTTTTCACTGGAAAGCTTCCTGTGGTCTGCCTGTGGTCATGTGTGCTGCCAAAAGTTCTGTTTGCTTTTCAAAAAAATCCACACGAAAAATAATTCGTCTGAGCGGAAACAGTATGACGCGGTTTTTAACTGAAACTTATCTTTCCTGTTTCGTCTAAACATTTTCCATGCATATACCGTTGCGGATTAGCAAATTCTTCTGTAAGAATAAACTTATGGTACTTCTTAAATTACCTGAATCGCGATTCATTTACGCGGGGCTTACCTGCACAATCTTTCATGCATGTTTGATTGGTTTGTAAAGATTGTTAACTCAGCACAAAATGCCAAAGTGACCATGTCTACTTTTCTCTACAGAGAAGCCAAAGATATTTTTAGGACAAAGGTAGTAATTTACTTGAAGCTACACAATGCTCACTTCTGGGCCCTTTTTTAGCAACCACTTAATCAATTCCCAGAGTTGGTTGATCAACTAGCAAGCAAGCATAAGGCTGTTATAGCTCTGATAAGGTAACTGCCTACTGCAGGTTTGAACACAAATCTTAAAGTATAATAATCAAATGATATTATAGGAAAGCAGGTCGAGGGATACAGTTCAGGTAGTTCGATAAAAGATATATAAGTACATCATTATTATTAACTGTATCTAAGTTTATGTTATGCGTAAATGCTGAGGATGTAGTAAAAGTATGAAGCAAAAAGCTGAAACGCATATAGTAAAAAGCTGATCGACTTCTCGCCAATTTTGCAAGACGGACACAATGTTTTGCTCTGTGGTCCGTCTGCAAAAAAAGCTTAAAACTATTTACCATGCAAAGTCATAGTTGTTTAAATGCGATGATATTCAGAAAAGTTGTCTAATGATCGCATTTAGGGTGAAACTTGGAGTAGCAACTTTGAACCGTCCTGTATTAAACACCAAAAGCGTGCACTGTTCGATACTGCCTATAAGGCATCGAGATCTTCCTGGAAGACCTGTAAACATTCATTTTCATTAAATGTATAATTATGTTTACCAGGGATATTTTTAACGTGCAGTTCTACACAAAAGGTGCAGTTCTAAACGTTTTTTGTGCAGTACAGAAAGAAAAATCTGTGTTGTTCTAAAATTTTACTTTAATGAACAAAAAATTCAGGAAAACTTTTGCAGAGAAAACAGCAAAAGTTTAAGTGATGAAACACAAAAAAGATAATAAAGATGGCGCCTAAATTAAATGAAAACCTATTGGGATATAGAAATTATAGATATAAAAAGACATTCAATGCCGAGTAATAAATAATAGTTGTCATATCGTTTTTGAGTCACACATACACGAAGTACGAAATTGATAGTGTCAAAGCAAGAGACTGTTTAAACTCTTAAATCAAAGAACATTAAAAATTCAGAGCGAAAAATAAATCATGTCACCAGTTTCGAATTTCAATTTTCCAGTTGTATGGTCAAACAAAACAGACAGACAACTAAGTTGGAGACAATTGTTGTTTATACTTCCAGTTTCATTCCAGTTTCATTTGTATTTCGAAAGATTTTCTTTAAAATGGACGGTTATATATAGGCCTAAATTATATTATCGATGAGCATGGCAATGGAATATGCTTATTAACAATGTCAAAACCTCCGCTTTCAAGAAAGGGGTCTGGAGTAGTAGCGTAGCGAAGGGGGCTACGGGGAAAACGATGCAAGACTGCAATAAACGACTATAAGAAATATTTTGAAAATTTAAGCTAATCTAAAGGGCGTGGTTGAAGAAATTGTCTGCTCGCTTCGCTCACAGGGGGCCCTCGTCTATATCTCTACTGAATGGTTCACAATTTTCCTTCCCTTTAGGGTATATATAGAGAAGTTCTTCACGATCTTAGAAATTCCCGATTAAATAGAAATTAAAAAGATGGATTCTGAAATGCTTGTCGGGGATTTCGCAGATTTTGCTCCAAGGACAAAGGACTTAGTTTGAAACTTATGCACACTGCTTATTATTTTCAGGTATTTGCTTACAACTTTAAAAAATCGGTTTTTATACGTAGCGCTTCCTTGCCTCACAAAATTCAGAATATAAAGGCTACAAGAGGAATTGTGAATGAAATGGCCAGTTGTAGAATGGGGTCAGCCACAAAAAGCTACATAAGACGGTATTGTGTTTGATTAGCCAATTATTGCCACATGAAATAGCCATAGAATTTACAAAGTGGGCAATTTTCGCACATTTTTGAGGGTGTAGCCACCAAAAACTTTCCTGCGGCCGGACTTCTCTTTGCCCCTGCAGGTACGGAGCACAAGCTACCCGTACCTGCACATTGTGTACATTTGGTTTATACTTATAAAAACCAATAATTATTTCTTCAACATAGTGCTCCCGTGAAAAATGTACAACTCTAAATTTTCCTTAAAAAACCCTGATGTATACAAGTGTACAGTTTGACAAGATAGAGGTTGAACAGGGTGTTCAAAAACACCTATAAGGACCTTCCTGAATAACTCTAAGTAAGCAATGGTGTTAGAAATTGTTGTTTTGGAGAGGCAACTCTGTTGTATCAATTTCACTGTCCAAAATATAAAACTTTGTGGTTACTACAGGTATAAACACATCATCTATCGATTCAATAATGGACATTCATATTTGACAGTTTCACAGAGCTCTGAATATTATAACCTGCTAGGAGCTTCCAATTCTCTATTGACAGTACAAACAATTGACTTGGACATATCTATACGCCATCCTTTAATGTGGACTTGCTAGCATGAAACATCATTCTTATGCAATATTTTATTCAGAGATGCAAGACTTCAAACAGCCAGCCAAGCGGCAGCGATTTACTAGGCCTAAAGGCTAGATAATTTCAGGTTGAAGATAGCGCATGTAATGGTGGCATTTGTTTCTCAAGTTAAGTGGCCACGGACAATGCAGCCGAGTGACGTTGACTTCAAGCAATGATAAAACATTGGCTGAGTAGAAAAATGTCCCAGGTATTCATTTTACAGTAAATAGAGCTTTATATAGATAGTAGCAGAGATTTAGTTAAATATCTTGTATTTTCCGTTTCCTAACTATCTTTCATGGTGCACATAAAGATGATTTCTTAACTTCTAAAATATTATCTTGAAAGTACATTACTGCCCAGATCTTGCAATTGTTATTATATTGACGGTCTCACTGATGGTTTGTTGTTCCTAGCAAATTCTTAATTTTTTTTGGTATGTCTGTTGATCCTCTAACCGTTTATGCTTTTTATTTTTGCTTCCCTGGAGGAAGTAGATCGGTCTCAACAGTGTCGAGTAAACAGGGCTTTTGCCACTTTTCCTTTTACTCGTCGCTATCTTATCTCAGTTTTCACCGATCTTATCAAAAATCCGGCTTCATTTACTTCAATTACCTTGCTAGTCAGTAAAATATTTTTTTGTAGTAGATGTGATTTTGCAATAGGAAATGCATTGATATGATCTTATCAAAATTCTTACCAGCTCATCTATAAAGTAACAAGACTCCTTCTTGAACCCTACTCTATTATATTTATTAAGGAAAGGAATTTGCTGCTTTTTCTGGTGGCAATATGGCAATTTCTGCTGTTACAATCAAATGTTCACTGCTCTAGAAGATTTATTTTTTCATAGGATCATCACACGAAGGGAAAAGGAGATTGTGTCATCAAATGACGAATACATAAAGATTACAGTTATCTCAATTAAATAGACTATGAAGAGGAAAAAAGTTATAATTGTGTTTTTAATCGCGTGGCTATTGGAGTCTTTCACTAATTTGGTGGCTGGGAGTCAGACACTTCAGATGGCCATCAATCCGCTTATAATCACTTCAAGTACAATCTTTCATGTTTCAGTTAGGGACGCTGCAAAACAGTCCATAAACTATAAACTGTATAAATTCTCTTTTGGCTCATGGAACCTCACTACCTTAAAACAGCACGTCAGCTTCCAATACCAACAGGAGGGGCGTTACAAAGTAATGGCTTCTGCCCTGTATAATTCAACATGGCTTCCTTGGACTGTAAAGGAGATTATGGTTTTTGATCATGAAACTGTAATGGAGAGCAATTGCACAATTAGGATGGATTATTTTGGAACAATTAAAAATAGTAATGATAGTATTGGCTTTCAGATCAATATTACTTTGATGAATTGCTATGGAGCTGGAGAATTGAGAATTACCGAAACTGGTGTTGCTAAAAGCAAAAAGTCATTGTATTTCCAACAAGAGTTGGTGTCATTGGGTAACCATAGTCAACCAATTCTGATATTTGCAAACGACAGCTGCAATGTGCTACAAGCACTCGTAAATTTTACTTCACCCAGAGAAACAATCATAAAGAAAAATAATATAACCTCGTTAACAAATTTAAAAGCATGTCAAAACTACTCTCCTGGAACAAATAATTCAAGTAATGGAAATGGTTCTGTTCAAAACAGCACAACAAATACAAGCAACAGTGCGCAAGATAGTTTACAAGTTATTATCTATGGTACTCTAAATCCTATAGTAGCTGTATTTTTTGTACTTATATTTTTTATTTATTTTACCAACGGAGTTCTTGCGTACCGTGGATACAAGGATCTTCTCAAGCCGGTGAGATTTGGGTTTTTCTTTGCATTGATTATGAATGACTTGTGCTTTAAGAAACAATATGACTACATCATCTCGCCAATTTCAATAACCAAAATATTTTATTCCAATCGTTCACACTACTCCGTTTTCAAATAAAAACGGGTTCAAACTAATCCGTTTTTGCCTTGCGTTCACACTACTCTGCTATGAAAACGGAGTCGTTTGAAAACGCTAGTGAAAACGGATACTTTCGAATATGGTGCGTATTGAATACGCTCCCGCTTTCAGTGTGAACACCAAAAACGGAGACATTTGAATGCGCTAACAACGGCAACAAAATACGTGCTTTCTAGCACACCAAATCTCAAAAATTTTGAAATTGAGAATTCACAATGGACTGGTAGTTGTTACAACAAAGTTTTTCTTTTATTTTATTTCACTTACAATGACGCCTATTTGTTGAGGATTCGTGAACGCCTCTTTCCAAAAATGAGGCCACCAACAGCGTTTTTGTTGGAGTAGTGTGAACACTTACGGTATTCAAATCGTATTCATTTGAAAACGAATAAGTGTGAACGGACAACGTTTTCATCAACGAAAACGGAGCGAAACGAATACGGAGTAGTGTGAACGTAGCCTATGGAGCATGGTTGCAATTCCTTCTGATTTAGATTAAGCACAAAGAGTTGTTGCAAACTTCAAGAACTGACAAAAACAAATTTTTTATTTCAACATATTTTTCTGAATTTTTGTTTCTGGGAATGATGCTTTTAAAAACCAACTTTCATTTTGGTGCAGATGAAAATTTATGGATTAGCAATAAATTCATATTATTGTTCTAATCCACAGCTGCAAAATCTAACCAACCCGGAAGACGAGTATACGTATGAAGTACAAATTCAGGTTGGCAGTGGTTTCTCGACACAATCGTCTCAATGCAAAGTAATGTTTACTGCGTTTGGCACTGATGACGTCATAGGCCCAGTGAGTCTCCCAGGCTCATCTTTCGAGCACGATGGCATTGCTTCCTTTCTGATATCGACGAGCAAAAAGGTTGGCGATATCGGTACCATCGGCCTATTCTGCTCAAATATGGACCCAAGGTAAGAAAAATGTCATGATGATCAATTTCAACTGAGGCACCACAAAAGTATGGCTGTATGATAATTTTTCTAAAGGTTACAATAGTAAAGAGCCTGCAAAATTGACCATCATTTTTAAAGAAAAACCTTGGTCATTAGAAATCAAGATTCAAAATGTTTAATAATCAAGATTTATTATGACATAAAAGTTTATGCACTCTTTTTCCTTGAAGAATATTTGCTCAAATGTTCCGTTACAAAAACTGAATTCTAGTTATCAATATAATTACAACATTTGCTTCAGACAATTTTCTACTGCATTGTAGTAGATCTATAACCAATATTGTAATTGTGCCTTTAATGAAAATAAAGTATTTCTATGGTTGAGGAAGATCAATTGCATTGGCAAATATTGATTAAGTCATTAAAGCCGAGCTGTGTGTAGATGCGCCACTGTGTTATTGTGTTAATAATATTGTATTAATAATATTGTATTAATAATATTGTGTTAATAATAATATTGTGTTAATAATGATATTGTGTTAATAACCTGATAAGAACCATCCATTTCGGTTGTAGATCCGACCTGTTTTTGAGATTGGTCAAAATTTTTCGGCATAGTCAAAAGCCGAATGGGAACCACTGGGGAGAAAATGACGTCATCAAAAAAGTCGCTGAATTTGATTGCCATTCGTGGTTCTCACCAACCATTCGATCGCATAGTGTTGGCCAGGTTTTCAACCGAACTGGAGAGCAATATGAAAAGTCTCTATTGGTGGAGTACATTTCTCGTTGCAGTCAGCTGTTTTTTCAGAAACACATTCTTACAACTTGGAGATGCAGTTTTGGCGTGCAGAGCTTCACAAAGGCACAGCGACTGGCATTTTTCTTCACGATGTGGTTCTTCCTAATTTACCTTACTACTTTATTTATAGCAATAACAGGCATCAAAGACTTGCCGAACGAGGATCACATGTATCAGATTGGCATCATACGTCTCGACAAGAAAACATCCGATTTTTCAGTATCAACTGCTTTTATGACTTATTTGGCAGGCTTAGTGTTGTTTCTTGTTGCGAAGACTGTGTACGGAGTATCTGACAAAGAGGGATATGGCAATCGAAGACATATTCAAGTTGATTCCACTAGATTGGGTTATCAAAACGCCAAACATCAATTAATCAATGACGAGACCGGAATAAGTAACGACAAATGCTTACATACTGCTTCGAAAGATGCAGAAGAAGCTTATACAAATGGCGTTATTGAATTTGATGGCTCTTCCGAACCGAATGGAACATCTCAAATTCTCTCAGAAAACGAAATGTCTATGCGAAATGGAGATAGAGCTGGAAATTTATATGGGTCAACTCAGCTACCTATGAGTGTTGATACAGAGGGCTCATTCAAAGAAAACTATGGGCAACCAGACAATGCTTTGCATGCAGAAAACGTAGTGCTGGATGTAGAAAATTATTCTGAAGGGAGGAAAAAAACGGTAGCGGTAGAACTAGGCCAAGAAGAACTTATCGTAGAGAGTAACGGCCACTTGGAAAGGCCTAACGGAAGTGGGAAGATAAATGGTGGTTTTAACTACTTGAGTGTCGATAGCACAAGCTGCTCTGGGAAAGACAGTTTTGAAACGAATGAGCTAATGGAAACTGAAAAGGAGAAAGGTCCTGTTGAAGTGCAATTTTTCAATAGAGAAACAATAGTCGTCGGGAAAGAAAACCTTTTAAAATCGTGTGCTATCAAATTTTCAAGTCGCTTGTTCTGGATAGTTCATTCAGTTTTTCTGATGTTCTGCACATTTCATACCCTTATAGTCAGCACCGACTGGAACGCTGACACGTCATTTCACTGGATTTCAATGCATGTAGTCTCTTTGGTTATATCTTGCTTCTTTTTAGACACCGTACGGGTTCTCGGGTATATACTTTCAATTACGCTCAAAGAACGTAAAGAACTCAAAGCTGTTCAAAAAAGAACAACTTTTGAAAAGTATGCAAAATTGCTACAGGCTTCAAAGCTAGCAGAGAAAGAGCGGAACTCGTTTTGTCAAAAGGAGTACTCTGAAGACAGAATGAAGATCGTGCAAAACTATTACCGTCTACGGGGAAAATTTCGCGAGTTATTCCTGTTTCTAACATTTGTCATCGTGCTTTTAATAAACACGACGTGGACGATGAACCAAGACTCTTTCAGATTCTGGGGAAGTTTGAGAAATTTTGCATTGAACACGGATGAACTCGAAAATATACAATCAGCCGGAAACACAGTAAGTTTGTTTTTCACTTATGTGGTGCTTTCACATAAGTATCTTGAATTTACTCTGCTAGTAGGAACAATTCTCAGGTACTGATATTGTTAAGCATTTGAATGGTAGACAAACACCTTGACAAATTTTTCCACAGACGTAACGACTTTAAAAAGGCATGGTGTCGTGTGGTACATTATTTTTATGTATACGGCTTTAAGGCAGTAGAATCAGCAACCCGGTCCGATACGCAAATCTTGAGGTAGGTATCCAGTCCGGTATCCGGCATGACAATGGTGGCAAATGCCATATCAGAAATAAAACATTCCTTGTCGTCGTTGTTGTTGTTTTGCACACAGACAAACTTTTTGTCTTTGAAGACAAAAAATTTGCTCACTAAGTGCATCTACCTTGACAAGAAAATGTATTGTCAGCATGAGTTGATGAATCGCCAATTCGAAACGCCTTAGAGCAAATTGAAAAGAGCGCTTTTTCAATGACCTTTTGCAATCAAGAAACTCCCAGTCTTAGATTTCTCGACCCTTCAAGAAGATATTAATCTCGAATTGCTAGAGCTGTGCTAGAACGGATGGCATATTCTCAATCTGACAACAATAGTAATGTAGTTTTCTATCTTTAGGTTGATCCTGCCGTCAATTTCTGGACTTGGGCAAACAAGACACTGCCACCTTTGCTAGACGTGAAGAAAAGAGACGTTTCTTTGCAACAGTTGTACCTTTTGGGTCAAGCTATAATATTAACACAACGGCGTGTCAAGAAAGGTTTGTAAACATAGAATTAAGAGCCCGTTTACAGGGGATCATATTTAGGACAAAACAGGTCCCTAACTGAGCAGCAGCGGGCTGGACCCCCAGGCCATTTCAGTCTTCCATTAGCTGTGTCAAGTGACCACTTTTAATAGTGATTGCCAACCGGCATGTTTACAAACTCACATCCTGTTCTGAAAGTGTCATTGCACTTCAACCAACTCATCAAAGTATAAAGTTTGAGTTGAATGTAGATATAATCTTGAATTTCGTCCTTGACAGGAAGATGCAGCCTCCCGAAGCAGATGGAGCAGCTGGTTGAGGATTGTAGTGCTGAATTCCATATCGACCATGAGGACCGGCAGGCCTATTCGCCAAGGTGGAAACGCTTTGAGCAAGGCACAAATGCCACTAATGGAATTCAAGGTTGGCAATGGTTAGAATCTCAGGTACAGGGAATTGACGCAAAGGGATACAGGGTGCGATTCATGTCATTCAATGTAAATGAGACTATTAATCATCTTATGAAAACCGCATGGATTGATAGATATACCAGGCGCTTGGCACTTCAAATGCTTGTGTATAATCCATCTGCAAACCTTATCGCCTCAGTTGATATACACTTATCATTTTCCAATAGTGGTTCTATACAGATTGTGGATAAATTCTTCAACTTCGTCTTCTCGCAAGAGTTATCGCCTAGACGAGTTGTTACACATTTATCGGAAACTACGCTTTTTATGATTACAGTTTACTTAATTTTTGACATCGTTAGACGCAAAAAGAGAACTTCAATGTCATGGCTGTCGGGTTGGCTGATCCTGCAGATAATTGTTATCGTATTATCAATCGTCGTTATCTCAATGACAATTTATAGACACCACCTCTTGTACTTATTGGGTATCAAGTCTACTATATTGGCAAAAGCAGACATTATTTTCACCATAATGTCAACGTCTGAGGTTTTTGAATTCCTCCTCGCAAACCTCAGCGCTCTTAGCTTCGTGCTGCTCTTGAAGCCTCTGTTTACTTTGGGCCTATTTGATGACATGTACATAGCCATAGTCCGAACTGTCTCTGACCTAAAAGGAATCGCCACCGAGACAATCATAATATTGATAGGTTTTGGATGCTGGGCAAATCTTGCGTTTACATCTGAAATCAGCAGTTTCTCCACAATGGACCTAACCTTTGCTACATTGATGGACATGTTGGTTCGCCCAGATCAGACGGATCTGTATGATGTACCTCTTTACGGGCCACTGTTCGTTTTCGTCTACTTTGCTGTGATGGTTTTTTTGGTTTCAAATTTGGTCATCAGCTCAGTTGAGCAGTCCTACAGCGAGGCGCGAAGGCTGTTTGATAGCATGAAAAGAAAGACAGTGTTCAAAGTTTTAATGAAAAAACTCAAGAAGAAAAAGCTTGGAGCTGCTGCAGCAGCCAAAGAATATGATTTGACATTGCGCAGTACAATGTCTAGAAACCCTGCTCATGTATCCAGTAAAAATACAGAAAATAACAAAACTGAGGCGACATTAGGATCTGAGGATTTTGCGGATGGAACAAGCGGGTATTTTGAAAAGCAAGAGAGCAATAAGCAAGAGGAATTGCCCGACCAAACAGACGTGTTACTTGCAGCGATCAACAGAATTGAACAAGTTGTCTGGAGAAAAGTTATCTTTGAGCATGCGTCAGATAACCTTTTAGTGGCTGCATTTGTAAGCCAATGGGACAGACACGTACTGAAAAAGCCCCCTTTGGACGTGACAAGTATTTACAAACCATTGATAAGAAAACCAAGAACTGACTTGAAAATATCAAAATCTAAGGCGCTTTTAAGAGAAAATCCAGGGAAGAACAGCGTTTATAAGATAAATAGCAAGGCATTTTCAAACGATATGTGTTAGATGGTGTATTTTATATATAAATGAAAACGAGGCTGAATAGACAAATGTCGGAGGTAGAAAAAAGAAAGGATCAATACTTGTGGTTACGATCTCGTGTGAATATATTTCTAGGCGAGAGATTGTGATTCATGATATCAATGGATAGAGTCAATTTTTTACAACCAATATTTTTAAGAAATATAGGTTATTGCTATGTGAAGGAAATTATTTATATATAAATTTTTTACACATAATTAATAATTATGAAACAAAAGTTCTATTGAGTTGTAGAAGGAGCTAGGAAAGAAGGTTTATCGCTGTATAAGAGCTATCTACCTGAATGTGAGATAAACTAAAAAACCAGATTTGTTGCTAGTTGTTTTGTATGTAGAGGCTATGTGTAAGGCGAAAGAAGCCAGTATAATCATTTTTCATTGTCTTGTTCAATTGGGATTATAAGACTTACATTTCAAAGTTTTTTTGTGATACTAAGTTGTTCATTAGGTATTTCTCAAACTCAACTATGGGAAGTCTTTTAAAAGCTGTAGCTCTCCAGCTAATGTGTCTTGAAAATATTACAGAATTCCTTAAGCATGATAAGGAATGACCGATTAAGCAAAGGGTTTCAAATTATATGAATCTTTTTAAATTGGTTACAAAAAAGACCATACAAAAATTAATCACTTTATTACATAAATTACAATTTTAATCCTACAAAGATGCCTGATTTTACATTTAATAAAAAATATTTCTACATATTTGACAGTTACCTTTTTACAGGTGTCAGGCCTTAAAAAAAGTTATATAAAAAAGTGCAATACATTTAGCCATAATACCAACTCTATCCCCAAGCAGCTTAAAATAATCTGAAGGCTATTGCTTTATGACGTAAAACAAAAATGGTTGTTCAAGGACATTTACTACAGTCCAAAAGTCTATGAAACCTTCAACAATCTTAGTGTGGTTTTGCAAACATTTTTCAATCTTCTACAACTGCTTTTGGCAAATCTTTGATTCATTTGGAACATAGCTCTTCATGATTTATCAAATTAAATTGATAATTTGAGTCAAGTTTGCCTAATGAGAACTTGACAATTGAAGGGAAAGAAATAATCCTTTTTTAGCACACCTAAACAGAAAACAATTAAGTCCTGATAAATGTGATTGAAATTATACAGATACCAAAATAATGCACCTGAATGTTAGCTCTTCATCTCCATTTGTTGGACAGTCCTAACAGCAATTAAAGATTTTACATCCCCAGCTCCAGTTTCAAGAAATGCTGACTTTCTTTCTGGATCAGAGGGTGATGCTTTCAAATTAAACAATTTATTACTGTCTTTGTTTACATCTGGTTTTGAAATCTTTGCATTGCTTAAGAAAGGATTATCAGCTTCTTGGTACAGTCTTCTTGGTGATATTTCAGGCTTCACAACTGGCTGATGGCTGGTCAGCAAAATTCCAGGTGGAAATGATTCTAACTCTGGTTTAAAATCATAAGAGTTCTCTATTTCATTGTTTTGCAGATTTGGCAACAAGCCTCTATCTAAGCGTTCAGGAATAATTTTCTGATGCGTCCAAGTTTCATTGCTGTCAGATGTTGGGTTAAGTCTGAAGCCATGCAGTTGTTTGGAATCTTTGTTTAAGGACGGTAGCTTATCAGCAGAGAGCAATATTGGCTGTTCAATATTTTCTCTTGCCTTAGCTTTTAAAACTTCCTGGTGTGTTTTTAGGAAACTCACAACAGATGGACAACACATCAATTCCTTGTACAAACAAATAAAAAGTTGTTACATGTATTGGAGGATTTCTGTGTTGATAGGAGTTAATTCTATAACAGAGGAATTGCTTTATGTAGAGCTCATGGAGTGAAATTCACTTCTGAGGTCTTGAATATAAACAAGGTCAAACCTTTTCATCCTAAACAACAATATTTGACAAATGCCTTGCCATGCCTGTAATAGCTTGAAAAGCAATCACTGATTTATTTGAGACATATTCATCCCATCCTGCCAACAGGCTATTTGTACTTGGGTGTTTAGCAAAATCCAACATTTCTTTCTGGCAATGAACAGTTAAATAAAAAAATTGAACTGTCCAGCTATACACATTGAAAGAAATAATGAAAGATGTGTACTTGTAGAAAAAAACTTCACCAAAAGCAAAAAGAAAAACATACCATCCTCTTTTTGAAAAGAACTTGCTGAAGCATTTCATTTATATCTTGTCCATCAAAGAAATCAGGAGAGCCAGAGAAACATTCCTTTGATTCCTATGAAGAAAAGAAGAAACTTGGTATACCAAATAGAAATCAAATTGGCCAACAACATGCAAGACATTCTCTTACTAAATGGAAAATGAATGTTTTGAATCATTATTTTTCAGAAAACAAAAGGAATTGTTATTTTTCCTTCTTATCTTCTGCATTGCTTTATTGCGAGTCATCAAAATTTATTGACTATTTTCTAGTGTATTGTGTTGCATTATTTCTAAAATGTACTGGTGCTGGTCCAAGTTTAGGGAACATTCCACTCAGATTTTTAAAAAAATTGATAAATTTAGCTAAATCGCCAGCCCCTACAACAAACAATGATGGAATAGATTGTTGGCCAGGTTAGACAAATTCAGTTTCATGTTGTTTGATTATGATGAGAAATGTGTGATTTGCATTTGATAGAGATGAATGGTTGGCTTAAAAAACTAGAGAACCTTTTTGCTGTCAACTGGCTGCATCAATTCTATGGACTGTTGAGTACTGGCATTACAGTAGCCTTTTATTTCAGTATTCTGGATACAACTGGTGTCACTATTTAATTGTAATACTCATGAATGTGGCAAAAAAGATCATCCCTAGTGAATTTGCAGAAAAGACTCTGGTAAGACATAAACATCACAAAATTTCATATATCCAAAAATTTCATATTAAGTAATTGTTTAAAAAAATTTAGTCAACCTCTTCTGCAAAACTGCATCTCTTCAGGTAAGAACTTTGAAGAGATGATTTCTAGAATTAATTTATCTAGTAAAATGTTACCTTATATTTTTCTTTAAGCTTGCATTTTTTCTTTTGATAATTTTTCTTGTAAACTTTTTGACGGTGTGATTTACAGTATTTTCCCCACATTGGGAATGCTATCTGGACATTGCAGTCTTTGTAGGCACAGCAACGTACTGCTTTTCTTTGCTGTGACTCAGGGGTATCTCCACTTTCTAGCATTTTCTTGATACCTCCTGGAAAATGATAAAGATGAATATCAAGAAATAAGTCTTCAGGTTTTATAAAAACAAATGAAGAAAACTTAAGCACCCAATTAGTAGCCATTCTACTTCTGGGTGGAACTTGTGTATGCATGTCAGTCTAGCTCTCTGTTATTTTCAGAAAAATTAGAATTATTTTTGACAGTACCCCCAGCAATCATGGCTGATTCACAAGGATCCCCTACATTTATTTCTGAACAAGACTCGACCCTTGGCAATGACCTCGACATTAAGTGAAAACGGATAAAGAAGAGATGCCGAATATATAAATATAATCATCTGTTAGTTTTCTTGCGTTCTTTACTTTTTCGTGTTTGAAAACTCGACACGTCAGGTACATTTTTTACATGAGGGGTACCATTTACATGAGAGCGACGGCTCCGGCCCACTATGGTTTGATGCAATTTATGCCAGTTACAGGGAAATTGCGAGAGCGACATTAATATTTCTGGTTTAATATCGTTAGCAAAGTGAGAGTCACAAACGATATTAACACACCTTGAATCAAAATATTTGCCAGTGATCCAGCTAATTCCCACGCAGTTCTAGATTAAATTATTGTTGTGTCGATTGCTCATTTCAACCCGAGGCGTCACAGCAACAGCAACACAAATAAATTGGCGGGAAAAGCTTTGAATTGCGGTGATGTGAGAGAAAATAATCTTTCACAGGCTTTTTCAATTTCAAGCTTTATCAGCTTTCCTCTTGCAAAACCAGGACAATAGACAGCAGCGTAGCGACCCCTCTCGAAATGCTCGCAAAGTTAGTCTTTGAGGAAAGTTCATATATCAAATAAAAATAGTTAATCGTGAACGTTTGATATTCTAGAAAATAATATAATCGGGAATGGATAAATGGGCCTTGGGCCGGAGTCCGACTTGGTCGGAAAAGGCTTCTTGCCCCGTTAAAAAGATCCAACAAAGGGGAAATAATAGAAACAAAACATGTTCTTTGGTATACAGTTGAAATCTGCTATCTCTACTGAATTCTTCGCGAATGTTAATCTCGAAAACTGGATATCGCGAATGTTTTTTCATCTAGAAAAGTCATTCGCTATTACGAATGCCCGACATGGACATTTAGGGACCGCGGAAGTGGCGGAGGGGGAGGGGGCTAAAGGGACTGTAATACAGTTAATTGTCTGACCCCACAAATCTCGTGTTAAGACTTTCATCTATTTCATTCGTTTAATTTCCTCGTATTAGTATCGAGAAAACACCGCAACCATCTCAAGCATTGGTCCTCAGTCGAGTTTTTACATCGTTACTGAAGGTCTTGTCTCATTGCTTTAACTACAGACAGTGCTGTGACACGATTTTCATTGGAAGATTGAAGCTGCTTTACCATTATGTTTATTGGCTTTATAGAATGTCCATGAGCATGCACTTTGCAAAAATTAACATCCCATTCCGATGCAGTAATATTAAATTTGATTTTAAGAAAATTTTCAAATTTTTCCCGATAATTTCTCCTATACAAAAAGTCGCCATTGCCGTGACTTTTAGCACGTTTCGCCTCTCCAAAACGTTTTATCCCCCTCAATCAGTAATATGTTCCGCTGTCTTTGTGGTCATTCGCAGTCTTGAATAGTTCCCCTTTCTCCTTGGAGGAAAAATCCCCGTTATTTTCAACTTTACGAATTTCCTTCTGCATTAGATGCATACAGTATACATGCTACAAATATGAAATATTGCGTGCCCTTTGAATCAATTTTTAGAAAAACATGACAGAAAGCATGAAGCTACCTTGCGATTAGGGCATTGGGGACAGTGCTCCGTGTCCCTAGTTGAAAACAGGCACCGTGCAAGAATATCTAATATTATGAAATATCTACTATTGTTTTCAATTCGTAATAGAATAACCGAAATGTTTATAAGTATCATTAATGGCCTTTCTATCTTATATTATATTTTTTCGTTTGTGTACTTGTTTTCTATAAAATGCCAAGGCCATATATTCCGTTATATAATTCCGTTAAAGACTAAAGGCATCAAAAAGTAGATCTTCTAGAAACATGGCGTGATAAAGAAATGACGAGCTTTGTCTAGCTTTTTTGATATTATATATGTGAAAAATATTTATTGAAAGGTAGAATAACATCTCGCTAATGACAAGTCGGAATGAAACCCAATGCTTTGAATAATCTACGGTTTCTCGACATTGTAGATGAAATATATGTTTTAGAAATAATTTTTTTTAGAGTAGATAGAACTCTTCGCATTGTTTCTTGTCTTTTTATTTTGTTGAGTAGACTGAGTGGAAAAAGATATAGTTATGATTGATATTTTTGCAAGAGAGGAAACAATGCCACCGTAAGATGTTTTGAAGACGAGAAATTCCTGATAATAAAAAAATAGAAAAGTAGATACTGATTATCAAAATCCTCATAATGTAGAAATAATTTATTTTTGAGGGGATGCCATTCAATAGAGAACAAAAGTCACAAAGGAAAAGACCAGCCCTTTTTAAAATATGTTAAGAAAGAAGATAACATGACAAAAAGCATTTGTTTTGTAGAAACCACTTCTCATGCGTTATGTACACACTACGACGCTTCAATATAAATGATTATCGATGCAAAATAGTTTTATTCAAATTACATTGATTCGTTTCTTAAAGAAATTAAGCCAAAAAATATTCTACCAAACTTTCAAAAAAGATTGTCACTCAAAACATGTTTATAAATTAGGATCTCTACAGTCGTTTGTTTTTAATGCTTTGAGCACAGAAATGTTATTCTTATTAACAAATATTGTCAAGCGGCAAATGTTATGATTTGACTTAACTCCTAAAGTCAGGTTTAGGAAAATAGATTTTTGCTCATTTCTTGAATAGAGTATGAAAGCAATAACAATATTATGTATTGCTTTTAGGTTAAACATCTTGCCAGCAACATTTAGAATGATAATTCCAAAGTTCCCATTGCCTGTCAATCTTCTTGTTGTTCCCATAGTGAAACAAAACACATATTCAAAAATCCCACACCAAAAAAGGCTTCTTTACTTGCCAAAAACACTCAATTACACTTTGTACAAATATCATTTGAATCTGTGGTAGATCATTATCTATATGTTACTTTGAGTATTGAATATCAAGTGATATATGCTATGTGGATGATATCACATTTGGTATTATCTTTCATCATGTAGAGGGTTTCCAAATCAATAATTTACCTGATATTAAGTCTGTCATAACATGCGATCAATAATTCCTATTATGAATCTTTCCACTGCTTTGTTAGACTTGTTTAGCCCTTTTTGACCCGATTCTACTGAGTCCCATTTTTACAATTTACTTATTCTAATTGCTTACTTTTAGGGTTGTATTGTAATCATGCAAAGAAAACGCTTTAAGAACCGAAGAATACTTTTCGTTGTGGAACTAATTTGGTAATACCATTATTTCAACAGGAGGATGATCTGAGTTGCGATATCATTCTGCAGTTTGGACATAGCGGTACATCAAGTTGTATATTCCGCTGCGCGTGGAATACGCACGTGGCGAGATTTTCGAGATCTCTCAAATCCTGTTTTGATTTCGTATACATTTCGTCAAGATTTTCGTGCATGACACTTATTTGGTTTTGTAATAGTAAAATTGTTGCCTCTATATCTTTAAGGCTGTTTTGTAGACTAGCAGACGTAGAGCTGTAGGTACGGACACTGCGAGCAGCACTGGTGCTTCTACTTTGATACCCAGGCGTTCTGTTTCCATACAGTAACTGATCAGTCTCTTTCAGGGGACTTTGGGATTCCATAAACTCCTCTTCGTCATTGGCTATATTAACTTGGGCAATACTGATGAGGTTTTGCGGATGTGAAGGTGGTTTCTGCAAGGCAAAAGCAATTTCTTAGTGGGATAAGATCAAGTTTTAATTGTTAGACAAAGTCGTTATATGTGAGATGAAGCTCAATCAGATTTCTGACAATTTTGCTATTTATCATAAATGTCAGAAAATATTTTTTGATAACACAAAATGACTATTTATCAACTAAATTTAATCACTCTGGACAATGTAAACTCACACAAAATATAACATACTGGGTAGAGGATAGAAGAACGAGGAAGAGAGGGAAAAAGAATTAGAGGAGGGGAATGAAAGAAAGATGACACAGAGAAAGGAGGTAAGATGAGGAAGGAGGCAGAAGAAGAGAATTAGATGGGTGAAAAAGTAGCGAGAAGAAGGAAGGAAACGAAACAAGGAAGAAGGGAAATAGGGGGAAGGAAAAGAGAGAAGGAAAGAACAGAGATAAGGGTAGTGAAGTAGAAAGAGGAAGAAAATAAGAGAAGATCGAGGGAAAAGGGGCTGGAGAGGAGAGAAGAGGAAAAGGTGGTCTTAGAAGTGGAAAAAACTTTATTGACGTTTTTTCATCGAAATCTTTCATAAAGTATAACCAGACCTAGAGCAGCTAAATATTTTTATCCTTTGAGATTCCAATAGAAAAGCAGAAAGACTGCCAATACGTTAGAAAGTGCAGCGTATGTTCAAACAAACCTTTGCTAGAAGCCAAAAGATTGTAGAGTAGTCAGAGAAGCTAAACGCAACCATAAAGCAAAAATAAAGCGAAAAGATAAGACAGTGCATTAAGTAACAAACCTCGTATCTTGGCTGTGTAGTTATGGTTTCTTGACGAAAGATGGCTTTTTTCGGAATTTCTTCTGCCAAGCTTTCTATTTGACTTGTGGAATCTTCAGTATCTTTATTTATTGAAAGCGCCTCTTCTAAGTATTCTTTTATTGTTTTCACTTCTCTAGATACATCAGTCAAAAGCATTGCAGTATTATCTCCAAGAAATTCTTTTTTCCAGTGTTCATCTGCAGAAAAAATAGAATTCAATAATGTTGACACTGACAATTGACACCAAAAACGCATTAGCGAGGACATGAATGGGATCTTAGGAATCAAATATAAAACTGCATAGCACGAAATCAACCACCATTCATTATAGTTATTAATTAGAGTTTTCTATTCTAAACTTATTTTAGTTAATGTATTACGTGACACCCTGAGGTATAAGCAAAAAACGTCAAAAAGAGTCGTTGAACTGAAAGCTAGAGTCTACGGATTAAGTTGTACAGTATGCATAATTTGCAGATAAAAAAACTTGCAGACATGTCTGATAAGACTCTTGCAAATAAGACTGCAAGGTCTGAGTGGTATTGTGCTTTCTGTAAGTTACGTCAGCTATATGTTATTGAAGTACATTTTTGTGTTGTTATTGAATGTTATTGAATGAGATACCATTCTGCTTGATATGCCCATCGTGTAAACAATAAAGGAAGGACGTATTAGGATCATTTTTTCACTGTTTCAACAGGAAGATTGGATACAAAATTATTGATGAATCAAGCAAATTACTTTTACCTGAACAAAATTACAAAAAACTACGATAGAGCGTTTTATGCAAGAGCTAAACCAAGAAATAGTCCCGTGATTACTATGCATCAGCAAAAATAATTCTATTACTGAATCTTCAGTGAGAATTGGTTTGTTATTATTTTTAAGATGCTAAATCAATGCAAATCATTAGCTTCCTGAATTCACATGTTGAAAAATGCAAGCCTAATAAAATCTATTGGCTATTGTATATCCTGTAAATGCTTTAGATACGCTGTAAAAC